AGAATTGGCGAACAGGAAAGCGATCGTTGATCGTCGAGTTGCCAACGAAGGTCGTTTTCGGAGAACGGTACCAGGAGCGATGTGTTGTATTTATTGTTTGAGTTGGCATGCTACACCAGAGTGGTTTGTATCCAGAATCTGAAGATGGCGTTCGTAGGGGTCCGGACCAGAAACGCTGCAGACGTAGGACGAAACCACGTTGAGCCGATGAACCAGAAGCGACCATAACGACCAAGTTCGAGACCAAGCGTATGCCAAGCATTCGAAACGAAGATATCGACTGAGTACGTTGACAAGAGCGTGGGTGATCAGGCCAGCTTTCGCCAAAGTTGACTGAAGTCGACGGAACCAAACGGAGATGGTCGAAGGCGTGGGCTCAGGAAACAAAAAGAAAATCAAAAAAGAGAAGAGTGTAGCATGCGTGTAGTATAGGAATAATCCTACACCGTATCGGTTGTTGACTGTGCGGCTAGTCGCGGAAGCGTACGGGTAACCGTACTCGGCGACCGGAACGTGAGACGGTAGTCTCGTTCGCGTCGCGTGAGCCTGCAATCTCATCCGAAGTCAGAGGCGGCGTGGTCTGCTGATCTGGACGTGAGACTGTCGTCTCGTCCGTAGACGGTGCAGATGACGCGTGCTGTTGACTGGGACGTGAGAATGAGGTCTCAGATGTATCTAGCGTGGGACCTGAAGATGGTTTGAGGATCCCGCTAGTAGGTTTGCTAGGTCTAGCATTGAATCTCAGGTTATCAGATAGGGCACTGTCATCGACGTGTGCTGGTTTGAGACGATCAATGCTGACGATCTCGACGCGTCCATATCGATCAACCTTGAAGGTCTTTTCGTGACGAGCGATCACGTGAAAAGGGCCTTCGTAAGGTTGTTGCCAAGTTTGCGTACCGAATCTACTCGTATGAAAACATGTGAACAGGTAGATAACTCTCGAGGGAGAGCGACCTGTCGATGTTGTATTCGAGTTGACACCGGAGACAGCGTTCGCATAAATGCAGACAGTCGATGGACGTAGTCTGATTTACCGAAATTAGGTCTGCTCCGTGGTGTGAAGAATTCTCCGGGCAGACGCAATGTCGTGCCGTATACAAGTTCAAGGGCGGAACATTGGATATCTGCCTTCAAGCTCGTTGTGATCCCTAAAAGAACGAGCGGTAAGGTTTCGTGCCAGTTGCCGTTTTCGTGTGCTCGTATAGCACTTTTAAGTTGGCAGTGAAACCGTTTACTTAACCATTTGGTGCTGGGTGGTAGACAGATATGCTTATGCGTATGCATTCCGTACCAAGCAGCCGGGTCAGCGAGGAGAATAGTTAATAGGGGAAACTTTCTCGAATAAAGCGTGGAATTCATCGTCACGCGAATAAAAAGTAACAAGGATTCGGTACACATACATGTGAGTCTATTATATTAATACTATTCTTATCGTTATCCGTCATGTCGAGTATATTATATATTAAAAAATATGAAAATATACGACAGACGTGGATAGATAAATCATAGACTCACCGAATTGGCTTCTTTGGAAGATTTGACCAGATGTTGAGGCGTGTTCCAAACTTTGGGATCACCAATTGTAGCGTGGCGTCGAGTTGAGATTAACTATGAACACCGCTACCAAGAAACACGTGCCAGACAAATCAGAAGGCGAGGTTGAACGTAACCAGATTTATTTCGTTGGCGATCTCGTGGTATTGAACGAATACCGAGATCGTGCCAAGAAGTGGTACAAGTGGAAGCAGAAGACAGGAGTACGTGCGAACAGTACCAAAAACCGCGGAACAATGATGGAAGGTAATGGAAGCACAAAATGGCTGTCATTAGCACAGTCAAACAAAAGCACATTAAAACAAACACTGGTACAGTTGGTTATAATAATAATTGTTTTTATTAAACCAGTCGTGTTCTCGTGATAAATGTGAGTCACTACAAACGCGTGGATAGGTGGCCTTAGCTGAGTAAATAACTCAGCTGTTTATTATAGACTGGCTAGGCTAACATTCGGCTTACTAAACTATCTTGGAACATCGTGTAACTTGGGTATTCATCCTTCACCTGTTTAGTGTATCAAAGGGATCGGAAAGAATTTAAGTTTAGTATGAGCAACGCTTATGAAACTACGCTTTCCGCATTTTGATAATAAATTTGCTAGATTACAAGGAGTACTATTGGAAAATACTGTCCAATCAAATGTCTACTTTAAAAGGAATATGAAAGATTTTTCATAGGTGAGTCTACAAGCATTATAAACCTAAAAGACGAAGTTCTGAAAGACGTCGTTTTGAACAACAAACATTACATTAAAATAAAATATGTAAACGACAGGCTGAATACTTTCAGACAGTTTCCTAAAATTAATTATAATCAGTACTGCTACAGGTCATAGAAAATAAAGTTCTTTCATTAATAGATGAAACAAGATAGCAGAAACTGGTCTAAAAATGAGGAAAACAAAGAACCATATTATCAAAAGCTGGAAAGCAATTCATGTTTTGCATGCTGCATGATTAGAATCACAATTGTAATCGTTATTGAATAAAGAAAAACTCAGAAAAATAAATAAGCAAACAAGCTGTAATTATTTAAAAACATAATCTCTATAAGTTCCATAAAAAACTGAAATGAGTAAAGTCGTTATTTCAAGTAAGGAAGAGCTACAAAATACAGGTTATGTACCACAGTTAGCGGGTATAACCCTAAATTACTGACCGTTTCTTCTATGTTGATAAGGCACACTTACCATTCATTAGCAAACATCCTTAAGGAAACTGCTTTAATTCAACAGAAACTTAACATTCAGTCAGTCAGTCAGCTACAACGTAGGACCAGGCACATATATGCATCGGTCCAAGTTGCCATACCTTTTAGCACAGCAAGATGAACACGAAATTCATGGAAGTAGTTAATTCAGAAACTTAACATATATGTGTCTTTTTTCCCTGGTACAGATACATTTTACTGGACACCAGATTCCCAACGAGTTGTACAAGGTCATTTGAGACATTTCACGTAACGTATGCAACAACCAACTGTGAGAAAGAACAAACCAGATCCCAACGGAGGAAGAAATTAGGAAGAAGCGCTGGAGGTGGATAGGACACACATTGAGGAAAGCACCCAACTGCGTCACAAGACAAGCCCTCACATGGAATCCTCAAGGCCAAAGGAAAAGAGGAAGACCAAAGAACACATTACGCCGAGAAATGGAAATAGACATGAGAAAAATGAACAAGAATTGGATGGAATTAGAAGAGAAGGCAGAGTGGGTTAGGGAATGCTGGTCGGCGGCCTATGCTCCATTAAGAGTAACAGGTGTAATTAAGTAAGTAATGTAAAAAGCAAGTAAATGAAGAGCCTATATGCATAACAGGCACCAGTCAGTCAGTAAACAAAAGCACTCGGCTAAAACTGAGTGGAAAACCTTTCCGCCATCGCGTTTTAAAAAAGTTATGCAGAAAGCTTAATGAATGGTTTGTTAAGATTATTCCAATCTCAGCATACAATCGTAAAACTGAAAGCATAGTTGTCAGTATGAATAAAAGTGCTTCTTTCAGTTATTATTTATACGAAGTTACTACACAAATTGATTATAAATAGCATCTGACGATGATATATTTTGTTAAACTGCACTTGATAGTTTTTGAAGATATTTGCATATAGAATATGTGACTTAGTTGAATATCACTTAGCTGATTGCCCATAACTATTCAAAATTAGATACAGCCAATCGTATATTCGAATTACTTATCTTAGTAATTATATTCTAAACCCATTTGACAGAATCCAATCAATGGTAGCACTTCATGCATAGAGGCACATTAATCAGATAGGACTCTAAAAGCAAGTGATTATTTCGTATTTATTACCGAACCAAAGTCACTGTTAAGCAAACTGTCATTAAAAGCTTTAAATCAGACGTCGAAATATAAAGATTTGTGAGATACTTTTTCCCAAGTACACTTTAGAAATTAACAAAAATAAACAACAGTTTAGTGTCCAAAGGGTAAAAGGACTGTCTGCAATGTTCTCAACCAACACACTCGAAGACAAGAAAAACATAAATTGCACAATCCCTAAGAGCTTAACTAAACGTCCAAGGTTACACAAATTAACGCTATTGATTAATATGTCAATAGGACCAACCTTGTACACAAGTATGGAATTATGAAAGGATATTTAATTGTATTCTAAAACACCATCAGTGTACTACTAATTTACCCCTTAAAACTAAGTGTAGAATTGGATATCACCGTTAAACTAAGCACAAAATCAATGGAAAGATGGTGATTGTGGCTGAAAGAAAACCTAGGCCAATATCGTTTCTTTACAAGCTGTCGCCCTAAATTCAAACGACTGAGGGATAGGAACAGATTTCAAGACAAATATAAGCTGCGTATAATTCCCTTTCATCAGAAGACAAATACATAAGGTATGTTTGTCTAGCCAAACTCCGCATATAACCCCCGTGCCAGGAAATCGCCCTTCATACAAAGCGACAAGGATATTTTATTGTAGAAGCATAACGTATGATCTTATTCTCCGGCTGAATATGAGCCTTCATCCTGAATGGGGCTCTAATTTAGTACATAAACTTGCAAGTGCCCCACTATCTAACTAATCCTACAAAAGGACTAGCGATTTCGAAAGTTACTGTAATTTAATTTCTGGTCTTTTTGTTAACATCATATCTACTATCATGTGCGTATTATCATGTACTAACTTTTGTTTCTAATCTGTTATAAAAGTAATGACAGTAATAATCATTAGTCACTCATTCCCACTTAATTGTATCATCCGTAAAACAACAAAATGACAAATCCATCACACGAAAGTCTATCACATGCAAATTACGAATCAATAGGAATGTAGTTGTCCGATTGGTCAATCATATTTGGCCAGTCTGTAAACTGCCCATCTAGATTTTGTGTAGCAAATCATAAATCTTGTCACCCTTCTTTTTCTGATTGGCTCGAGAAACTGGATTTACGGTTGTTGTGTTCATGACGAGAACATAACGGAAATCACTTTTCAAAACACCATTATTTCGTCAGGCTATACAGAAAGTGGAGGTCGGATTTCTTTGAAGTACTTTATAGTTTGTCAGGATGTGTAAAGTAATCTCGAGTACAATTTTAGTACTGTTCAACATCCCACTTGTGGTATGCTTCCTTTTTTGAACTGTTGATTTACATGTGCTGTTTAATTAATATCTCATTTTATTCTGTCAACGTAAAATTACTGAATAACGTTCATAATTAACTATAGTTAGTTGGGTTTTCTAATCATCACAATCTGATGAAAAGTCCGTTCAATAGGTCTTAATTGAAACCATTTAATTAATGTTTAAAAGTATAGAGTGGTAACTAACAAGGACTAACTTTTCAATCTGAATTGAAATTACCAGACAAACTGGCTTATCAAATGTTGAGGACTTTTTTCCTGTGCTTTAAATTAGAGTCCAATCGTCCAGTCTTCATGAAGTGGACAACGGCTTTCTGTGCTAAGATTATTCCAATATCAGCATACAATCATAAAACGCAAAGCATAGTTGTCAGTATGATCATGATTTCCAAATCTTTGCCCCTGTATATGATTAACCTAGTGAAGCAAAATTCTAGTTAAGCCTTCAAACACGGTCATCTATTTGATGCTGATAGTATATTTTAACTCTGTATGACTATTGGTAAATCGTGCAAACTGGATTTCAGCATTGTACAATTCCACTATCAAGAACAGTTCAGCACATCATGGACACGATAATTATGAGTAAAATAATTAGCTATGCCAGAAAATTGCATTCAAGAGAACATTTTTGAAGTAACTATATTTTCCTTGTGATGGATAAACTAATTTAATACACTACTTGTAATCCAGGAGAACATATTCATTTTGTTTTATCGTTAAGCATTACTGAATTCGTCCATTTTCACTTGTTCTTTTCGATTTCTTGATTAACCATATGAATTCAGCCCCTTTATTTATTTATCTGATTGAATTTGTTTTAGTGTGAAGTTCAATAAGACTAGCTGATACATATTTGTACCCGGTCCCACATTCATCATTAGATGACTAAAGCTGATAAGTAGAGCTTCCCTTCTATTTTAATTAATGGCTGTAGAAATGTGCAGCAAGCCGATATTTTTTCTTACCAGTAAGTTCGGCCAAAAGCACCTTAAGTTGTCCAATCATGTAAATGAAAAGGGTTTTTTTTAAGTTCAAGAAGGATGTTACAATCACATTTCTGATTGGATAACAAGAAAAACACCTTTGTACAAATTCAAAACTAACACAAATATCACTACTGATAGTGGACTCCAGTTTTAGTACTAAGGCTTCTTGATATCTGATTTGAACTACCAGCAGCTGTGATGTAGCCACATTCGTATTTGGGTTCATTCGAAGCTACGCAACTATACTGTTCGATTATATTTGCATTTTTGATTGCTCTGACATTGTAAATCTTAGAATATTTGAGCATTTATTTTCGTTCATCGTAAGTTGTCGTTTTTCCAATGTATAAAAGCCGAAAGATTCGTTAGTACATATGTTTTAAACAAACCTAAATACACACCTGAATGATGTGAGTATTAGGATACTATTGACACCAATCATTTGAAGATCTAGTTTGTTTTCGAGGCATTTTTTTCACACTTACTATACATTTGCAATCCTAAATGGATTATTTTCATTAGAAAACTGATCTGTACCATGTTTTTATGTGGTAAAAAGTTACTCAGTTATGTGAAATGTTGATTAAAAATATGGGAATCTCAAAGCAATTGGATCGTTAGTTTCTTGTGGGACATGAATCAGCTAAATGATCAAAATCTGTAAGATATTTAGATCCATATCATGTACGATAATATATCAAATCATAAATTTGTTTTTCCCTGTTTTAGTGACATACTAGTAAACAATGGTGGAATTTGTACTGTATAAGTTACGGTATTCTAACTACTAGCTTACACCTAATTTATTTTTAGTATGACAATAGTTGTGTTTCTTTAACCAACTTCTCATACATACAATTTTAATTTAGCAAATATATTAAAAATTAAACTTTAAACAATGTAATATAAAGGCTATTTGGTTCTGTATCATAGTGATTGGTATGAAAGGGTGTCACAATATGTAGGAATTGTGGCTTTCAGTGTAATTTAAGACGACTAATAAAACTGATAAAGTACTTGGGTATTCTCTGAGTTTAAACGAATGACTTACAGGCTAACAACTCTCTGAGTAATCGAACGATTAAGGCCTATTTTTACTTCATTAAGAGTGGTAAGAAGAGTGAATTGAATGTTTGTTTTTTATTTATCTAGCTTAATACTGAAGGTAAAATTCAGCAATAAAAACTTGTTTTCGATTAGTAATCCAAACTATTTCATTTATTTTTGATTGGAGATCTCTCTAAATACATAGATTAAGTTGAGGAGTTTCCATCATACTGTTATAAGTACTTAGATTTTTTGCTCATGTGTACATCTTGATTTCAGTATAAGCAAAAATAATAATTCTCTAAATATACTACTAACTATAAGTGGAGTGAAAAAGAATTAAATAAGAAGTAGCTAAAAACTTTGACTTTGTGAGGTTTAACTAAGTAGGATAACTAAGAAGCTAAAAAAAAACTACGAAAACTACCCGTACAACACTTACGTCACCGTTGATTTAGTAATTATATTTTGAAGTTCTTATTAATTTGAGTAGTAGCGAGAGTAATAATTCTTTAACATTTGAGGTAGGCGAGTTCTTATACCTCAAACTCGTCGAAGGGTAAATACACTTGACATTTTTTTAAGACTGATGATCCTGAACGGATCTGTCCAGTTTGTATTCATTCGATGAAACGAACTACATTATCCACTAGTCATGTGGTGTTTATTTGTAACCACTAATCCACAATTATATATATGATGTACTTGACTTTATTACTGTATGAATTATATAATTATTAATTGATCAATCAAATATATCGTTGAAATTAAATTGTGAATACAATTTCTTGAGTTCGAGATTCATTTAAGCAACAATTTCCGATATCCGATTGACTCCATCACACTAGTTATAAAATAAGTCAGTAACTAAATATCATGAGTCGTAAAAGTTTATACTTCCCCATTATTAATATTCATGGATGAGTTAATTGATCTGTTGTAGCATATGGGGTCCTTGTACAATTTTTTCGTTTGTCGAAATCATATCGATATTATTTCATCCACGGCATGTGATTAATATTCACTAAACAAGTGATCTTTCACTACTCACTGGCATGATAGATAACCGCTTGACGTTTGAAGCAATTTGTTTTAAATTGGAATCTCACTAGAAAGACATAACTAACGAGTACTCAAAAGTGTGACTTATACTCCTGAGATTTGATTGATCTTAGTACTAAGTGGAAGTATCTTAAAAGCAAAGAAGATTTACTTAGATAACTTCTTCAATTTATGGATAACTTTTATCTACAACGTATATTCAGTAGGTAGTGATTGGAAACCGGAGGAAACCAGATATATATTTCACGATATTTTGGAAATCTTTATCAGTGCTCATCCACAGTCGACAAAAAAGATCGTTTTCGAAGTAAAAGATGTGCATTTATCTAAAAATAGTTCACTCCTATACCAGACTTTTGTCTTAATATCTGAAGTCCCTCTATATCCACCGTCACTAATAAAGCTTAGAAGTTGAATTGGTTTGATTTTTTTAAGAAGATATCCACCTGAAGAAAAAAACAATTTTGGGATATTTTAAGAGATACCCAGTTCAGTTCCTAATGAAATTCCCATACTTAGTTGAAGCGTAATTATTTAGAAAAATAACTGTGGTATTCTTGCCAAAACATTATTCTATTCCTCTGTACATGAGATAAACAGATCACTAAATATTTAGAAAAAAAGCGGAGTAATTTGTTTCCAATGTGTTACTGTCCACTGGTATATTTTGTTCTGTTTTGTTTTTTGCTAACATAAAAACAACAAAACATTCCTATCTGTCAAACATTTACATAGTTTCCCAGATGTTTTTCTTTTAGAAAAATGATCATGATTACCTGATTTGGAAAGCAAGTTATACAATTACTGATTGTTGTTTATTAACATAAATAAATATCTAATCTTTTAATTGCAAAACTAAGTTCATCAACTATTGTTTTTACTCCACAGTAAGGTAAAGCGAAAACTTGCTAATTATATATTATTTTAAGGTTCAAGTTAGACAGTCTGCATGTTAATATAATTCATAAGATGGCTATCCGAATAAGTTTAGAATAATTCAATTTGAAATGGATTGGATTATCTTGTTGTTAATATTTCTGACTGGCCAAAAACTGATTAACTTTCAGTTAAAAATATCAACAATGAAATAATCCAATCCATTTCAAATTTAATTAATACTCATATTTGTTGCATTAGTGAGTGGTTATGTGAACTCAGTAGCTAAGTGGGCAACGCGATAATGTTTAAAGTGAACGATCCAGGGTTTGATTCTTGTAGTGAACACTAACTCTAGGATCCAGGCACACTGGCTGACGAGTCCTCAATGAAAGGAAACACGCGTCCCGGATTCTACTTCTAGCCACCTTCCATCTACTATATGCCAAAATTTAAAATAGTTTGTATGTTACAAATGGTAGGCTGTTATGTAGTAGAAAACCGCGCTCATGTATTTTATTTATGTAAATAAGTGTTGGTGCTTCTCTAAGAATAGTTTTCTTATCATTTTGTTGAGCTGAACTAAAATGATTTTTTTAGTTGAAAATAAACTATTGACTATGTGATGATGGTATCTTGTTAATGAATGAACTGGAGATTTTGGTTAGAGCTACACTTCTGCTTAAACTACATCGTACTTGAGAGAGACATTACTCATAGGAAATGTATAGATAAATACAGTAAAATATTATTAAGGTAAAAATCTATTTATAAGTTTCTAATCTTTACTGCGATAGAGTTATTTTTGTTAATTAGCGTAACGATCAATCTTCCTATAACCAATATTGTCACTTAGTATTCTCTGTTACGTTTTCGAGTTCTAAGTTTAAATTTTACTTCAACTGTTGAGACACTTTCTTATGGATTTTTAATAGATTATTGGTTTAGGACTTGTGGTTTTTGGTGCTTTAATACGGTGGAATGAAAAACTTTTGGTTGAACGAATTACTCCTACGATTATCGAAGAAATAGATGATGAGAATGCACGTGAAGCTGCTCAAAAATTAGTAGAAGAAAGAATAACGTTATTTGGTAAGTATTTTCTATTCCAGAAGTTTTATTTTAAAACAACACAGGTCGAAGTAATACTTCAAACAGCAAATCAGTTACATCTTATTTGAAAAATAATCAACAGTATACATTTCAGACCTCCATTGATATGTGGATGTGTACAATTTCACAGATAGTGAGCTATAGACCCAGTTGGTAATATTCCCAACCTCTCTCTCTGATCGTATTCAGTGAATACAAAATGATGATTTCTTTATATAAATAAGCTACTTTGGAGCAATTAACTTTTATCACTTCCAAAGCTTTCCAAAGTATGACTAAAGAAAGGATTTACTACAAATCGATATTGATTTCTAAAACATAAGTTTACTGGTACTGTAATTCTCACATAGAGTTGGGTTGTTAAACAAATTCTTGCTAATTGTCGGTGATGAATATGACACTTTTTGGTATGTTATATAAGATGAAATGTCATACATTTTATTGATGCTTAAATATTTAACACGTTAACGGCTTCTTTTCCTGTGTTATTTCCTTAATTATTATAATCAGCTTCTTATGGTTTGGCAATTTTCTTGTTCGGTCTCTTCATTTGCGTATTGTCGCTCTGTGGAATATGTGGAGTATGCTGCAAGAGTAAAATCTTACTTGGATTAGTAAGTTATCAGTAGCAACTACTTTCAAATTGTTTTAAAAGTGGAATACTTCTTGTTTTAAGTTATATTTGATTAACTATATGGCAATGAACCATGGAATTTATTTAAATTACAAAGTATTTTCATGAAGTAAACTAAAACACGACATGAAAGTGAAGATGCTGTTCCAGATTAAAATTAATTAAATGATATAACAGTCATCTTATTCCGTTGGTTTGTTTAATATGACTGAGCTAACATGTTTTTAAACTCAACTCACCAAATCGGCTCAATAGTCTTGAGGAGGTAAAGTTAATGGGCACATATAAGTAAATTCGAGCTCATCATAAACGGGCTGTAATGTACATACAAACTCTTCCATTAGCCACTATCAAAATGCTTTCTATTATGTTAGAAAAATCTGAAATTGATTCATTTCTGAAACTTAATTTTGGGCCAACATTTATGAATCTGAATACAAGTAATCAGAATGAAGGTTTTGTGGAGATTATAATAATTTAATATTTGAATTCATGAGTCGATTAAAGCTAGACCACCATGGGAAACCTGGAAGCATCATACTGCCTTTTGACTCTAGAATGGGACTACTCAATCGTGCGCATCCAAAACCCCTAATATGGGGACTGGAACCCAGGATCTTCGGTCTCGCGCGTGAATGCGATAATAATCATCATGTGCACACTAGTGACTGGCTTCAAGAGGTATTTCCAGGAGTTCTAGTGAGAAGCCGTGACCAGTGGAGCTCGACCGTGTCTGTTATGAGGCAGTTACTCACTGAAGACAATGGTGAACGGTCGTGCAATATGGCGGATTGGTTGGAGTTAGACATTAAGATGGTTGGATGCCGACTCAGTGGTGCAGGTGTTAAGCGTTGGCATGTGAGACAGAAGGTGATGGGTTCGAGTGCCACGTGTGCGATCGTGGATGTTCACTGCTGAAGAGTCCCATACTAGAACGGAACGGTCACCCAAAGCTTCCAGCTTTTCAATCCTAGTCTAGCTTAAATCGACTCATTAAGTCAACTATTAACCAATTCAAGCGTTTCGTAAGAACATTGAATAAACAACTGTTTTATAAAAGATTATGTTGTAACTGTAATTGTAAGCTTTCTTCTAATTCTTTATATCTTATACAAATCCAATGTAGCAGTTGGTTAGGTCCATGTCTATCATTCAGCTCTCTTGATTAACTGTCTTAGTTATGTATTTGTAATTGATTCTCTATTACTGTCGGATAATCATAATGTCCAAACGGCCTTGTCATAAACAGGTGGGCTTCAAAAATCAAATTGGTTGGAATTCTCTTTCTTGAATAACATTAGTTGGACGTTTGTAAACAGAAACTCGTGATTTATCAACCGTAATTTCGACTAAAATGAAAAAGTGTGTGATAATCACACAACTCATGGTTAAATAATAAGAATAATACGTTAGCCAGTCGCGCATATCTTCAATTAAGAATCAGGTAAACTCGAGCAACTTTACTTCTGCGTAACTTTAGTTTTGATTCAATGTAAGTCTGTCAGCTAAATCACAGTTCAGATCACTTTTCCAACTCATTGGGTGGTATTCAGTTACTAATTAAAAAACGTCTAGCTTTCACTTACCCACCTTAGCTGATTTGTTCACCCTCCTCTTTCCTTCTTTAAATTATAGTGTATTATTATTTCTTCCTTGTTATTTCATCTGACTTGTTCTATTTTCTGTTTCCTCCCTTTCATGTACCACTTACTTTTCCTTCTAACGTTTTTATTCTACCACAAATTGCGAAGAAATGTAACAAAAAGAAATCCAGATGTAAAAAGAGCTGAATAGGATACACTGTCTGCAAATATTTAAACACTGTAATATCAAACAGATTTAAAACATTTGCCATCAAGATTATCACGTAAATCATAAAGCATGAAGGAAATAGATAACCTTTGCAGATTAGAAATAACAATCATGCATCCATCTGTTTCACTTCCTTTTTCTCCTGGTCCACACTGCTAAACTTTATTCTACTTTCTAGACAGTGTTCTGTTTCACTAATGGTTATATATATAGTATAAATTGATCTTAAATTTTGCTGTGCATCCCATCACAGTTTTTCAAGATATCGAAAATCTCAACATTGATATTCGTTGAGTGTAGTTTAGTTTCGAAAGTGTTGCGTAACTAAGACTGATCAGGAATTATCTCCATCAGTAACCCAGGAATATAAGTTGATGATCACCTGTAAACTCATGGCGTGTATTTCTTTGTTATTAACTATTTAATTAAATAAAACGAATGTGACTAAATTCATCAATTTAAAAATTACACATGAAATATGATGCTGTCCACTTCAACCAATGAAATATAACTATATGAAACTCATAACTGAATAAATAGCGTTGCTGTGCCAACAGATTATTTGTTCTTAAAATTGTCATTAGTTAAAGTTTATTATAATGTTGACTCTAACAGTTTGGTTAAGAATAGGATTACAAGATTTAGACGTCACTCAAAAAGCAGTAACGTAGGGAATTTTTGGCTGATATGAATTTTTCATTTCACTCATAATTGAGTATCGTTATGGTTTGATTGATTTCACTTAATTATTACAAACTACTGATATTGAGTTAGTTTGTACACAATATTTATTTTAATAACCTTGATTTTATTTTTTCAGGGTAGATTAATTTTAAAGACAACTTGTTGATTATTAGAACAGAAATACAGACCTATGAAATGATAACCTTTTATCATTACAACATAGAATTGCAGAATAGTTTAATTCAACTAAGATGAACTGACCTTAACCTATAGAGGTGTTAATTAATCAAAAGTAAACATGTTGATAAACAAGCAAAGTATATTACAATAACAAATTCAAAGAGCAATTCAACTGCATCAACGTAATCAATCACTAACTGATTTCAGTCCGCTTGAACAAATAAATTTAGTAAGAAGTAGCATTACCAAGGTTTGACTTGATAATTTAAAATAAACTGAACATTGGGTAGATTGTTGGCTATAAATTAATGATATATCTGTGATATCACAATGAGTGAAAATTAGGGTTTCTGACTACGAGTTCTATTTTGACTTAAGTAAATATTCCGCCTTATTCCTTTGTACTATTTAAACTTACGTTAATCCAAACTTAGTCGTGAAAAGTCGAAAATTTCATTTTTTGTTTTTACTCATTGAGGAGTAGCAAATGAATTAATAAATAGTAAAATGAAACTTTCGTTATTAGTATAGCGTTTTTTTAGATCTTTTTAGGCCTTTTTCCTCTATCAGGCCATACACAGTCAACCAAGAATCTCCAACCGACCCTATCTTTTCCTCTTATATCCAATTGCTCTATTCATGATCTTAATATCCACATCCACTTCCCGGTGTTATATGTTTCTTGGCCTACCTCTCCCTTTTGTCTCGAAGATTCCAAATTTGGGTTTACCCCATGGTGCGATTTGATGGTTTTTATAAATTATTTCTTATCCAACTCGTGTCTTTTTAATTTCCTCCTTGACCGGCAGCTGGTCTGCCACAATAGATTATTGCTGATGGTCTCCGACTGATGAATATAAGCTTTCTTTGGTAGGTAGTTGTTTATGAAAACCTGTATTGTTTTGGTCATGTTAGTGATAGTTCTCTAACTTTCAGCACCATATATTTGAACTGTTCTAACGTTATTTTTGAAAGGTTTGATTTGGAGTTTAAGGTATTCTTTAATTGCATGAACATTGCTCTTGCTGTGCCAATTCTCGCCTTTACATCTGCATCAGATCCTATAAGTGATACTGCCCAGGTACGTAAAGGCTTTCAGAGCTTGATGTTCGCTAAATTGTATTTCAGGATCTTGCTTTTTCCTTTGTGGATGTTGAGACCTACTACTGCAGAAGCTGCTGCTACACTGGGTGTCTTTGCCTGCATTTGTTACTATGTATGTGATAGAAAGGTTAACTCATCTGCGAAGTTCAGGTTGTTCAGCTGTATTCAAGCTGTCAAATGTATTCTGTTTTCCTTGAAATATGGAGGTCTTCAAGACCCAACCATAAGATTAAAGGGCGAAAGTATGCAACTTTGCATGATGCCGGTCTTCGGTTGGGATGCATCCGTGAGCTGCCCTTCATCCATGACTTCACAGTGTAGTTCTCAGGTATTCCATAGTGTCGAATAAGGTTCCCATAATCACGCTGTCAAATGCTTTCTCATAGTCAAGGAAGTTGATGTATAGTGACGAGATATATTCAGCCGTTTGTTCAATAATGATTGGCAGTGTTACGGATTGCTTGGAAAATATTCTACCTTTTCAAAGTTTTTGGTCTTCAAGTTGAAAGTCTATTTATTCTTTCAATCGGTTCAACGACACTTGAGTGCTTTACTTGTACTGACAATGATATATAATTTCTATGGTTCTCACGCTCACCTCATCGCTTTATATTTTCTATATTTATTTTCAAGTGGTCTGAAACTTATGTAAACTCTTTACATCTAAAATTGTCGTACGATCCATTTTATCTGTTTCCGGACTCCATATAGTTACTACGTCAACCTCCTATGCCTCCTTAATTCCGTCTCCAAATAACCCACACCTGTTTATTCATAGACATAGTTATGATTGCTAACTTTTATCATTCTAATTTCCTCCGTCATCAATGTTGATAATGTTGGGGTGATCTAGAAAACTTCTCTCACAAGACAAGAAAGCATTTTGTCCAATCAGCGTTCACTTGAAGTTTAGCCAGAAACATCAAGAAAGCGAAAAGTAACATGTAGAGTTTCTGATTAGCTGATTACTATATTTCTCCTATGTTCAGTAGCATTCCAGAATTTTCGGGAAACCCAGGGACGTCTAAAATATATTATAAAAACTCTATATTTTCTGTACTAGAACGAACCTTTGGAGTAAAGTGCTTCTCGCATATTTTGCGCCTTTTCTCTCATGTTCAAGTCACTGTGTAGTTCTAGCTTGGAGGCTACGAGAATACCTTAGGGACCGAATATAGCGTTCAATTAGCAAGACTTATTAGATAACTTCTTATCATTGCATTTCTCAATGTCACCTTTTGATAGAAATAAAGTTATAAGCAGATAATGAGAAACCACGTAATGTAATGACTTCATATTATTCTTCCTAAATTGTCATTCTGGCTTTATTCGAACACATGTGTTGCTATTATCTTACATAGAATATATCAAATCTACTAGTTATTCGTCTATCTCTCAACAATAACATTAGTATAATTCAGTTCACCATTCATATACTTTACATTTTTCTAAATATATTTGTTATTATTCCATACAATATAACCTTTTATTTCTTATTACCGTATTCATTATTCTTTCTAGTTCTCTAATAATATTGGTATCGGTACTGTCATTCCCTCAATCTCTGTGTTATTCTAATTTAAAATGAGGCAGCATAACTATACTAAGTCGATCATTCCTTTTTAGCGTGTTGTGCAATGTACACACGTTTGGAAATGTTTAATCGGTAGAGATTGAAACCTGTATCATACCGTTTTTTTTAAAAAATGACTCATTTAGCTCAACAGCTTACAAAAAATAATTAACACTGACGAAAAGAAAGATGGACCATTTTAAAATTGATAGATAAACTGCTGCTTACAGCTCATGTAATATCTGTTCAAACTGGATGGTTTTTTAATTCTTAATTTTATTTTACATGTTTTTATACTAAATCAGATATCTTCGTCAGTCAATTTTTGAATAGGAGTAACTCTGAAATAATGATGCTATCCAGCTTGATGCTGGAATGTCTACTGTACAAAGCCTAAAATGAACAAATAACTCAATTTGAACACATATTGATTTATATTGACTTCCTATTCTCATCGCTTAACTAAACCGTTTCTGAACCATCAGAAATATTATGGAGATAAACTAACTTGTTTTATATTTCTTTGATACTTCTGTTGTTTCATATAACATTTATTTCAGTATGCAGCATTTCTTCTAGTCATATTTTTGGCGCTGCTTGTGTTCACTATTGTATTTGGAACACGGAAACACTGGGTGGGTTGATTCTTTTTATAATGAATTATACTAAATAAAATAGTAAACTTCTATGATTGCATGCTTTAGTATTATTTGGTTTTGTTAAACTAGTTATTTTTTTTCGAAGACAGGAAAGTCTGATATTTTAATTATGACAATAAACGTATTTGGAAAGAAACACTGAAAAAGCCTAATTCTTAACATGTAATAGTATTTTACTCACCCAATGACCAGCTCCGAGCAATTGCAAGTACCGTGTATTTTTTAACCTAATATACGGTTACATAAAAATCGTTAAAACTAACAATCGTTTATAGGTATCATTACCAAGGTTTGATTTGATAATTTCGAATAAATTGGACATTGGGTAGATTGTTTAAATAGTTTAAGTAGTACTATTTAAACTTGGATTAATTTGGTTATTTATTCTCTGAAGAAGTGACTTGCACTAAGTCACGAAAGTCAGAAAATCTCATTTTTCTACTCATTGGGATATTACAAACATATTATTTATTTATAACAATCGTTTAGTTTGATTATGTTTTAGTATTCTCTATTTCTAACTTCCAAGCAAATATTACGAAGGAGGAAATTAATCAATAAAGATTATGACTGTATACCATTTATGTCTATTATATTTCTATCATTACTTTCTCACAACACATTTCATGCATCTATACTGTGAAGATCATTATGAAACAAATTGTCAAGTTTCTTAAATTATTCACTAAGCACATGTAATTGATTAAGTGGTTGTATTAACAGGCATCTTTTTGAAATACAAGAGAAAAACAGTCATTCAGATTTACTCTAGTTGTAAATTCCAAGTGTACCAGAATTTCCATTAAAAAATTTCGAAGAAAGGAGCTACCACCAAAGGATGCAAGAATGAGAAACACTCATTCAGTCCGTTGTCGTTCATAAGGAATATCTAGACGATAATGATCTATGGTACATGCAATGTTTACTCATTTTTCAAATGTGATTTTTTGTGAGCTTCTGTCATTTGTCAATGTAAAAGTTGAGAACCTCACTGATACTATAGCTTTGAAATTATTAGACCTGGTAATTTATCAGTTTCAGGCTTAATTTATCCCTATCCCTATAATGCATTTCATTAGTAATACACAAAGTGTACCATTGATCACTTCGTCAGAGTTTTCTTGTCGTTTGTTGACAATGTTAGCGAGTTCATTGTCAAGTCAACAACTTTCTTACTCACTATTGCAAATACTTAAGTTATTTGCCATTTAAAGCTTTCCTTTGTTTCCATTCTTATGGATTTTAATGGTGTGATCAAAGATGGTCACAATGCTGGAAATAAATCATGGTTTCAAACCTATAAGGGTCTATAGGCAAACTTAAGAAAGCCACATTGATTTCTCTATTCCTACACAGTTTAATTGCTAATGCATCTAGCATTTCGGTGAAAAAGTTACGTAACTGGTACACAATAAATATCATGGTTTCTGATAATTTAAAGGGCAAATTTCTCTGTATAGAGCGATTTATATAAGATTTGTTATTAATAACGTGTAATAAATCTCATCAACTCAGTAAGTGCAGTTAAACAAAAAGGAGTGTTTTTATTTAGAAATTCTGAATTTAATTGCATAATATTATATAAGTAGTACTACACAGAAGTAACTAATTTGGCTTTTAAAACCACAGACAGTACTGAGCAATCAGGACTACTTTACAAGAAAATGTGTTTATTGGTTGAAATCACCCCATAATCATACTGAATGACAATACCCGGAATTACATTACTTATTCCTATGTATCCCATTTTCAAGTAAGTACTTGGAAGCATTTGGATCATTGGGAGGTGTGCTCATTCAAGAACCAGCATTATTTGAATAACAATTTCCCAATACTAACTAGCTTTAGGATGAATGTCATTCAGATCTAACAAAATTATGATACTTGAAGTCAGCCTGATCGGAACTGAAACGAAATGGCTCTGACAACATAGGATGATGACAGTTTACCAAAAAACAGAAAATGAGGACCATTGAATTTCAACTCAGTAGATGAATAATATGTTCCGAATAACATTTAAAGGTCCTTGGTATGATCTTGCACAGATCGCGAATATGCCCTTACATTAAATCTCACTCTATTGACTATTATTAATTCTCCAAATATTCCTAAATGTAAAACTCTCAAATTTCGCTTTCATTACGTTAGCAAATCCAAACATCTCATTTACTCATGTTAGACATATTGTTTAAACGTCCATAATAAAATAACCTATGAATAATTCCCATTTATTTTGGTTGTTGTAGTTTATCTCTTGGTTATACATGCCATATTTCATTCAGTTTATTTGTATTATGTATTTAAATTCCAGTTCCGTGATGAGCTGGGTATAAGTTATAGAAGATCAATTACTAGTGATTATCATATGGACAATAATTTTCCACCAAACACCGGTTTTACTGTATTTGTTAATGAAATTCAACGAAAGGTAAGATCCATGGGTTTGATTTTAGACATTTATATGCGTTATTTCCACTGCTTCTGTGTATGGAAATAAAAAATAAGTATCCTATTTAGATTTACTGTTGACTAAGTTCATTAAACTAACAGCCTTATAAATGTATGTTTGTTTACTGAACAATAAATAGGAAAATCGCATTTAGAGTTTTCGATCAACTTTCTATGTTATGTTCTACATGCTGAGAAAGCTGGACGATAGATAAAATGTCTCGAAACTTGCACAAATACACTTTTCACTAATTCTTTTGTTCCGATGAATACAAGTCATCTATTAACAGCTAATTTTAATACTAAGACTTAACGTAATGACACACTAAAATCAAGTTCACTTCATAAAATACAAATCATGAATACAGAACAATTCACTTTTGACTTAATTATGTCTTATTAATTGAAATAAAGGCTATTGTTTCTAACATAAGGTTACGATAAAAATTTAAATGATCGGAAATTACATATTGAATAGTCCATGGAGAATCACTGATGAAAATAAAGGTTATTCCTCACCATTTTATAAAAGTAGGGAGACAGATACATGTAATTAATTATTAAGTGGTAAAACGGTTGACTTATGGTCCTAGTTATATCGATTAAGTAATCAGGAACATTATGTATATAATTCATATATAGTGATGCAAATATCAAACCATAAATAGCTGAGTAAAAAAGCTTATTACTTTTTACATTTCCTAATTAAGTGATTTTTTATCGAGTAATGTGTGCAAGCTTAACTATAGCAGTTGTTTGATGAAATAAATCCTTATTTATAGGATTTTTCTGTATCCACGTACTTTTTCAAGTGTTCACTGAACACTGTCAACTAGGCATACTTGAATCACAGGTTAGAGTAGGTCACATACACTGTTATTGTTCGGCACAACCACTAATTTTGACAATTTTAGAGAAAAGAGTGTACTTAGTCAAATTGAAATAAAACTTAAGTTTCTCGAAACTCACATAAGTGTTTGTTGGTTACTAAAGCAATGTGAGGTATGAAATTATGACTGGTATGATTGAAGTGTAAGCTTCCGCAAGGATATTTTAAAAATCAGCAGATATCCCATAGATGATATTCAGTTAAATTTCAGAAAATATTTTTATCATCATTATTTAGCTGATTAATTAAACACTTATCTATTTTTATTCAAATCAAGCATAAATGCTGTGGTTCTTTTGACTATCGTGACTTCCAAGATAATGAATCATTCAAACGACAAAATTGTAAGTGCGATTCCTTGTTCTAATCATTCAAAGATTTACTGGAAAGTAACGTTTTTATATGTTCATATTTATAGATTATTTGAAATATGATTTATTATTTCCCTTTTTTAATTCAATCACACGAAGACTGTTTTATATTACCGAGAACAGTGTCAGATTGATTTATCTATAAATATTTATATTTCGTTGGATTTTGCTGCGTCATTAATATCCCTTGTAGGACCCCATGATACATTCAGTATAAAGTGGAACTAAACAATTGATCCATATTGTCTTCAATCCTGTTCAGAACTGAAAGTGTTTTAATGAGTCTTCTCTTGTTATATCTAGATGGTTGTTTTCTTGATGTACCGCGTATAACTTGAGCACCAGAACGCCAGAACCCTTCCAAGTCGCAATGAGAAGACAGAAGACTAGTGAAAGAAATATTGTTCCAGACAGTGTCAATTATAGTACAAAATTGTCAGGTATTTATAGTTTTTAGTAAGAACGAAATCATCGTTACAGTCCTCCAATCCATATACAGGAAGTTATTAGCATTGTCCAACCGGGAAGCTACACATAGGGATTCTAGAATATTCTTCCGAAAGGTGATTGGATGGATATCTTCGGCCTCTTACAGCTTCCTCGAGTTTACCCGTGGACCGTCCTCACATCTCTGCAATCTGATACATTTTTGGACCAGAAATTACGTTCATGCTCTTACAATCGTCAATATAAGGTCCTCATCGATAATGTATGTAGGTGGTTTTAAATATAGATCTAACAACTAATTCAAAGAATACTGTTAAAAATGCTCTATCTAATAGTAATCTGACTGTAAATCTAAACTGTAGCAAAGCGGAATATGAGTCGGTAGTCTTTCGTCATCTAACGACACTGAATTTTATCTATTTGAATAATTTTAGGGTGTCATACGTGAAGTTAATCACGAAATGTAACTTTAATTAAGGCTGTCTTCACCAAGTTGAGTAATTTGAAATTAATCTTAAGGGTAACTTTAAGAAAGTGATACCACCGAGTTGCCCAGAAAACTGTAATTTATATTTTATGTTATTTTGAAGGTTTTATGTTCTTTGAGTTAAATAGTTTAGTTGTGAAGCTTTCGTTGTCTTTCTAAACAAAATCATCAACACATATCTTTAAAATAATTGAAATACCTCTAATAACTGAATCAACTTTATACATGGTAAGTTATTAAATATGATGATGAAACAATCATGTGGTCTGTTTCTTTTTTATGTATTTTCTAACATAAAATCAGTATTCTAAAATACTGTTAAGTTATAAAGAAATAAACTACTGTACAACTAGAAATAGATAAGTTGAAATTAATCTTAACTTAATGAACTTTGAACAGATTGATTCGGATAACTGATGGATTATCAAAATGTACATTTAAGACTATTCAGAATTCGAAGAGTGCTCTGAGTAGTCGAATACTTTATAAATGAATGTATGCTTGAGAAATACAAATGATTTAGTAGCATTGATAAACAGAGATTCAAAAAATTGTTAACACACATATTACTGAGGAGTTTACTAGTCGGTAGTAAAATCAAGTATTAATATAGAACTCTATCAATCAATCAATTAATTAATTTAATTACTTAAACTCCCTATTTTTTTAGATAAGATTCCAGCCTCTTGTTGTAAAGATATAAAAGACAAAGAATGCTGGGAACGTCCAACAACACAGAATAGTTATAAAGACACTGTGAGTTTTAATCTTGACCTTTTCATATAAAAGAAAGTCGATAAACATTAATATTTTTCAAAAAGGCCACTTTTTGTCCTAGAACTGCATTGTGTATTATAACATGACCACCATAGATACACATATCTTGGCACCAACCCTTAACGTAGCAAGATAAAATAAAAAATAATAAGTGTTTAGTAGATGTTAAGCTAATTGACTTAATATAACAGAAAATTAGCTCCACAGCTGTTGTTGTATATCGGAGATACTGAAAAGAACATTCGAAGAAATCATGTGTTTTCACTAATGAACTGTTTTTTTTTTACAATGAATATCGTGAAAACTAATATCTATCTAATAATGATATGTTAGTTCATACTTTACGACTATTGGTCTATGAATGTGATAATAAAGAGTGATATCTGATAATAAATGAGGGATAAAAATAACTTTGAGACATATAGTAACTTCCAGAATAACTGCTAAGAACATTAGTTTTGAAAGTGCTAAACATCAACAATAATACCAAATTTACAGTGAGATATAAACATGTTTTCTCTACTTAATTGAACTATCAAACGAAAAAGATCTCATGGTAAACTCAAATATTTGGTTTATATAGATAATGTCTGTTTGTGAATCCTTAACTGATGAAACGAATTTTGTCAACAGCACAGGTCGTTAATCAAATATTGACCTGGAAAATGCTACTAATGATAAAATGTAAATTTGTTTAGAATACAATTCTTTATATTCATTCAAGACTTCTTCATATTATTATCAATGATTATGCTTTATTTTTCAACTAAAGTTAAGGAGTTCGATTATCTATATTCCAGTATGTAACTACCCTACCATTATTATTGTCTGAAAAATGTTAGACAAATATCTCTCAGTTCTATTCGATAAAATCAGAACACTGGTTATAGTATCTATTTAAACATTGTTCACTAAGATAGCATCTTAGTTTTCAATAACCAAATATGAGAATTTACAGGCTTTAAATTATATAACGGTTAAGCAGAATACTCCAATAAACATCCGAGAATACGCTTGTTGTAAACATTTTTACGGGTGGTAGTTGGCATGTCATGATCTGTTTCATCCTTCAGTATTACCATTATCCTTGGCTTTAAAACATACCAGATAACTGAAGTGAAGTTTTATTGCCACGCTTAAGTTACTGACTTTACATAAGAAAAGACTACATTCGTTACTTGTAAGTGGAAGAATAGTTTGAAAACCACCGCAAGAGAATGAAATCAATGATTCTATTTATATGGAGGTCCAAAAGTTATGCTAAGTAAGATATGTTAATTTTATCTGTATGGCTATGGTAAATAACAACTATTTTTTACCACTAATTACTGGTCTTCTTTGAGATTTATGTTCCAAGTTGAAACTCGGTGGTAATGAATTCAATCCCGAGGAGGATAAATAAAATGGATCATAGAGAAGTACCAAATCAGGTCAAACTCGAATTTCAGTTCTGTATGATTTTAAAAGATATTATACTCCTCATGAGTCAGCGTTTAAACTTAGTTTCAAGATTACTAGATGCTTTTAAACAAATCACAAACTTTCTACAAAGCCCTGTAGTGTCCTACTAATTTTTGATATTTTCAAGAGTGAACTTATCCAGGTATACAGAGTAAAGTAATATCAGGAACGTTCGGATTACACTTGAGTATTTATGAATACACACCTGTTTGGTCTAACACTATCAAAATTATGAACAATCGGACTATTTGTATAAGACTTAACTTTTGATAGATCTATAGAACAGTGCTGCAGTTAACGCAACGAATTTAAGTAAAATAGATCTGATTTAATACGAGTTAGGAGCTAAACATTGTAGGAGATATATCTCACCATTGATTAATAGAAGCCAAAAGTGTCAGCGTTTTACGAGAGAAAATCAGAAGTAGTTTGTAAAGTCCAACCCAAATGCCATTAGTCCGGAAGTATAGATTGTCATACTTTACCCTTCTGATTACAAAAAGCAGAAAGGACAGCTGAAATTACATTTGATTCATACCAATCATTGGTTTAAATTTGAAATGTGGACTGAACATTCGGTCACTAATTTGCGCTTTAAAGATATTGTGTTTGTCACGAAGCCTGGAACCCACGTCCTCTACTCCATGCAGGAGCGCTAGACAGGCTTGACACATGTATCCAGTATTGTCAAGTCTGTAATGGTTTTTCAGGTTATATCACTTCGTGACAAAAACTATATACAGTCACTGAACATAAGACAGAATTTGGCAAAGTTGTTATTGTAATGTTTAAGTATATTTTATTCTTAGTCATCAAAAGGTGATTATTTTGCCTCATGTCACTCTTCAGTATCATGTGGCCTAATTATTTTAAGCATTTTATTTTCAGTCACTTGTTTATACATTCAAAAGTTCTTTCATCTATATTGATTTAAACACTCAGTTATGATTCACATTTGTTATAAACGGAAATATAGTTCAAGCGAGTGAGCAAAAGAACTTATATTTGGATCATTTTACAATTTAATATGATTTTCTCGTTCACTCCTTTCATTTTCTATTTTTGTTCATCCTTTTCAGGGTTGTTTCGAGTTTCTATGGTCAGCGGCACAATCAAGCTATCGAATTATTCTTTATATCTTGATTGGTCTGTTATTACTTACGGTTAGTTAATTAACTTATTTTTTAATTCAGCATCTAATTCATAGGAATTATATACAACATGGTGCCTTCATTAATTTAACCAAGGCCAAAACACTACGAATAATGAAACGAACCCATTCTATTTCAAGGCTTCTAATCAGTTGCAAACAGCTTAAAGTTACAAAGAACAATGTAATTAGAAACAACGGTATGATCCATTTTAGTTGGTCAACTTCATACTGATATCTGAAACGAATCTGCAAGTCACAAAGATCGACATTGAATACAAGATTCAGTACTGCAGTAAATTAAAAGTATTACATAATATACGTCAAAAATAAGATAAACAACTGGCAATATGGATAGGAGTTAATTACCTATAATTATTGTCTAGTCTTTGATAATATTTTATCATAATTATCGGTAGTTAACTCCAATTTACATTGCCAGTTGACGTATATTATGTAATACTTTTAATTTACTGCAGTACTGAATCTTGTATTCAATGTCGATCTTTGTGACTTGCAGATTCGTTTCAGATATCAGTATGAAGTTGACCAACTAAAATGGATCATACCGTTGTTTCTAATTACATTGTTCTTTGTAACTTTAAGCTGTTTGCAACTGATTAGAAGCCTTGAAATAGAATGGGTTCGTTTCATTATTCATAGTAATTAGTTGAATAAAAAGTTTAGTATATTGCTTGTTTAACATTATCAAAGTATTCCATAACTGACGGTATCACCGAGTACGTTTCCTGTAATTATGCCAAACAATAAATCCCACACTCGAATCCAAAATAACCGGAGAAATAAATGTAACTGGACTACTCAAAAGTGAGAAGTGATTAAAATCATGAATCGATCAAGGTTAGACCACTATTAAAAACCTGGAAGCACTGGAAGGCCGTTTCGTCCTAGTATGAGACTCTTCGGTATTGTATATCCACGATCCAATACTCAGGATGGTCACTCAGTACTGTGGATCGATTGACGTTCGACATTAACACCGTTGGATGCGGGATCAGTGGTCTAGAGGTTAAACGTTCGCGCGCGAGGAATCCCATGCTGTGACGAAACAGCCATCCAGTGCTTCCAGGTTTTAAATGGTTGTCTAAAATTGATTGATTCATGATCTCAATAAAAACTCAACAATCTCTACATCCTTATAGTGATAAGAAGTGATTGTTAATTTAATTATTCACATGTTAACTCGTATTTTGAGTCCTTTCAGTTCTAGATGTTATAACGGGGAAAAATAATACATGACTAACCGTTTGATCTGGTTGTAGCCAGGTGACGGCTGCTCACCAAAATCAACTTGCTGATGCAATGAGCTACTGAAAAGATATTAAGAAACAGAACAGAAAATAAGTTGGTTCATGTGATAAAACTGCGTGCCTGTGTACAAACTTTTTTTTATACCAAATCAATATGATTAAGATTGATTTAAAAAGTAAATAGCTGCATGATTCCTAATTCATAGGTCATTAATTTATGAAATTAAGCACTGATTAACAGGTTTGCTTAACTGCCACCACAGCATTGTTATGATGAATCAACAGAGAGAATAAGTTGCTACATCCCCGAAGAAATAGTTGAGATTTAAGTCAAGGCAGTAGAGTACAGTCCTGACTACTTTTGAAGCTGTTAATGGAAGTAAAAATGGTCTACAGTAAGATTAAAGGTATTAGTCAATGTTTCTTAGAAATTAATGGTTTGACTAGAAAAAATCATTTTCTAAAATGATGTTGTTCAAAATCTCCAGGATTTTGCTCCAAAGTAGAGTGGTGATTTCATTTCTTTCACTAGTTTAAAAGACAAGATCAATTTATAGCTACCAAAGCTGTACGTTTACTATTTATTTGTGATGATCTGTTATAAAATATGGTGAACAAATATCTCTTGACAGAGGTCAGTCAAACTATAATAGGATCATTAGATTTCGGCTCATAGATAGCTATTTTAACTGATAAATTAATGGATAAATTAATTAAAATCGAAACCTATCGAGAAGTCTAACCTACAAAAAGCAACATATCACGAACATAAAACACCACCACACAAATAACTATAAATTCATTTTTCATTTATCAACCGTCTTACTTGATGATTGCTATATTTTCTTTTTGTTTCCTTTTATTCCATAGTTTACATTCGCGGTTATCTCTATCTACCTGCTGACACGTTATTCAAGGGAGAAAATGCAATTGTTGTAGAGAAAACAAACAATTTCACCATTTTATTTGCTTTATATCTCTATCTCACCTAATATCCCAGTTGAATTTATCTTTAGCACATATACCCTATTTATTTAACGTATTATATACAAATACCTAGGATCATCATATAAATTATAAAATGCGAAACTGTCAATTTATAAATATTTGATTATGGTTACACATTTTTGTCATCAGTGTACTTCGTACTGATCGGTTAAACACACATCCAGAGTTAAATTAGCGCCAAGGAAAAGTTTCGATTTAGGAAAAACAAAAACAAAACAAAAGAAAACTGTAAAAAGTGAACAGTTTAGAAAAGGTATCCTGTAAAATTCAGTTTCACTCGTCTTTTCTTCTTATTTAAGACGCTTAATCCATCTTCAAAGTGTTACAAATAAACATTTTAAAAGCGAATAACGTTTAATTTAGAAAAAGTCACTAGAAAAAAATCTCTTATCTAACTTCACTTTATTGTTATGCGGACATTTATTATTAGTCACCTGACATGTGTTATTCTACTTGCTTTCTCATTATATACATATCAATATAAACATTAATTCTATATTATTCAAATTATATTAGCGCCTAACCAATAAATATTGCACATGGCTTAATAATATGCAAGTACTATCGTACATCCTTTTTCATATGCTCTATGTACATGTAGTATATATATATATATATGCTTATCATTCTGCTAACATATTCACCCATTAAATATACTTCATGTTTATACCCCATCCATGTTCTTATTGATTATTAACCATATTTTTTTAGAATTTTTTTATTGTTAATATTTATATGCAAATTAGTTAGAAATGAGAGTGAACAACATTTCATATTAAAGTTAATTAATAGTCATATAAAGTTTATCTAAATTTCTGAAAATTGAACAGATGATTTTCATATTCATATCAGAAGGGTTTTGTGGATATGATAGTAAGTTCAATGGTTGAGATCATGAGTCAATTGAAGCTAGACCACCGTGGAAAACCTGGAAGCACTGGACGGCCATTTCGTCCTATTGTGAGACTCCTCAGTAGTTAGACATTAACACCGTTGGATGCCGGCTCCGTGGTCTAGTGGTTAAGCGCTCGTGCGCGAGACTGATAGGTTCTGGGTTCGAATCTCATGGGGGCGGGATCGTGGATGCGCACTGCTGAGGAGTCCCACAATAGAAAAAAACGGCCATCCAGTGCTTCCAGGTATTCCATGTTGGTCCAGCTTCAATTGAATCATGATCTCACCCATTGAGATTTTCTTATTCTTCAATCAATTATGATACCTTATCTTCATATTTTGGTTTAAGCTGTTGTTTAATATCGAAAATCTTCAACCGACTGCAAATAATTCATTGTGTAGCTTATTGTTATGACTCTAAATTGGGTCGATTTTTACCCTGTGCTAATTATTGTGTCCTTGACTGGAAAATTAGAGAGCAGCGTACTTATCGATCGATTACAGTGACACGTAAACACGTACGGACGGCCTAGAGTCTCTATTGGTCTCGCTTCCCTGTCTAGCCCAGTCAGTTGAGTCCAGAACACAAGTCACAACCTCTGAGATATGAATCATTATATTTCAAACATACTTTGTTTATATACCAATCAAGCACACCACATCGTACCATAAAATAGAAAACAACATTTTGTACAATATTCAACAAGTGAACAGATACCGACCAATAGGAAATGTCCATTTAAAGTCCAAGGACACCATTGGACTTAACATGATAATTATTAGTCTATTCCTCCGCATCCACAACACTTATCATGAGCGAAATTAGACGTGAGCTAATTGGATAGGAAGAAAATCCTTGTGAAGCATTAGAATTCATGACTAGTCTACCAAAAAAGGAAACTGATTTCCTTTCATTTTCTTATCTAATCTACAAGTGTCCATAATATGTATTTGTTGACAATTTCATTAACATGTACGTTGTCATAGAACAGTACAAATGATCTAAAATGACGAATCTAAAATTGTGGTACTCAGTTTTCAGAATCATACACAGCCTACCAAATCCCTACGTCTTCAAAGTTTACGAGCATACTATTTTAAATTTTTAATTCGAATTTTGTATATTCCTTGTCAAAGACGGTTAAAACATTCCATCTTCTGAAACCATGGACGGTAGTTGCTGATTTATATATTTTTACTACAGTTAGCGTTGATTACTTTCATTGATGTTTCTCTCCTACTTTTCAAACAAACACATCTTAAAATAGTTGAACTCACAAATAATATTATAAGAACAAACCAGTTTTCTTGTTTTACGACAGTATGAACACTAAATAATTAAGTTCCTTATTTCCATAAAAAAAATTTTCAATCTAATAATTCTTTGAATAGAAGACAGATTCTCCCAGAAAATTTCAGACAGTAGGATTATCCTAAGAAATGAATGTTTTTTGAACGTTTATCTACTACCAGTTTAAACTGTTGGGCTTTTTGCATTCCAAATGACAAGTCATAGAATTTGATTTTACATTGAACATTAGTGACACTAATCATACCTATACTAAGAAATAGCAACATAAAAGGCGTTCAAACTATGATGCAAGGCTGTATACAGCATCAACTGGTTTAATAGTAAGATAAGTGTGGATATGTTATTATGTCAAATGTCACTACATATATGTACTTTTGGGTTGTGCGTACGCGTATTTCATTTTGCTTCAAATAAATAAGCATGGTTTTTTTTTCAACAAAGAACTCGGTTAATAGTTTATTGTCAGACTGAATATTTTAAGTAATCGCAAACTTTTGGACTAAAAATAATGCGAATTAAGACGACACGTTATTTAGGGCCATGGGTCATCTAATCACAATTTACCAAAAATTAAAATATAGGACAGGATGCAGAATTTGGTGTTACGGAATGTTATATAGGAATATATCTGAAGAAAGTTGTAACAAGCTGATGACCAGATGAGGTTAAAATTTTCTCAGTCTAATGACTGTTTGTGTAATTTTCATAAGAATTTCACTTCTTGTTTAGTAAGGGATAACTAACAATTCAGCTAAATATACCGGGTATGAAAATTGAAGTTAGTAAGACATTGACGAACTACAAGCAAAGATAGTGGCTAGTAGTGGGATCCATCTCAGTTGATGTCCACTCCGGAACTCGAACCCAGTACTGTCCGCTTCAAGCACCATCACGTTATCCGCTTAGCCACTGAGTCCCGATAGCCACTAGTTTGTGCAATGGGTTGAAGTTTAAATTGATTTGTTATTGTTTATTTGTATCTTCCCATTGTTGATGCCCATATGCCAAGAAGCGACTGATCAGTCGCAGTCCTGAACAACAATGGAAAATACAAGTAAATAATACTAAGTGAATTTAATGACGAATTACGTTTAGATATGAACTTCATTGGTAAAAATGGAGATTGAGACAATGATTTCAGATTTCTAAGAGGTAATAAAATGTACTTTGATTTTATAAAGTAGATTTCTGAGAAGTTTTGCATTGAAATACAAGGAAAAGTTGTTTAATGGGTAAGTTAAAAATAGAGCCACCATACCGACCTACTAATAAAGATTAATTGAAACAGTATTAGTTTGGTGAGTAGAATCACTAGTCGAAACGAGTTATATGTTAAAATTTTATGTTGACACTAAAGTATTAGCAAGAGACAATATTTCAAACTCATGGAATCACAAATTTTTATACAAGACGAATGGATCAGCAAATATATGGGCCCTATAATTACGAAGGTACTGTCAATAAGATTAGCATGAGACATCTAATAAAATCAAAACTCGGATTTCACGAAAAGGATGTTCGGTTTTGTATGTTTATTTTAGAATTGTTAAGTTCATTGTAACTAGCAAAGCATCTTGTTATTTTGACAGGAGTCAGAGTGTACATAAACTTCAACCTTTATTACAGATGAAAATTTAGTAGTGAGAAAGTCCTATCCTCTGTCGTTCATAGGACTAGTGGGTTTAACCGAGGCTAAGCAAAATGGTACATCGAGTTTACTCCTATAAATGCTTACCACGTCAGTAGGAATACTTTTAATTATGTTTATTGTCCATTAAAGTCTAAATTCTCGGATGGGACGACAGCGTAGACAAAATGTGTGATTAAGTAACAAATGCAGTGTTTGAATCACGGTTTTTTAAGTTTGATGAATGAATGAATTTGAGAAATCATTTTTCTTTATATTAATGTAATACATCAGTGTCACTATGAACTCGAAAATCAGTTCAAGACCGACACTATGATATCGGATGTTTCTGAACATCTGTAACCATCATCTATTAAATCAAATTGGTGATAGCAAAAGACTAAATACTGTTTCTCAGAAAATTCACAGCATAAATAGTGTTTATAAGTTTTCGAGATTTATTTATGTTAGTGCGACAAAGAAATGTATTGACCGTTCAGTTCTCAATAACAAAGACACACTGTAAATGTTTAATGGAATTCAATGGGAAAAGACACTTCATAAACGGTCGACTCGACCAAAGATGCTTCTGGTTCTTTTATCCAACTGCTTGACAGTCGTAGGATTTATGCTATTTTCTAAAAAGTAGCAAAGATCCATTGTCTATAGTTTTTAGATTATCTCAGATGAATTTGGAAATCCTCATGTGCTTTGTACTAACCTGGATATTTTTTAAATATAAGTATAAGGAAGAACCAAATATGTATGTTTAAGAAGATATCAACAGAATAATATTGTAAACTCATAAGAAAATAACTTTATAGGCATTGCTGGGTGCATCAAGTTAAACCAATCTGTTCAACGTAAAACTTTTGAGGAATAAACTTCACTATAGTATTGTAATTTTAGATTATAGTAGTATTAAATAGCCATTTCGAACTACTTTAATTTCTCCATTTATTAAAGGAATATATTTTTAAAATAGAACTATTTAATTGGTTGGATATAATATGATAAGCTTACATGGTTCCTCAGACAGCACACAGTACTTTGATATCATTAGTAGTTTCTTACTCTCTGATACTGATTTCTTAAGTGATATTTTCAGTACAAAACCTAGTTATTGGTTGACAACTAATGTCATGTTTATATTTTTATTACTGACAGAAATTAACTTCAGTACTCTAGTTTTTAATTTGAATAGTTGTATTCGATGATTCATGGTTGATTGACAGAATTCAGTTGACAGAGGTTTATAAATAAACAATATCCCACATCTAAATGTGATGCTTTCACGCAATCATTTACCTTAACAGTACTAAGAATCATTGAATCACACGTTATTATTAAAAATAAGGTTTTCATTTGAATTTGAAAAGAATATATTTCTCGTCATTTTAGGGGTGTTGCAATCGTATGCAACAATAAAGAGGGTATCGAATGAATGGCCTTTAATTACTATGTATTTATCAAACCATTCAAAACGAAAATGATAAATAATACAAGGAGTTCGACGCAGGCTGTCATTAGGTTACTGATTGTGACACTGAATATTGCGGATCCAAGTCTGATGGAACGTAAGATTTGATAACTTTACAGATATATTTTGCTGCGAAATTCCATGATGTGAATAGCCTAGATTTAAAAATTATTGTTGATTGGTTGGGAAGATGAAATACTAAACCTCCTCCAACATGATACGGAACCATTTAAATTTGATGATTGAAGATAATCGTCAGGAAATCCTCGACTTTTGTGCTAGTTAGCACGTCAAAGGGGTACTTTCAATGCTCAAGGAAGTGGTGTGCCTCATAGAATTTGCCGGGTTTAGTAATATAAGACGTCACTTTTGAGCTGTAACTGGTCTGTAGGACTAAGATAATTCTCCTCAAGACTACAGATGCATCTTGTTAGTCGGTGCCAACTAATAGAAAACCCTGGTCTAGGGTTTCCTAGTGAGAACCTCGAATCATGTAGCACAACCTAGACTGTTGGTTGTATTGAAACTTAATCTGTAAAATTTGATCAACTCGAAGGAATAAGCAAACCGGACACTACTATTGAGAAGTACTCAGCCAATGTAACCATTTAGCTTGATGACCACATTACAAACGCGGTTGGTAGGATCCATTCTACTCTTCAGTGATCAATAAGTATACGGATGCATATGTCAATCAGTCACTCGTCTTCATTTAATCAATGTGCACTGGAACGGATGATAGAACATAGTTGTAGAGCCAGTCTGATAAACAGAATATATATATTTTAACTACCACTAATTCACAGATGGTTGTTTCGTTTATCTAGCTCTAGCCTAAACATTTTTACATCCCCACTTCTATGCCCATATCAGTATCAACCAACCTAATGGATTATTTTGAGAAAAAGCCAAAATGTGAAACAAAATACCTTCAATGTATTTCTTTATTACTGGCGTTAAAAATAATTATTTTTGTAGAATACTTTTTCACTCTACTATGTGTAACATTTATCAAACAGACCAATAAGGAAAAACTTGAGAGACAGAGAAAAAAGAAAGATAGGCAACTTGCCTGGGTGAAGTTAACAGAAACGATAAATGAGATAAACATGTGTGCAATTCAAAGTACACACAAAATACGATATATTTACTGCAAGGATGCTGATAATGATAACAGTAATAATAACAACAAAAATAAAGGCAATCTTATTTATACCGTAAATGGGATGATATATATATAAATTAATCAACAGAAGTAAATTTCCCAACATTCCTCTTCCCTACCACTAGTAACATGTGTTCACTTTATCTGCTTCATTGAATGACAATGAACATCTTACAATCTCAATGAAAAGGTGTTAGTTTTTCGTTCATTTCATTTTTACTGACTGGTTGTCTTACTCCAGAACCAAAAATTGGAAGAATAACGGAAGATAAGAAGTAACAAAGCATATAGACAATCACACATTAAACAGAAGAAAGACTAAACAAAATTCAGCATTGAATGTAACTATATCGAGAAATAAAATGATGTACTAGACAGATTATATATTTTATGATGGAATGCCGAGAATGAATGTCACAGGAGACGAGACCTGTGTATTTCACTTACTGAAGAAATTCTGATGATCGAATAAAAAAGTGAAGAAAATTTCAAAAAGGATATTCTAGATTATCTATCTATGTATATAGATGTACGTCATCATACTTCAACAGAGTCATGTGAAACTCTCCTCAAAAGGATAACTGTTACAGAAATATAAAGTAAACCGAATATAACACATTTGTTGATTCTCTCTCAATTAGCGTTTCCCATAAAGTAGAACAAGTTCTAAATTTTATGGATATTTTTCACAATAACAAAATGTTTAACATCAGATGAGATTAAACGAGTTTACTAAAAGCAACTTCGTATCATGAAATTAATTCAGAAAATAGGTTTGAAATCAGCAAACGTAAGGATGAAGATAACGATTATTCTAGGCGTCCTTTCTGAGCACTAGTCAGATCCGTTGCAGTAAATTAAAGTTAATGTGTGTATGTGTAAAGAAGCGCGCAAGCAAAAGCATCTAAATAGTCTGTAAATTTATCTTAAATTCGCAGTTTTTATTATTCCACCAGGGCCTGGAAGTTGTGTTTTACCCATTAAATCAAGATCCACTTGACGTGCTGCAAGCCTACCCTCGTTAATTGCATGTACCACGAGAGATTGCCCACGTCGACAATCTGAAATTTCATAGAAACAATGGGAATGGAAAATTTATTAGAACAGTACATTTGATATTTCTTTTAACGATATAAATTATAAAATGAATAATTCCTTATGACAAAATAAAGTGGATATATTCAGTTCATTATGGTGAAAGTGTTTCTCAAAAACTCGGAGGTCAGTTAAAATTCTGAATTGGAACAAAAGTCCAGAGAACTGTCATAGATTTTAACGCTTTACTGGTAAAATAATCCATCTGAAAGTCAAAGAAACATCGTATATAGCGCACATGTCTGAGGAGGTTGAAAGTTAGCACAGAATTATTGAGCCATTCAAATGTAAAAGTCTTAAGCATCCCCTTCAGTAATGGTCATTTCCATGAGAATTCATATAAGCTTTGAGGAAAAATACTCGTTAATAACACGATACTTCATTCTTGGAGTTTAGAGCATTACTTATTCTACTTGTCTTAATTGCATTTTCAGAATGGGGGTTTTGTGAAGATTTTAGTAATTTAATAGTTTAATTCATGAGTCGTTTAAAGCTAGACCACCATGGAAAACCTGAAAGCACTGAACAGCCGTTTCGTTCTAGTACGGGACGAAGCCCGCGTTCGCTACCGTGGATACGCACTGCTGATGAGTTCCATGCTGGGGTGAAACGGCTATCCAGTGCTTTCAGGTTTTCCATGGTGGTCTAGTTTTAATCGACTCATGAGTTCAACTGTTAAATTATTTGTATTTTATGGAAAATAGTACACTGATGAAATAAATTCCTTAACTATTTTAGTAGTTCAGTCAAGATTGATGGGTCATAAATATCTAGATCAACTATATCACGTACTAGTGAATCAGATTTAATTAAGCTTACTTGAAATTTTGAACCAGTGTCATTCAGCATCCTGAATTATTATCAATTCCAAAATGAATTACACAGCTAATGACTGAACGTATAACTCATTTTTTTCAGATAGCAACACCAAAGTAAAAATGACGATAATTTTTCGCTCAAATTCTATTTATTTTGATTTAGATTTAGTAGTTAAGTATTTTGATTTAGTTGTACCTTATCACTTTGTCTCATTTTCTAAACAGAAATTAATTTATTCAATCAAAATTAAGGAAAAAATAATTGAATTCACTAGTCATGTTTTTGTTTTCAATTTAGGTTTATGCTACGTAATGTATGTAAATGCGTGCAAGTACTTGTTTTGTTGATAAAGTTAGTTTTTTTATAATAATGTTCTGATTATCATGAACAATATAAACTAGAATATGCTCCGTTATGTTTGTGACAAGTAAACTAAATATAACTGTGTGGTGTGGGTTACTTATATCCACGCAAGTAGTATATAACGGTGGTCAGGCATAGAATGTATGTCGGTAGAAGGTCTATGAGGAAAGAACGGGAACGGAATGCAATTGGTATGAAAATGCATGAATAATGAAATCTGAGACAATAGATTGATGTTTGCAACAGGAACAGTCAAGTTTGAGACGATGGATTGAAATTTTGCAGATTAACGATTTACTATGGTTCTCAGATTTTAGTGAGATGCTCTGTAATTTTGTCTCTACTCGTGTTCTTGTTGATTACAACTGTATTTGTTGACTTTACGTAAAATTCTAACCGCCCGGTAACTGATTTAAAAGTCACTTCACCACAGCACCGTTATCATCAATAGTTTTTATTTATTTTCATAAGCATCTTTAAATCTTAGGCTATAACAATTTAAAAAAACTCAATGTGATATTAACTGTTTAACATAATTAGGTTAACAACATCGCAATCAGTAGCGTTTAATGATTTTGGAAGAAACCTAAGTTCATAAATCGATTTAATTAACTAATAGTAATCTGATTCCCAAAACTGCACGATTAAAGGATAATAAAGCAAATGTAAGCCGCAACAATTTCTGACATTTTCATCACCAGTTGCAAAAATCCACTGATATCAGTAGCCAATTTACTTCACGATTATATGCAGTACACTCAAACCGACTCTAAAGAGTTATTTGGTCGTTTATGCAGATGCACTTATACTACTTATCTACTAAATTGGTTTTTCACTTGCAAATTAATAGGTCTCAAAGTTTTTCAAGGAAATCATACTGCCATTTCCTACTTCTTCACTGAAACCATGCAATAGCAATGATACCTTCATTTAATAATCCAAGACTGAACACCTTAATCCTCTCCTTTCTGAGTTCATAGGTATCAATGTCAACGTTGGACTTGATAGTTTCACGAAACGCCAGAAATACAACTTTTCTACTCATTGGGATATAACAAAAGATATATTTATTATCTCTCCTTTCTGTTTGCCATCAAGGTATATGCTAATATGTCATGTGGATACAATAGAACTTAACTAAACTAATCGCTGAATATTCGAATACTGCTTAAATAGAATGATGTTTTGTTTTATTTATTTACTTCGTTCTTTTTGAGTAGTATTTGCAACTTTTCTGTATAATAACAGTATGACAATGGCAGAAATTATCACTCGTTTTTATCTCAAAAAGGGAAACTGCCAAAATAAGAGCAGTTGAGTGTAAAGGGAATGGGTCAATTCAGAAGTAAGTGTTTTTGACTTATTAGTGAATAAATATATATGGGGATTTAGAGGAGTCATATGTTGCTTATCAAAATGATTAATTAGTCGATAAAAGTTCGCGCCTTCAGCTTTTTTTTGTACACAACTTAAATCAAATTCCTTAGACTGTATAACAATAATCTGTTTCATGTTTTATACAAATTCATTGAAATATTCTTCAAATTGCATCATATATCAAACGTTGCTTGGGTTGTGTAACATAACCAACAGTTTGCTTGACTCTTTTGTATTAAAACTCACTTCTCAACTTAGCAGTACCTTCTGAGCAATCTACGCACCTGGAAGTTATCGTAATGACGTCCAATTTGTAAAATATCACTTATTTTTTAGTGCAAATCCTTCTTAATCATGCAGGTAAATATACAGGTGACATCTAAACGAGAATCAAATATTTCCGAAGCCCTATGAAAAGGTGAATGGTAGGAAATATCAGAAGATTTCGTCAAAATGCTTAAATAACTCATTATTTTATCATAACCAGTACAAGTTTCTAAGTAGTAACAGTAGTGGACTGAATGAACTGTCATACTTCATTAATTTAAACCAAGCAATTGAAAAACTAGCTACTGAGTATCACTTAACAGTATAAGGGTGAACATAAATAGTTCTTAAACTGAATGTTTATCACCAATGTGTTCATTTTATATTACTGTATTTTTCATATAAGTTATATTAGTGTAACTTTATTTCGAAAGTGTGTCTAACTGTAAAACTCCAAGGTTGGCACTTCTTTAAACTGTATTGGTACGTGAATACAAGTTCGTTGTTTGTCAATCAATTCACAAATAAACTTTGAAATGATGAAATGTCTGTTGAAGCTGAAGAATTAAATTAAGTACAAAGTTGAATATCCTGGCTTATCAGGTATGATTTGGATTCTAGAAAAGTGAAGATAATAGATCACGTAAAGGTTATTTTTCTATAGCACAGAATAACTAGAATAGGCTTAGAAATACTGGAACTCTTAAAAAAACGTATAATTTTTAAACTATAAGGATCTTTTGTGATTATAAATGATGTTACTAATAATATATGGCTATTAAATTTTAGTTTGAATACAAATAAAAAGTTGGACGTCTGAATGTAATTAAGGAGATCTCACTTACCTCCAGCAGCATAAACCTTAGGAATGCGTGTGGTGTATGGTTTATCGGGTAGAACTTGAATTACTGACTGACTAGTTAAATCTAGTTCGAATTCCTTGATTAATGTAGTTTCAGGTCCCATAAAGCCCATAGCTAGTAAGACCAAATCACATTCGAATGTTTCTTCAGAATCTTATAGAAAAAAATTGCAAGAGAGAAGTCTAGTTCATTGGTTGAGCTCGAATATTTACATGATAATACTATAACTTGATAAATAAACATACTATTTAAGAACACTATTCATATCAATAAATCAACAACTTGCCATAAAATAGTCTTCGGAATCAAAGATAATATATTGACAAAAATCAAAGTGACCACTGATATTACTGGAGGTATAAACGCATCAGGATTGCCCAGGACAGGGTTGGATGGAGAATGCTGGTGAGCGGCCTATGCTCCTTCACGAGGAGTAACAGGCGTAAGTAAGTAAGTAAGTAATAAACGCATCACTGTTCCTCTTTAAAAAAAATACCTCAATGCCTTTTGAAATTTTTAATACATAAATTATGCACTTGACTTTGGTGTTTCAGATCGGTTATTTGTAAAGTGCACTAAGTTCCAAATCTAATTCATCAAACAAGTGTTATCTAACAATTAAAAAAATCTGAACCAGTGAAAATGTCTTTTGGTTAATTCAAAGCTAAAATAACAAATTATTCAACATAGTAATGGATCATTCAAGCAAAGAATTTGTTCTTTGACAAATCTATCTTTCATAGTTAAGATCATGAGTCAATTGAAGCTAGACCACCATGGAAAAGCTGAAAGCACTGGACGGCTGTTTCGTCCTGCTGTGCGACTCCTCAGCAGTGAGCATCCACGATCCCACCTCGCAAAATTCAAACCCAGGACCTGTCTGTCTCGTGCACTAGACTATATTATTGAAAATTCACATTTTTAAGTGAATTCACTACTTACACTATTATATTTAAGTTCTGGATTATATGAAAAGTTAACTGCTTAATTAAAATATATCATGTTGTACGTAGTGTACTTCATTCAATTTTACTTAATACGTTCAAGTTCAAATTATTACGTTTTAACCTAGTTTTAGTTGATGCACAATCACGTAGTAATGTAGACGAATTTCGACAAATAGTAAATTTTGAACTGTGAAATTGTTTCTAAAGATGCAACAATCAATGTGAATTTTCTAAAATATAGTGCAAACTAATCAATTAACCATGAAGATATATACTAAGATCTAATTTCTCTGTTAGGAAACGTTTCACTGATACCTGAGTATGCACCATTTCTGGGAGATAAAGTACGTATGTTCTTCGGATTAAACAAAATAGATAGTTATGACTTCAATAATTATCTGACAGTGATATTGTAAAACAAACTATGAAATTTACTTGGTACTTCATTCATTAACCACTTCCCGGTACTTGATTTGGTCCATGCAACTTTAGTAGTACGTATCCCGCCTACTGATCCTTTCCCGTTGTCTAGAAACTCTTTAGTTATTGTATTAAATTGTCTTGGGTCCCCGTTTATACGAACAGCAACTTCTGAGTGCCCATAATCTACTCTCCATATGCGAGGCCATTCAGGCCATGGATTTTCATTAATATCACGATTAATTGGTGGTGGTGGGAGAATCTCAAACACACGAATATTTTCAGCTCCCTGAGGAATAAATATTAAACAAGACTTATAAGAAAATAAAAATGCATTATTTGGTTAACAAGTTATGGTTCGAGCTAAGATTGCTTAATACACTTATAATTTCGAATTTAAAACAAATCAATACGGTTATATTCTAAGGATTATCAAAACAGTACATCAGCATCCTATGATGTAAATAATTTGCATTTCGCTGAATTTTAAAACAAATTAATTTCTAAGTGAAAGTTCATATCATCCAGTACTTTTGTGGTTATCTATGCTTATTTTAAAGTTACTAAGTACTAAAATATAACTCTCTTCATATAAAAATTTGACTTACTTGGCGTACAGATGTAGCAATACAATCAACACCTGTGTCACCCCCACCGAGTATAACTACACGTTTACCTTTGGCTAATGCAGCCACAGAATCACAATCAAAATTATTATCGTTTTGAAGATCAAAATATGTATGCTTTATCTTATTCTTGTGTTGATAACGTTGCCAGCGTTCAAGGAAACTCATAGCAAAATGAATACCTTGAAGTTGACGACCTTAAAAATAAAAATTGTTTGAAAAATAAAAGAATATTATTGTAAGATCATGATAGTAACATATTCTTAGAAAAAAACTTCATTTATAACAATATCGGTGAATATCTAATTGTAAAGATCATATGCAATTTGAAAAAAGTTAGTGATTACAGTTGATTCTGATTTTTTCAAACATATTATAACCCCAGTGTCCTCGACATCGTTCAACTCTACTAGACTGTTGATACTGAGTAACTGTCATTATATTAAATTGGTGAAAAAAAATTTTCTACAGATTTTGCTTGATTGATAATGCAATCCAAGACTCGTCATTAAAATAGTTTCCTCTTATTCTTTAAAACTTACCCATATGTCATAGTTGAGTAAGATGGATTTTTCGGAATAGTTCAAAATTGAAGTTAGATATCGGTTGACAAAGGCTAGTATACTTTCAGCTTCAGCGATTATCCTAACTCGTCAGGGAAATATTATTACTGTCGACATTCAATCAAGGATTCTGAAGGTGACTTATGTACCTTTAACTTCCTGATTAATTTGTTGTCATCTTTAAAGAAACTGAATGGTAAAATTATCATCTTATTCACAGTAACGTACAAAATGATTACCTGGAATATTCAAATCCCGAGGCCAAGTGGCACCCAAACATAAAACTATTGCATCAAATTCATCCAGTAGTTTTCTAGCTGACCAAATGTTTTCACTATCTGCTGGATCGCGACAAACGGAATTTAAATCTCTGGGTTCTGAAGGTTGGCCATCATTACCGACCCGTGTATTTAGCTCGAACTTAACGCCATTGGCTTTCATTAGATTTAATCGGCGATCTAGAACTTCACGGGAAAGTTTCATAGTTGGAATTCCATATCGTAGTAAACCACCAGGTAAGTTTCTTCGTTCGATTACTAGTACATCGTGTCCAACCTGTAAAAGCAGAAAATTAATTGTTACCGTGATGAATAGCCTATTTACTGTGCAGTTGACTATTTTATGCTGTGTTTAAACCTATCATTATAATACAAAACAATTTCATACTGTATATTTCGAATTCGCGCTCTTGGTTGCATCCTGAAGAAGTTCTAGACTTATTGGGATTGGTACTACTTCATTATATTATTTCAAATTGACATCTGGCGTCACGCTTACTTCTATAAATTTGTTGTTACAAATGTTTACATTTATGAGTTCCGTCTTTAAGTTTCCCCAGTAAATGTGTTTGAGCATTTAACATAAACTATGTTCAGCGGAAAAAGACTCAACGAATACACAGTTTAAAATTAAATCAAACTTTTTTTGAACTAGGAAATAATTATTGCTTTTCCCACGTATTTACCTTATTTAGTTGATCTGCACAAGCTAAGCCGGACGGACCACTACCAATAATTGCAATACGTTTACCAGTTGGCATACGATTCTCATCAGGAATAGGATGTAACCAGCCATTTTCCCAGGCTTTGTCTGCAATGGTACCTTCGATATGCTTTATAGTCACTGGATCAGAGTTTATACCAAGTACACAAGCACCTTCACAAGGTGCTGGGCATACACGACCTGTGAACTCAGGGAAATTATTGGTTTGTGCTAAAGCAATATGAGCAGCGTGCCAATCACCCTGTATAGAGAAAAATCGTAAAAAGAAACGTTTATTTTAACTCAACTAAATTTATGAAACCAAAAAAATGAAAATCGCTGTTAAAAACATTAATCAAATGAAAGAACAACATGACTTGAAACCAATAAACTGATTAAAATCCTACACACTAAGCTCAGACATACTTATGTTTTTTAAACTCACATCCCTGTTCGTTTATTAGAGGATTCAACTCTCAACCATATGATTTTAGATTTGAAATACACATCTTCCTTTCTTTTAGAAAGTTGGGATTAAAACTAACCAAGATACCTTAAGTGTGGCTCAAAGCCGGATCCATATACCTATAATATTATTAGTCACAAGCCTTCTGGATAAGGACTTGTAATAGAATCCTCAAGTACCCAGTTATTGTACGATTCCTAATTTTCACTAGCTTCAATATACGTTTAAATCCTCATCTTCAGAAAAAACACGAGATATTCATGAATGATGTTTACCGTATGTACCTCTATTGGAAGTTGTGCGACCAGTCACTTTAGACATTTGCGATAAAATGAAGTGTAAGCTGTACACACCAGTGTGGATAATTTCTAAAGCAGCAAACAAAGAAAGTGTTGGGGTGATCCAGAAAACTTTTCGCACAAGACAAAAAAGACTCAGGAAACACTAAGAAGCATTTGATCCAATCAGTATTCACTAGAAGTTTAGCCAGAAAATCAAGAAAGTGAAGTCACATGTAGAGTTTCTGATTAGCTGATTACTATATTTCTCCTATGTTCAGTAGCATTCCAGAATTTTCGGGGAACCCAAGGAAATCTAGAATATTATAAAAACCCTATATTTTCTGTACTAGAACGAACCTTTGGAGTAAAGTGCTTCTCGCATAATTTGCACCTTTTCTCTCGTGTTCAGGTCGCTGCGTAATTCTAGATTGGAGGTTACGAGAATACCTTAGGAACCGAATATAGCGTTCAGTTAGCAAGACTTATCAGAAAGTATCTCACAGTTGATCTATACAAATAACTGAAACATATAGAACTGAAGATTTTCAACAAGAGATAAGAAATATTTGCATGAAAAATTTGTTTCGGCAGTGAGATAGGGTCCAGTCTTATTAGAAGTCTACAGTTATATCATTAAGATCAGTTTTTATTTAAGTAACGGAGCTGAAATAATGAAAATTAGGATCAATCAGCCTTGCACAACATAGAACCTGGCATATATAGGCAGCGGTTCTAGTTCCCAGTTCAGGAGACTATATTTTATAAGCGTTTTGACCAAACATGATTATGTCATCTGTGTATTTCAAGTCAGCAAATAAATCTCCTGGTAGAAGATCACCCCATAAAAAGTCAGACGATAGTGTTTCTGAAAGGATATTTTAGGCAAATTTAAATGAAAACAGAGAAAGTGTACAACCCTGTTGAGGTTGACAACTCCAATGACAGTTCTCCATAAACTTTGACTCGATCATTATTTTTCTGGTAGAAAGCTAGTACAAGGTTGATATCTTTCTTTGGTATGCCTCCTAATAGAAGGCACTGCTACAAAACCTCTTGGTCACCCAAGTCAAACGTGACCTTGAGGCCAGGGAATACAATCGCAGTCCAATATTGTAAGGCATGTCTACGTGACAGAACCTGACGAGGGGGAAGAATTCGGTCTAAGCATTCACATCTGGGTCTAAAACCTGTCTGGCTTTCTTGGGTTCGCCCTTCACGAGCCCTAGTTAGGCATCGGATTATTATTGAGAATAATATTTTAGACAATACACTAGTCAAACTGATAGGGTAACTTTTATCGATGCCGATGAATTTCACTAAGGCGTTACATTGTTGGTGCACTGGTTTACATAAAATGTGAAGTGTTGTAAATTTTACAGGAAACGTTTTCATTTATAATGCTAAGCCCTTGTATGGCCTAAAGCTCTTTACATGAAACTAGTATGACTCAAGAACAGGATATTTATGATGTGTTTGTCCAATAATATTAAAGGTAGAGAAATTATCTGAATTGTGATTCTATTATCAAGTATAGAGATAAATTTATTTATAGGCTATTTAACAAACCTTAAATACTAAATCGTTCCAGTTTGGAATAAGATTTCCAAGAGGACACCCAACATATGATTGACAAAATGGGACGCCACAATCCATACAGCGAGCAGCCTGCTTGACCAAACTTTCGCGTATTTGTTTTAGAGCGTAGACTTCTTCCCAGTCTTTCAGACGTTCTTCAACTGGACGATAATTTTGCTTCTGTCTGGCATATTTGACGAAGCCGCGCACTTTATCCAGTTTCTCTGCTGGCTCATCACCAATTACATCTTCAATATCTTTAGTTTGTTTCTGGTAATTACGACAGAAAATGAAAGAAATTAGTGAGCTAGAGAAAGCAGCACAATTCTCATGTACTTAAGATATACACAAAGTGGATATAAATAACTAGTAATACTGAAATGTAACACATAAATTTACAATTTGTAATAACTTACACAAAATTTCATACACCAGCATTTGATCTATAGGTGTCAGTAACAAAATCATCAAATTACTTACATTAATTAATAATCAAAACTTTAATAACTGAATCATATTTCGAAAAGAGAACTTACAAATCCTTATTCCTTAACTCAGTCGTTTTGATTGTTCCCGTCATCACCCTTGTTCGACAGGAGAATAAAACAACCAGAACTTGCATTCTCTTAAGAATAATTAATCCAATGTGTGTACAAAATATAAGCTATTTAAGAGTATGATTCAATATATCTATCTTGACTCTATCTCTACAGTAAGACCAACATGACAAATTTAAAACGGGGTCACGGATCTTCAGAAATCTTGAAGTTTATGATTGTTAGTTAGAAACACGTATGATAAAACTTGCTATCATGATGCACTTGTAATTAGTTGTATTTAGATTATTGTATCATAGTAATAAGAAATAATGCATGGAAGTTATTTGTATCTAAGACTGAATCTTATATTTATCTAACACTCAATCACTTTTTACAAGAACACAAAACTTGAGACACTTAGCGATTATGAAAACTTTTTAAGTTAATATAATCTAAATGTGCCAAACTTTACATAGAAAAAAATTATAGGTGAAAGTTGTTCTTACTCCATGACCACTGACTTTGTTACTATCAACAATAGGACTAGTTTTTTGCACCTTGGGATCAGTAACAGTTGTGGAAGTTTTAAGTTTGGCCAATGCATTTCTATAATCACGTGGAAATACAAGTACAAAATAATTGATGGATTTATTCCAGTCTGCCAAAATATTTGCTCCGACCTATAAATGTATAACAAAAAGAACACTGTAGAACGTCATATACTGCAACAATTGATAGCCGATGCTAAAATTCTAAAGTAAACATTCTGACGCTTTATAGCAAGAAAAGATCAGTAGTGATGCTTATATTAATGTTCGTACTTAATATAATTAGCTTGAGGGACTAGTGAAATGAGAAATATGAAAGTGAAATAATGAATTCAAAAATAATTTTACCAAACAGCACTCAGATCTGATGGTTCGAACATCTAATCTGAAACAATTAGCATATAAATAAGAATAAAGCGAAATTTTTAGTGCTGAATTATTGGGTATAAATGATACTTTTTAATCATTAGTTTATTGATAACAAAAAGGTATGCCTTATATGTATCATAGCAGATATTTTATCGTTATCTATTTTTACATTCAAAAGATAAGATTGTTATTTATGTAAGTGGAGTTGGAAATGGAAACTGATGGTTCATTAACAAGCACTTTAGGTCCGCTTAAAATTTAAATACATTGGTGTAAAATTCTGTGTTCGAACTCAATTAACACAAGACTTTGGAAAGAAAAATGTCCACATCATATTCTTAGTGTCAATGAAACCCAATCAAATGTGCCATACTACCTTCTAATATCACTCAAGTTAACCATCATTTCTAGAAATGCTTCTACAAGACTAACAGGAGATGTATGTCAGCGACGTACGAGGGTAATTCGCAGCGTATTAATAATCGAATTGTAAATAATGAACTTAAGATGAAAATGAATTACAGGTCTACAGCTAACGGGTCTGTTCTTCGGACTGATGTTGTTAAATTCTTAACATATGAAATTTTGATCCGATTTTCCATCCTTTTTCATTATCTTTTTGATCCAACCAAAAGTAATCTAGACAGTAATTTAGCTAACAAATAAGCATAAAGCACAATCCATTTTGTTAACCTCTGAAGATTGATTCATTTTGTCTAGTCACCTACTTTATCTACATAGTATCTCATGCTTAACTAAGACATAAAATCTGTAAAAAAAAAGTTTTGTTATGTATGCTAAATACAAACATTATTGAACAATTAATGGTCTACCATCTGTAATTGAAAATTTCCATATACGATTATTCTTAATAGGTAGATTTTTCTTTTTTAAGTTTTCTCATTATTCTTTAGCAAGTACGCTAGGTTTTAAATCGAATGAATGGAAATTTTAGACATATGATATACTTGGGCGCTTGATGTAAAACTGAAAAGTTTAAATACAGTCGTGACTAGTGAACTTTGAAAACAGCACATTACGAAGTGTTTTATGTTATTTGATTGATAGTCGTGTTGATATTCACTTGATGGTAAAAACATTTATACGAATTTAGAAAGTTATATTACATAAAATACATTCAAAGCAATTTACAAATGAAAATTTAGTTTCTACTGAAATATCACTTAGAGAATTATATGATCATTCAGCATGTAACTGATACCTTTGTCATTCAAATTCATAGATTAAAGCAATCAGAATCGTTCGAAATACAATAAGTGATAATAGACAATTGTTTTCCGCTGCGTCATGTTTCGTAAAGGAAGGCAGTAATGCCAATTGGGACAGTAATCTTTAAATTAGTCAGTTTGTGGGGGCTGGTACTATATCAAGCCCACATAGGCTATTCTAGCTTCAGGACAGACCAACTATTCATTTTTCTCAAGTCATACTTTGACCTTGCCACTTATTCGCTTATTAACTCGTTATTTATATGATCGCATGTGAGTTAATTACTCACCTTATTTATTAGATGTCTGTAACTTATTTTTGTCTGAATATCAATATCGAGTCATACTTGATCAAAACGAGTTGATCACTCGCCATCTCTGCTTCGCGTTGCCTTGTTTAGTTTCGCTTCCTTAGCTTCGTTTCTCTAATTGTCTGTTCGGATTAATGAGTATAGGAAATATACGTATTCAAAATTCATTCTCGTATTAGGCTTATTTTATTCCGTTATTCTTCAACGTGAGTTAAGTCGATAAAAATACGCAAGGGTTGGTGGCATGCATATTTCGATAATAATAATAATAATAAGCATACGATTTAACTGAAGTCAGATATAGGGCCAATAAACGTTGTCCCAATATACTTTTATTTATTATGAGAAAATATGTATTAAGCGTTGAAATTAAAAGCTATTTCGATTGGAGTAAATATTAACTAGTTCAAACAAAGTTATTTGCTACGTAAAGAACACGTGGTTTTCATTTCTAAAACAACCGATTATAAAAAGTAATAAATTTTTGGAAATACACACGAAACTTAACTGCATCCAAGACATATATATATATATATATATATATATATATATATATATATATATATAATATCATCACAAGCCTAATCCACCTAGGCAGAAGACGTGTTTGTCAAACGATGAACAAACATATATTTGCCTCTTTTTCAATTATTTCACTCTAGTTAATGGACAGAAATTCACGTGAATCTAATATCTTGTGCCTAATCTCTAGTTATATCATTCATTTTGTAGAGTCCAAGTAACTTATCAGTGACAATCAGTGTTTCAAACGTTTGGAGCTTCAACGTGTTTTCAAACAAAATGAAACAATTAATCTATCTTGTTCACATCATGGACAATATCACCTTGACTTGGCTGTTAAAATATCATGATGACTGTCACAGGTGGATTTAAGCATCTTTGATAATTTAAGAGCCTTGTTAAACATATTAAATCGTTCCTACGAATCAAAGTTTATTTTTATAGTTATGTTTCATGTAAATGATGATATCAGTACAGTCCTTAGTTTCCTATAAGAAGTCAACAAAGGTGTACTATTGGTACTTCATTCTTTAGAATATTAAAAACTCTCGTCATAAATCTTTCTTGAGTCATGAATTAAATATGTTGAAATTCTGAAGTAAGTAGCAAAACATATAAACATGTGAGTATACGAGATAATTCACGAAAAAATGAGGGGCTGTCTGTCATTTCATATCATTGTATTCTCTATTCTAAACATTCTAAGTTATCAACTTGATTTATCTTTTGTGCGGTACTTAAAAAAACAGCAATTAGACATAAACAGTTCACATTATACGTGCAGTAATCTTGTTTAGAAAAATACATGTAGAAGTTTTACTTGTGAATCGGTTTCTTTTACAAATTCAACCAGTATTTCTTTAAGCCAACCACTGTATGTATTCTGTGAATTCATCAACTCCAAATCGATTAATTCCATATTGCACTTTTTTACAAAATCTCCGTTCAACCCAAGTGGGTCATAAACAAAGGCTAGACCACCTGACATACCAGCAGCAAAATTACGTCCAGTACGTCCAAGTATAACAGCACGGCCTCCAGTCATATATTCACAACCATGATCACCAACACCTGCACGACCAAAAATGTTTTTAGCAAGTTAATGTTAATCAAATGACTAATTACATAATAATAATACTTGCCTTTATTGAATACTAATTCTAAATTCTTAGAATATATCGCTAACGCACAAGCTGTTTATAGGAATTCTTCATCTAAAGATATGTAGTCTAAACAGTGAGCAGGTCAGTAAGTGACAAATGGTGGATGGATAATTACCAGTGTAAAAATGAGTTTCTCTTAGGGTTACTTTAAAAGTTTGGATGATACCACTGGCAGAGTCCCAAGCAGTGAAGAATCCCTTTTTCTCCAGCAATAGAAATAAAACCTCTTGACAGGCACCAGTAACTGCATATCCAATAGTAAATTGATTATGAAAGGAATTTCAGTGAGATGAGGTCATTAGGAGTAACAAATTTCTCAATATAACAAAAAAGATTTTCACACCTAGGATAGAAGTTGATAAAATTTGTCTAATGTAGAAGAGAACCAAGTTAAAAGATCTTCACTTTGTTAGATTTGAAGTACATTAACTTTATGCCCCTCAAAATACTTCTCATTTTTTGTCAAAGGACAAAACTCATCTTCGTTTTCATTGTCTGACACACACGTGGAAGTTTTCAGAAATCAGGCTTCTCAGTAGCCTTGTAGTTCCATGGTTTACCGTTTATTCGTTGTCCCACTTTAGCTACATCATAATCACTTTTAATTTTAAAAGCGAAACGGCGAAAGACACAAGGTAAAGTGACCATGGAGGGTAATCTAGAGAGATAACAACATTACAGGTTAGAAACCCGTAGTCACTGCTGAATATGAAGGGATACAATTAGTTATTATGCATTCATTTATAGTATCAAAGATATGGTCACACATGACAAACCACTAAGATTAAAGAGATGTAAGTTCAAGGGTAAGTCAAATGTTCACAAAAGGATATTATGTACTGATGTATGGCTAGTAAACGTAAGACGTGATTGATCACTGAGCATGGGAAGACAGACTGTCTACTTAATATGTAATTTCCCACTTGTAACTGTATTGGACAAAGTATTGTCCAATTTATATGCTGGTCCCTTATTTTTGGTCGTGAATCGTGTGCCTGATGTAATTTGATCCAGTATGTGTATAGCGTATAGATCGACTACCTAGTCTAGTGGTAGTAAAATTTCGATAGCCAGTAGCATCGTCGTATTATATTAGTATATCATGGCAGACAGAAAATAATTTTATTTTACCGTTATATCACTTTTCTATGTGCGTACCAATATCCAGTGGCAACAACTTCCCATCATCTTCAAGTATTTTAAAGTGAATTGAGTAAACATCCTATACTGTTTTACCATCTGCCTTACTCTGTGGCTATGTTCTCGCTCTTAATTTTCGAATTATATACGCTTTAGCTACGTGTATAAAAATTATGAAATACGTCAGCATATTGTAAAAACAGCTGAAATGTACTTGAATCAATGGAAAATGACTGAAACTTGTGTTTTCGAGAAAATTAAAAAAGTTTTTTTTAAAATATAATGTTAGGAATTGACGTGAGTAAAACTCCAAATAAAAGTTATGAGCTAGTATTTTCAAATAACATTTCGTTTTAGTTTACTTGGGAATCTTTGGTGTTTTAATTTACACTGAAACTCAGAGCTGTAAGAGTTAGAAATCATAAACAGAACTATCAGCAAAAATTAACATCTTGGAAACCTCTTTTAAAATCAGTTCTTGAATGATTAAATAATTGGTGAACCTACCCTCAACAACAACAGTAGCTCCGGAATTGCGTACGCAGAATCGTTCAGCTGCTTGTCCCCTTAAAAAGAGACATCCCTCTATGGCACCATATAAGCAAACATTACCGACAATTAAATTATCTTCTGATTTAAATCCTTCTTCTAATAACTCTTTGGGTGGAACGATTGTAATCTTTCCACCTGATAAACCTTTCCCGACATAATCATTTCCATCGCCTTCCAGGCGAATATGAACGCCATGAGCAAGGAAAGCTCCTAAACTCTGACCTGCACTGCCACTAACATTTACCTAGATTCATTTGGATGATGCGATGAAAAGACAAAAGTTATTAGAATTATCGCGTTATCCAAATTCGTCAAACGGGCTAATTGTTTTAAATTTCTAGATTCATTTGTTCAAAAAAATATGACGTCACTTAAATATTGTGAGATCGGATTTAGTGAAAACTTAGCAATTGGGTATAATTAGCACTACCTTCAAATTATACAGCGTCCACAACATTCCATAATAACATATATACAAGATGGGAATATATTCACTTATAAGCACAAGTCCCATGAGATTGGTGAAGGAGCTTGATCAGTAGTTTTTCGAGATACTTTCCACTAAAATGGTGGACATTTGGTTCAGTACCCAAATGATCAAACATGACTAATTTTATGAGTGGTAGTTCGTATTTTCTATCGTGGACTTTTTCAAAGGTTTTATCTTTGCTGTCGGTCGCTCATTCATTTATTCGATATCGTTTAAACTTTATTTATCAGATAACCTCATCGCCAATTTTTCTTTACCATACGCCATGTGATATACTCACAAATCTGAATACCAGTACATTTTTTTATAATTAGCATCAATTGTTGGTTATAAACAACCAGAGATTTCTTACTAATATGCTCAAATTGTTGATCTACCAAGAAAATGGAGATTGATATGGTGTGTACCAAAAGGTGAAAGTAATAATACTATAGTCAACCTCGTAGTAAGCACGGATCAAGAGGCGTGAATGAAACATAATTGTGTAAAATTCTGAATAAACGTTGATATGGACTTCCAGTATAACTTTAAAATGTAACTAAGTTAATACTTGGCTGTGTTTGTGCTTTTTTATAATAGATTATTTTCTGAAAATGTAAATAACTTATTCTGTAACTGTGTGTTGATACAGAAAGGCTGATAAATTGGTAAAGTTTCTTTTGATAGATATCCCTAACACAGATGTTCCACCAGTTACATTGACACAACCTTCACTTTTATCCAGAACAATTATATAATAAATTCAATTTATAATAATGATTTATACCATTACAACGACTTACCATAATCCGTCTATTACGTGGCAATCCTTTTTCAGCAAAACTGGTTGAAATGGCATAACTTAGTGTAGTGCCAACTGTGCGATCCGAATTACTAATTGATTCGGTCACATATACTACTGATTCAGAAGGACTGAGTTCCACGTTTTCTGGAGTATCTATTAATTTATGAGCAGCGCGTAATATTATTATATCTAAACGACGATCAGCTGGCAAGAGATCGGCAAATGACAATGTTGTCGGATTTTCACGGAAATCTTTCACTGAATCACTTTGTCTTAATGAACCATAATGCACTTCATCTGGTTCCGTTTTAATCATTAAACGACTCAGGTCAAGCAGCTGTGATTTTGCAGTTAAACAAGGCTTTCTATGCTGCATTCAGAAATAGAGAACAAAAGTTTGGGTTTACTCGGTTGAAAAATGAAAGTATTCTTGTTGAAATAAGCATCAAGCTGTCGCATCAGTCAGTTATCGTGCATGTAGCCGAATTGGTGTACAAATTTAGAATTTATTCAACTTAAGATTCTTTATAAACGAGTTCATTTTTAAAACGGTACATAATTTTGTGGCTGAGTAATGTCTATACAGATCCTTCAATTTCTTGTCATTGTTTAGTACTATAAAAAGGCTTATTGACTTCGAATTTTTTATTATAAATTAAAGTACAAGAACGTCGTTTCAACTTCTAGATCAATTATTCTAACCTCGTAACTAATAACTTCTATATATATATATATATATATCCGTTTAAAGATCCTCATCACACTAACTATTTTATTCAATTTTGTCTGACAATCCTAAATTCACACGCCATAAACGATGCACTTTACCCTTAACCTGGCCATTTTTCCGATTATTAATTTGGATATATAATTGTAGCACCTGAATAGAATTTATCGAAAAGAATATTCTTCGTTCAAATATACATATTCATTCATTCCGGATAGACATAGTTGCAAATTTCCCCCCCCCAGAAAGCTCTGGAGGACAAGCTAAAATATCTACCAATATTTCGATATATTCAAGTCCTCGATTTTTAGGGTGAACGTTGCTTCAGAAAGCATTTATTGCAGCATCAAGATTTTGAACTGATCTAAGGCTCTAACTCTGATGATAGAAACTATAGTTTTTAGTTATTTTTTCAATCAGTCAACTAAAGCCTGTCTTTCTCAAGCTAATTTCAAATAAATATATTATTGTTGTGTAAAATAGTGACTATCAACTAGGTAGAATTGTGGAGACTGTAGTTACACGTTCTTATCAATTGAAAAATCTTCGACTCTGACAATCATTGATTTTGTTTTATTTACAGCTGGAATAGACTATAACTCATTTACTTCTATCTCTTTTATTACTTGTGTATTTAGTGACTACACATCCTTGTTTCAGCCAGTTCACTAAGGTTACCAAGGTCTTGCTTTTAGTAGTTATTGGTTATGAGTGTTTGGCGATGTGGTAAATTCGTTACTTAAAATATGTTGATTTAATGTTTAAAGTGATTTGGAAGTTTATCATTGTCGTTAACTGCATTTTTAAAAAAATCACTTTTGTAGTTTAAGGTGTGATATTTGATATCATTTGTTTGGTTATGGTGAAACACGAATAACTCACTGCGTGGCTTTTAATTCCAGAATCTATATTATAAAACCTACCAGTTAGACACTATAATGCAACTATGGCTCTAAGTGGCTTTAAACTAGGATAATGATTACTTTAAAATATGTACAGTTTATCATATAAATAGCGTTTGTTCTGAGCTTCTCATTATTCTTCGAAGGAACAACCATTTTGAACAGTGAAATATAGTTACCCAACATAATGGCAACGCTCAGCATTCACATAATGTCAGGGCGATTCTAATTCTTGAAAACATTCAAAAAAAATATTAAAACACATATGGTTAATTTACCTTTAGATATTCTGTACGTCCAACAATTTCTTTCAATGAAGATACACCTAAACGACTTAAGTATTGTCTAACCTCTTCAGCCAAAAGAAATAGGTAGTTGATGACATGTTCTGGGCTACCAGCGAATTTCTTTCGTAGAACTGGGTCTTGTGTGGCTATTCCCACTGGACAAGTATTCAAATGACATTTACGCATCATTGTACAACCTAATACAATAAGTGGTGCAGTTGACATTGCGAATTCATCAGCTCCCAGAATGCATGCTATGACCACATCTCGTCCTAGAGTGAAATATCGAACAAGGGATACAAATAATAATATTCATCTCATAACACAATTTATCAAGTAAGTAGTGAATAAAAATCAAAACTGATACATTAGGTCGCAGATAGAGTTAAATCAATGATTTGTTGATGCCAAATCTGATTTCTTTAACTAATTGGTCTGCAAAAATATATTAGCTAACCAATTTTTGATTTAATGATATTGTTTCTTGTCTGTAATTAATATAAAAACTGTTTACGACCCTGGTACGGCCAAGGATGAGAAGAGTTAGCTCTCCCTCTCGAAATACCCTCACATTATCCCCCGTATACAACCACTGTCATGGAAGACTTACTTACTGCCTTCTCGTGGCAGAAGTGTTGTTTACGAAATTGAAAGGACAAAAAGCGAATGACCCACTCTTTAACAGGGTTGGTGGAAACGGAAGATCCACCTATGGGAATTGGAAAACACTGATTCAAAACCAATGGTGCACATGGGTTCCAGTATCCTGAGGGAACAGATGGCGTATGAACCAATTATTGGTCACCGGCTACCATGGGACTGCATCTCTTGACGTTGCTCCAATGCCTTTTGGATCAGACCTTTAGGTCAAAGGCTCGGGTTGTGGCCCCCTAATAAAACCACCTGCTTCGGTCTGGGCACCCGGGCAGTATCACAGTCCACAGACAAATCAAATGACATATGTGGCGCATATGTATTCGGTGTCCCTTTGTACCAATATTTATGTGTTTAAATAAATAAATAAACACTAGTATCCTGAAGGATAATATCTAGTCAATGAATAATTAAGCTATTTGAAGTTGTATTTTAAGGGAAAATATATGATGTTGCAGGTCAATTGCTCAAATCCAATTTTGGATTAGACTACTTTAGATGATGGTGGCAACTATTTACTTGTAAAATATTTGGATGTAGGGAGATCTATAATGTTAAGATAATCCAGTTGTCTGGTAGCTTTTAATATTTGTCCTAAATGTAATTAATTTGAAGCATTGAAATAAAAACAAAGCAATAAACAGTTTAATTTAGTGGTGAGACTTTATGGTTGATTAAATTCAGCTACCCATGACACTGTCAGATCATTTACGTAAACCACTTAACCTAAGTATTTAATCATTGGTGTTTAAATCATTATTAATACGCTTGACCAATTTGATTTTAATAAGCCAACCTGAATAGGTTAAATAAATGTTCTGTCCAATAATATTGGACTACCTTATTCAGAAACTAACAGAAATCAGATTTCCCATAAACTGCTTAAGTAATCAATGAAGCTACAGGCAAACTTGTTGAAAACTAATTGTGTTAGAAATTTGTGAACAGTATACGCCTCGTTATATTAAAACATCATGCCAGTTATAAAAGATTGTTCGTTATTCCTACCTGTGCGTATTTGTCCATCAACCTGTAGTTTCACTCGTGAACGCGCCTGTTGACTGGTTAGGGATTGATGAGTCTCTGCAATACCCAATTCCCATGGAAGTCCAGCATGTTTGATTCCTGTCCAACTACTAGCACCAGTACCACCATCATGACCAGAAATTGTTATATGTGCTGCGCGAGCCTAAAAAGTAATTTAACGTGAAATATGTGCCAGTAACAAAAAAGTTAATTTTTCCTAAGTTTTTGAAAGTGGTATTATTACCTGACCATGTTTTTTAGCAAGATGGTGATAAAAAACAAAAAGGTAGTCCGTCAGGTGTAACGAAATCAATGGATCACGTATGGTCTTGTCGTAAGTTTTCAGTTGTCTCCAAAACTGTGAATAGAAATAGCTTAATGGTGTAAACTATAAGCTGTCTATTATATTAACATTCTTTTAGAACATTGTTAATCCACTCGACCAATAAATAAAAGTATTTTCGTTAAATTTTGGCTTATCGGTCAACCTCGTCTTTTTTCATATACTTTAAATCAATAAAAGTACTAATTAAAATGTTATTCAACAAGAAGTAAGTCTGACCAGTTTGTTTGAAACTCTGTCACAGTTTGAATGAAGGCTGGAAAATAATTGTGTTGTAAGCAAAACAGATAATATAATATTATTATTATAAACCATCCATTACAATACCTGTCACTAACAATGAGAATAGATGGTAGTTAATTCCTTTTATTTTTAGGAATAATAATAAGAAGCTAATTGCTTACCTTTGCCACACCAGCAGCAACGATACCGACTCCAATTTCAGATACCAGTTTAACACTAACCACAGCAAATGGATTGGCTGCTTTCAAGTCATAAATGAGCTGGATTCGACCAGTGTTTGGAAAATAAAAGTGGTGTAAAAGTTCAATATTCAAGTATAGAAAAATAAATATTATCTTAGTATTGGTTAAAGTTTATACAATATAATTTAAAGTATATCGTGTGTACAACATCTTATTTTATTATTGAATATTCAGTCGCCTTTCCATTCCACAGTGAAAACAGAATATTATTTGGCAATTCTCTCATAATGAAATCCCACTAATTTGTTTCCGAACACTTAATCAGTAAATAATAGTGGTAACGTGTCTTTATAAACTGTTAATTTACATAAAATGAAAGATCTCGCTATTGTTTATTAAGATTGGGACCTTCATAAGTCCTGAAACCGATCCATCATATAGCTTTTTCTGTAATGAGAAAATAATTTGGATTACTGATTCATTTAAAAAATCAACTATTTTAGTATCAAACATGAATAGAACAAGTGTGAAACTTCACAAGTAGTTCATATGTTGAAGTTACCTTTAGTGTGTTGCCTGATCATTAAAATGTAATACAGGAAAACCTGTTTATATATGTAAATGTTTACATATTTTCACTTTGACTGAATATAGGAATAATGTATCTTAAAATTTCCCCTGTAAAACTTTGGTCATTCTTGCAACATGTTTTGCAAAGATGTAACCACATTATTTCAAGTTTACTTAAAGTAGGACATATTAAGTGTTATCTATTCCAAATGGATTCAAAATTAAATAAACAAGCAAACTATCAAGCTAAAACTAATATAAATAGTATATACAAGTGGATAAGTTCAGGGTGAAATGGTGACTCCATTACTTTTCAAAGCTCAATGTCAATCATTCTGGCCTTTCGTAAACGCCTACTCAACAACTAGTCTGCAAAATAGGATATTTCTTTTATAGACATTTTAGGATTACTTGATCATTATTTTTCTCCGTTCTGTAACAGAATGAAGCCGCTCAGGAATTCTACTGAACATTTAGTAATCTTTAGTAAAATTCTTTAGGTAATTGATTGTATTTTGGGCTCAAAAATGTTGCGTAATACGTAGGTGTCATATTTTTCACTACTTTATAGTCATCGACTATTTCATTGCTCAATAATTTATGCTTGCTACTGACTATCGACAAGTAATATGATCATTCTGAATTAACATCTTCAGATTTCTCAACAAAAATGTGTTAAATGTACTTCAAACGGATAACTACATACGGAAAATTACCTGAGCTAAATCTTCTATTGAATAAATGTCATGATGTGGTGGTGGACTGATCAAACCCACACCAGGCACTGAATAACGTGTATTAGCGATTTCCTCGGTAACTTTATAACCTGGTAATTCACCACCTTCACCAGGTTTAGCACCTTGAGCCATCTTTATTTGCAGCATTTCAGCATGGGCTAGGTATGAACTATTCACACCGAAACGTCCTGAAGCAACCTGTGATTAAGTAGGACGATGGAAGAAATTAAATTATAAATAGAAATGTTAAAATCGTAAATCTGCATTTATTTTCATTATCATCAGTGCTTATAAGTGGTTTTATGTCAAACCAACTCGGTATATCATGATAAATACACCTAAATGCTATCAATTGTTCATTTTGGTATTGGAAATTTAATACTGTAAGCCTTGACTTATTCCGCTGATTCTCCTCAAGGGTGATTTGACCATCAGCTTAACAACAGATGATTTTCTTTTAATCAACAAAATACTTTTTTATTTGTTTATTTAGTTTTAGGGACAGTTTCTAGTCTGATACTACACGTTAACCGTAGAAAATCTATACCTTCTGTCTCACAATGCATTCAGAATCTGGTCTACCATGCCTGTAGGGATACATGGATAAAAACTCTTTTAAAAATCTATTTCCTTTAAGATTATGATCAAAAAGGGTTTTCGAGTAACAAGATTAGTCTACACATTATTAATGTAGGTAGGTGCTCAATGTTATCTACGGACGTGGACTAACTTCAAACTTGTCACATAATCGACGCTATCTTTTAGCAGTAGTATTGCATAATATCAATATTACCTGTTCCAAGTATGAGGTATTTTGAACTAACTACATGTAGTTTTAATTGCGTTCATATAGAAATGGTTTGAATTCTATTAGACCTCACTAATATAATAACTGTAGTGGTAGGTAGTCAAAGTATTATATCGCTGCGAATTATCTTGTATTCAATACGATAGTAAAACATTACAAGATTATTTTGTGACGCGAAACGCCAGAAAAACAGTTTTTTGTAATAATATGTAAATGGCTTGTCAGTATTTATTAGTTCATTTAAATAATATTTCTTTTTTAGTTCAGAATACGATTTAAACCAGAAAAAAATAATACATTATAGCATAACTTATTCCTCCTTAGTATACTCTTAGTGTTCGTGTTGTATTTCTTATTGATCTGAAAATAACTATGACAACCGCGACCAAAATGGTTGGTTGACTGAGAGAATAAACTAGACACTGACTTATGTCATTTTGTACGTGTCGCATTTGTCTAAAGTTTATTCTCCGAAATAATTGAAAAAAGTGTCCAATAAGTTGTAATTTACATATTTCACTAATTTTCGTTGAGACATTTGATGTACTTATATACTGAAGTAATCATGACTGCTTTTACTATACTGTTAGTTGCTAGAGCTTAATCAAGCAGCGACAAGGGAATACAGAATTATTAAACTTGATTCTGAACTTAGTTACCTGTAAGAATTGTTTACCAAGTAGTACTTAGTATCTTACCCAAGTCTGTAATGATTATTGAAATGCTGAGATCAAATTAGATTAGTAACGGAGTACATTGTTACTTTCAATGATGTCAGTGATATATTAAAACTGTATACGAAACGAAGTCAGTATGTAATAGGAATGAACCTTTCATTGTTCGAAATTTACCTGTTTTATAGCAGAACATATTTCAGGATTCTTATAACGCTCTGGTAGCTCACCTCCTTCACCAGTGTTCGAACGTCCACCAAGTTTATTCATAGCCCTAGCTAAAGCAGTATGAGCTTCTGAAGAAATACTTCCCAAACTCATTGCACCTGTAAAAGATAATTAAGATTTAGTTTGTATGTTGATTTCGTATTAGTTTTGAATGGATGGCAAGCAGTCGATCGTGTTTAAACTGAAGACGTGATTATTTAAAAAGTAATCTTGAAGCTCAGTTGGTTAAAGATTAGGACTAAGGCTTATATAGTGTTCGTTCTATCCTGTTGCTATTTATTTAGAATTTAATTATTACTGATGTATAATATTGAAGCCTATGTAGAAAGGGAGATTGTATTGTTTCTCATAATAGAAATAATATTTAAGATACTTTTCTACTAAATACATGATTCAAAAATATTTCTATTAACAATGAAATAACGGCAAAATAAGTCACAGAAAGACACCACTAAACACAGCGAACTTTGAAAGCATTCTATTAAACTGGAAATACACTAAGACGGTTCAGGGGAAAAATCTCTTTCAACGACGTTATTTACTAGATGTTCACGATCGTATTTTTAGTCGTTTTACTTCCAATATTCTGTTATAAAGTAGAGATGCCGCGTTACTAACAAGGTTATGAATAATGTTCTGAAAATCTCGAGTATTTCAAGTGTTTTACTTCAATGATGTAGCTAGTGAGGTATTCTAACTTACTTTTGTACACAAACATCATCAGTCTCTATCTGAAATTTTTAAAATACTAACCTGTAGAGAAACGTTTTACTATTTCCGCAGCCGATTCCACTAATTCCAACGGTAAAGGCTTTTCCGAATAATTAAAATCTAGCTGTCCACGTAGAGTGCAGTGACGCGAACATTCATCGGCGACTTGGACAAACATTTTGTAAGCCTCACGGCTATTATTACGAGATGCAGCCTGAAGTTAAATATAATAATATAGATTTTAGTTGATATAATCACTCTCTGATAAAAATAACTGTGGCTCCTTATTTCTGTAAAGTTGTGCTGAAAACAGTAAATGAAGTACCGTTAACACCGACAGGTAACTCGAGCTAATACCATAAGGTTAAGATTTACACTATAATCAGAAACACTGTGTTTATCGTCATTGGTTCAATATCAAGTAGTTTTTCTTCACGTTAGTGCAGAAAGTAGCGATAATTAGTTAATGATAATCTGGTTAGTCCTAATGATTCGTATTCACTTGGTCAACTTTCGTTTTGTATCCCTCGATGTAATAACCCAGAAATTTTGTATCAACCACATTTTAGCATAGTAAACAAACAACTAATCAGTATTCTACCCGCCTACCGTTATAAATTTAGTAAATAATAAACGTTACAGTTCAGCAATGAATAGTTGTGAATGAAAAATGGTAGCTTATACAATAGAGCCAGTTTTAAAGGTGTTATCGAAGTCCCGCAGTTTTAAACAGTTGGCAAGATAGGACTTCAAAAAATATGTAAATATTAGTAAAGTAAACGTATAGAAAGGTTGAAATTATTTCAACGCTTAAGATTCGAAGCAAGGTAGACAACACAAACTAATAAAGTGCATTTATCATAATTGGTGTCAAATCCATCACCTAATTCACAATAAAAACCTTCACTGTATACCAGGTTATGGTATTCCGTATGCGTATCACAACAGAAAGCAGACTAAACTTCAGGTTAAGTATAACTCTATCAAGTGGGTATTTCTTAACCAGTTGACATAACAGACATAAAATAATCTAACTGATAATAAGTCATAACGTCTATTTACTACTCAAATTTCCACATTAACAAAAGTATAACCACTCTTTTGGACCAGAAAATATATTTATATCGAACATTTGGTGAAAATTAATCGTACTCTTTTACTGAGTAAATAGTTTCTCAAAACACTAAAGTAGACTTTGCACGTCAACTAGTCAATACGCTACCTATCGTTTGCATGTAGTATTCTCTGACTGCAATGAGCTATTTGGTTACTGTTTTGTGAGTCAAATACATATCATCAATAGATTCAAAGAGTACGTAACCGTGATGATTAAAATTTTCTATATTTAACTTACCTGAAGTTTCGCTATTGCCTCTGGGCTGTTCATATGATTTTCTCCACCAAATCTCCAGTGATAAAATCCAGGATTATTCCCAAACTGACCAAGATTTTCAAGTACTTTAGTGCAAAGTGTTTGACATTCTGGATAGGCTAGTTGGTGACGTGCGGTAACTTCTCTTGCTAATATTTCGAAATCTGCTCCGCCCACACGACTTACGGCGCCACAGAAACACATATCAATCACAGATTGTGCTAAACCAACAGCTTCAAAGATCTGAGCACTCTTGTAGCTATGCAATGTTGAGATTCCCATTTTAGCCATAACCTACATAGAGATGAACGAAATTATTACATCATAACTATTAAGGTCAATAATCGACCAGGTTACCGCTATTATGAAAATTACTATGGTATGTGACATTCAGTGGACAAAACCAGGTGGCTTGAATGGTTTATCCCAAACCCATAACTTAGGCGATACGACTATCAAGATGAAAAGAGAGTGAATGAATAGTTGTATTAACTGTATGGGAATACACACAAACTATTAGGAGATAAAATAATGTTTGATCTGTCACACAAGTTAATCTGAAAAGGCTTGATAAATTCGATGCTTCCAAGCCTATTCGCATTTGAAGCTTCTATAAATTCTCATTTGATCCCTTTGGTTTTAGTTACATTCATTTGAATTCTCTAATCACAGTGAGCCCGCACCTAGTTATCAAAAGTTCAAACATGTACCATAGTTTAACAAGTGATTCTTTATATTGTGGGGTATAAAAATAGCAATACGTAGTCAGATAACAAAAGTCACGATACGGAACTTTTTTTATACTTACTTTAAGTATACCGCGTTCAACAGATGTTATGAAACTTGAATATAATTCTTCTTCATTCACAACTGCAGCTGATGTTAGAAGACCTTCATAGTTTAAACGTGAGACAGATTCAAAAATCAAGTAAGGACATATTGCATCTGCACCAAAACCAATAAGTGTACAGAAATGATGAACTTCTCTGAAATAGAATAAATAATAATTGAAAATTATTATTAATTTTTTATCAGAAGGAGCTTTGTGAAGATTTTAGAAATTTCACTGGTTGAAATCGTGAGTCAATTGAAGCTAGACCACCATAGAAAACCTGGAAGCACTGGACGACCGTTTCGTCATAGTATGGGACTCCTCAGCAGTGCGCATCCACGATTCCGCACCTCGCGGGAGGAGTCCCATACCAGGACGAAACGGCCGTCCAGTGCTTCCAGGTTTTCCATGGTGGTCTAGCTTCAATTGACTCATGATTTCAAACTTGTGAAAATTAAAAATGTTGTTAATAGTTATTTAGTTTAATGTACACAACAGTAATGCAATGACTAATTCATGAACTAGTAAGGTTTGATTAATACTAAAGGTTATCTTGGTGGCTGAGCTAACTTAAAAGGTGGAAGTGTTATTGTTACACAATGAGTAATAAATTCAGTTATTTTGAATCAGGTAACTGAATGATTGTTTTGCTAAAGATTTGGGTTCTCCTAAAACCTACAGTTCATTTGAATGGCTGATAAAGTAAGTCCTTTTAAAACTAATCTTATTCGAGTTATAGTAATATCAATATATACATCACAGTGAAGTTTGATCGATTTGTTTGTATGTCATGTAAAATTATCAAAGACGTGATTAGCAGTACTTCTAGATATAGATTTGCACACGACAATTCTGTGGCCTCAGTCACTTAAATATATTCTTTATCCTGTATATTTGTGCTGATTGAAAGTGTAGTATAAATTACGGAAATAATAATCGCAAATCAGCTAAAGTTTATCCATGGACGGAATTTTTGGAAGGATTAAACTTACTTTGATTCACCCGTTTCTGCAATTATACCAACCCTCATACGAAGCTCACGACGAACTAGACGTTGATGTACCGCCCCGACAGCTAACAGTATTGGAACAGGAAGCCGATCTCGACTACTTGCCCTGTCAGAAATTATTAACAAATCCACACTATCATGTAAAACTGCGTTCTCGGCCTTATCACAGAGATCTTGTAGAAAGTGGAACAGTTTTGATCCCAATGAAACTTTTTCAGAACCTTCATGTACAGATAATGTAGCATCCAAAATAACACTACGCCATGAAAGAACAGTACTTGTTATTTTCACATCCTCAGGTTGTGATGGAGGATTGCCTCCTAGTGAACGTAATAAAGCCATATCCTTCAATGATAAAATCGGATTCGCAAGCCATAAACGATGAGTTTGTGCTCTGGATGGAATCAAAATATTTTTCTGTGGTCCGATAGGACACATCTAGAAATTAGTGGAAAAGAGATGGATAGAATTAAACTGTACCTAAACAATCATAAATATGCTGAACTAAAAATTACTTTAAAGTATTCATTAGTAATTTGTTGAACTTCTCGCCTTACAAGAAAAAACACTTTTATACATAATTAAACTAAATGAAAATATTAGAAATCCAAAAGTTTTTTGTAAACCACAACATTAAATAAGTTAGTAATCTTATGATACTTGAAGGCACCACTAAATATGCGTAGCCTAAAAGACAGTTACTGTCCCATAAAAAATGGGGTATATACCTTGTCTATTTTCTCTCTTACACCAAAATCTGTTATCTAATTTGTAGTTTACGTTACGGAGACCCAGAAAATTCCTCGGGAGGAAAAAGGCCCTGAAAACGTTGAGAAACATCTTACTCAATCAGCATTCAATAGGAGTTTGCCAGAAACATATAGAAAGTGAAAGGCCACATGTCACATTTCTGATTGGATGATTACGTATACTGCTACGATGTTTTGTAACGTCTCAGAAATTTCCGAAAGCCGAAGCCATCCGAAATACTATAAATACCCTAGGTTTTTTGCACATAAACCTTGGATTAAGGCGTTTTTCCATATTTCGCGCTTTTCCTCTCGTGTTCAACTAGCCATGTAGATTTAGACTGGGGATTACTAGAAGAGCTTCGGAAACGGGATCTAGAATTCATTTAGAAGATTTATCAATTTCCTCTCAAGACCTTAATCCTCATCAATTTACTAACTTGTATTAACTCAACTCTCATTAGGTTTATTTCTCACCCTATTAATTTAAATTCATAATCTACTCTGTTACTGTATTTAGCAGAGGTGCTAATGAATTGATTGAATAGCTTTAACCAGTACCTTGTATATGACGGGAAGAAAAGTCAAAATTACATTGATTTACTCATTGTGATCTTTTGTTCAACATTACTTCCTCTTTAATTCAATGTGATAATTACTTTGTGTAGTATTTATTTCGTTTTCCAGTATGATATTTTATTCTGTATGACATACGATATTCTTGTATTCAGTTGACATAAACTATGCACAGCATGACATGTAGCATGTGATTTAGTTAAAACTGTGAGTATTTTTCATATATATGATTTCATCCTGATCATTAATCAAAATGGATGTACAAATCAATATATAAATGAGTGTATTTTCGAGTAGGGTCGTCGTGTTTCAGGGTTACTAAATCTTCACTTGTATCAGTCTTAGTTTCACGTCGTGTGAATTTCAGTGCTTCCTCGTTTTCGAATGATATGCGATTCCGACATAATAATCAGCAAATACCAGATATAGCAATTAGCGTTCCATTAGAAGACTTATTAATCTTCCACTCAAATCCCGCCTTCTGTATAAATTCACTTATTAAATCCTTTTACACTTTTTTACTGAAAACTTCCAGTTATTCTCCCACTTATAGTTTTATTGAAATGTAATATGCTTGTATGTATGTATGTTTATCAGCAGCATACATGTAAGTAGCTGCAGAAACGAACAGAATGTAAGTACATATTATTATAGTTGACTTCACTGTATGACTGGAATTTGGTTATATATGTAGTGTTTTTAGAATCTGAATCAAGTTGACCTCGATTCCGATTTGTGTGATAAAAGCACATTCCCATTGAGTTCCGGTTGGCCTTTTTTGGAAGACTGTCGATTTTGAGTTATTTAATTGCATAGGAATTCGTTTTTTTTTTTCAAAATATTATACATCTGAACGATTTAATATTCTATTTAGAAGAATACTTACCAATGTCATTACAATGCGTTCACGAAACGGATCGATAGGAGGATTCGTGACCTGAGCAAATAACTGCTGAAAATAGTCAAATACATGGGGATTTTGTTCAGATAAACAAGCCAGTGGAGCATCATTCCCCATAGATCCTAGAGCTTCTTTGCTGAAACAGAGTAACCATGTTTATATGCTTGAATAAATAAAATGGTTCGGAATTATTAGTTTCAGGAACGATACGATATTTTATAATTGAAGTTATTAATTTCACGGTTTATGAAATTCCAGTTACATAGTTTTATAAGATAGTTGATACTAATATTATAAATATGTCTTTGTCTTTTGTCAGGTTTTGTCTACAACCAAAGGATTATATGCTTTAAATCAATAATAGTGATGTCGTACTCTCATATTTAAGGTTATTTTTGTCGATTGTCACAAAGCGAAAACCAAACAATGAGGTAAACTTATTATCTAAGATTTTATTTACAAGTAAACATTCGTCAGACCAGAATCATAAAGCAAATTCAAAATGCTTTTCGTTCTGTTTATGAATTATCACGAATTACTAGCCTCTCCCCACACATGTTTTCAAGATCTAGATTTATTCGACATTTCATCTTGTGTTTACAAACTCTGGGAGCAACAGTGTATTGTTTGGTAGATGCATAAAACAAAACGCAAAACAGAATTAAAGTTATCACTTAAAACTAAAAAAGGTCACATTTTCCGCTTTGCTGTTCTATGTTTCATATACTTAAAATCAAATTTGAAAGAATAATGCTGACCATATGCGTTCGGTAAATCATTAAAAAACTGATCCATCAGTGGATATTAGTAACAAAAGCAAGTTTAAAAAACTGTTCATAATTTGTTTATTTGCTAAGTAAATAAAAAGCAGGATTGTAAATTTCGTTAAATCATTCTGAATTTTCGATTTTTTTTCATAAGTTATAATAGACAAAATACAATGAATTGTGTTGATTGCGGTCGATCGCTTGAATTACTAATGTGGCGGGGTGATAGCTTCTCGCAAACCCTGTTTATTAAAGCGAAAAGCTCCCACTGAAGAGATGTCAGGGGACAGAATAGCTTGTCAGTAAATATGTCGGTTTATGAAGCAAAACAGTGTTCTCCATAATCACAAGCGGTCACTCTCGGTGCGTTTGGAGTAGAAACCAATAAGAGGAAAGGATATCATGCATTTAACAGTTGGTAAGCTGTATACCTGTTTGCTCAGTAACAAATCACACTCACTTTCACTACTATACACGAAAACTCGAATGTGTATCTTTGTGCAAATTAGGCTGAAACTGTTCAGCCTTTAGCATCATAGTCAATTTAGCTCATAAATGTAAAAAAAAAACAGAGAAAGCGAACGAGTAAATTCGTAACATTCCATGACCGTTAATCATGGATCAAGTTAGAAACGGAAAACCCTAAGAAATATTCAAATGAAGTTGATACATACATTGGCAAACTTTTCTACGTCAGTACATTTCATTATTTTCCTGATGATGCTGTATTAAGAGTCGGAGATGGGAATGGAATAGGATTTATTTTAGAAGAAAAGATGCATGAACATCGCTTTTTTTAACAGCCTTGTGTTTTCCTCTACGGAAAAGTAACCAATTGAGTTTTTGATATCTATTTTCACGTATATCACATAATGTAAATGAAACAAACATCACTAATAAAGAATAAGACTGAGGAAAACAATTTAACAGCCATCGATATTACATAGCTAACAAAGATGAATAGATAACCCCTAAGTCTTCTGAATCATGTTTAATTCTATGAATAAAAGCTACGTGTATAAGCTATGTATATTTTTTTAAATACATAAGTGAAAATAACTTGAATAAACTCACCCAGTTTTCAACATGGGCAAAATTAGAAGATTGATATTTTCTGGATTATACCCAAATAGTGGGAGGCGACGATCGTCAATGATTGAGGGCTCGAGTGTTGAGATTCTCTTATAGTGTTCAGGGGAATTCGCAAAAGCCCTATGCATCTCAGGCAAATCAAGAGCCTATCATCAAAAAACAAACATCAAGTGAAAAAACTTCATAATAATTATTATAAATGATTTATGGTTTTGTTTGAGTTGTAAACATAAATTTGAATGCAAGGGCTTTTGACAGAAGCCAGTATTGGCCAAACAGCCAACAGTTGACAGAATAGGGATTAAAAAGTTCTTATAGACTACTAAATTTAATGTATCAATCAAATGCAAACTCATTTACTAAGTATCAGGACCACATTAATTATATGAGGACTAGGAATTAAACTTGAAAAAGATTCCGACGACAATAGACTAGTTGGAATTTCTTTTATTATCCATCTGCCACATCTTTGTACTTTATGAATTATAGGTTAATCAAATCATCCCTAATACCCGTCAGGGTGAACTATCAATAAAATATCTCATGAACAAAATCCCAAGTCCCCTCACTGACGAGACAGTTTACATAATTCATGCAAACATTTGTGATGTGACCTTAACCGAATTTCTGAAGGCCTTCCGTGAAAGAGTATATTTGGATTTATGAGTGTCATAAAAGCTTTTCAAAAGTTTCAGGTTGTAATGACATCTTTTTTAATATATTGAGATGAAACACGCTTTAGCACAATGAATTATTCTATTAACATTACCAGACACAACTTAATATACCACTTTGAACATACATGATGTCTGAAATACCAATAAATGAAAGAATAAAACCCGTAAAGTACGTTACTACCGTAGTGAACACGAACACCAGTGAGGAACAATCGAATGTATTTAACACAAAATTACAGAACCTGTTAATAAAATCTAACAATCATAAAGTAAATGCTTAATTTGCAAAATGTCCACCAGTTGTCTTAAAATGACCCAGACTTTATGTCCTTGCATTTTCATACAAATTGCATCCTGCTCCATTTTTAACTATTCGATCCTCTTGTCTCTCTGCTGCCAGACGTTCTGTTCACGACTAACACCATATACTACTTATGTCAATATAAGTAGCACACACCACACTACTATTGTTAACGAAAAGTTTAAAATTAATGTCCAAAAAGCCTACTGTCTGTCATGTAAAAAGCATACACCACGTTGGTCAAATTTAATTCTGTTTTTCACTCAAATTCAAAACCTTCCAACTGGCTTGATATGTTATGTTTTAATATTAAAGGTTATCTGGTTTTGTAAATTAATTGGATCAGTGGTTTGGGTGTTTAAACACACAACTTTAAACCAAAATTGAATTTGGAATCACTAGAATTCAAACAAGTTGTGATTCAAAGCGAGGTAGGTGAAATGTCCTGTTTATAAGTATACCACACAATTATTAACCTTAAACCGAATCAGTCAATGAACAAACAGTCGAAAATATAAGTTCTAAAAAACGGTGTTTTATCGTAAATGAACACTGCTTACTCCTTCTTAAGCCAAACATCATAAGGGTGTTTGGTAGCAATTTTGGATTTTAGTGATTCATCATCTAATAGCTGTCCACTTTCTGTATCGACAATCAATAAACGTCCAGCTTTTAGGCGACCTTTTTGTATGATTTTCACATCAGGTTGTATATCGACTACACCAACTTCACTCGACATATACACCATATCATCACTGGTTGCATAAAAACGAGCTGGGCGAAGACCATTACGATCAAGTATTGCACCAATATAACGTCCATCAGAAAATACAATTAGAGCTGGAAAAAAAATGTACTAGGATAAATGTTGACTTCATTGCGTATTACATAACCTAAACATTGAAATTCAATGGAGATGAACAATTTTGTTTGTACATTATTCATGAAGACATGGATAGTCTGTTGGGCTGTTAAAACGGTTCTATTTTTGACAAGAATGAAACTGTGAAAGTCAAAAGACAATAGATAATTTTAAGTAACAGAAACGATATAAACCAATCAGTAAAATGCAAATAAACACACATTTCATCAAGTTACTACAGAATAGAAACGGTTCTGTAATATCCCAGAGTTTTACTATACGACCTGATGGAAGTCTGTCATCAAATGTGTGGAAGGCTTAAATCATAAATTGATATCCCTTCATGTTTGATGGAACTCATATTTAGGATGCGGAACTAAAAATTTTAGCACAATTTTCAAAGTCATACAAATGGTGAACATCGGCCTGAAGTAATGTAGTTAACGCGAACACAGGTGGGAGCAATAGAATGCATTTGAACACACACTTACAGAACATCTTATTAAAATCTAAGATCTATACAGTAAGTATTTCATTTGCAAAATGCCAATCAATCGTCTCACACTTTATTGTTCTTTCGTTTCCACACCAATCATTCTTTGTCCTCGTTCTCTTTTCTTTGAACTTCTTAACCTTCTGCTTCAGGCACTTCGCTTTCGAATGATGATACATACTACTTATATCTGTCGACATCAGTAGCACATATCTCAGTACTAAGAGAATAAACCACATGTGAAATTATTAGTTTCATCATAGTCTTCAGAGTTCATCAAGTTCGTTACGTATTTCAATGAGAGTACCTTTAATTGAACTAATTGATGTAGATAGTTTAAATTTCAACCAGAATTCAAGTTTTCGTTCAATTGTTTAAATCACGTTCAGAAAGCCTCAAACCTTAAACACCACATATGTATTCACTTGACTACTTAGTGAATTATTCAGTAGTACTAGTTAAATTGAAAAATTATCAAAATCAATTAAATTGTTTTGTTAAACCTTGGTTAAATATATGTGTTATTTGCTTAATTAAAATCTCTTGATCAAATTTCCGTGTATACACACGTATACACATGCCAGTATATATATTCCATGTTAGAACCTTTAAACGTATTACTTCCTAGAGAACGGAAATATGTCTGAGCAAACAACAAGAGTTATGAGTACCGAACTTCAATCAATGTCATTGACATTCAAAATTCCGCATGGATTTTTAGATAACGATATAAAGGTCTTTTATAGGTTGATAAAACAAAACATGAATATAGCCACTCATGACTGCAAGTACAATTACCAAATCTACAATCATAGTTAGGGAAATGATATTGATAAGCTTTAAAATAGAGCCTAATTATTAGTACGTGCCGATCTAAACGACTAAATCACAGTGGAATCTAAAATGAGAGGTTATTTGTGTTATCGCCGTAACTTTTAACTTCTTGGAGGTTTCAAAACTTATCATAAAATTTCCCAAAGTAGAAATACTAGCCAGAATTTTCGGATCCTCTTTGAAATAAAGATTATATGTAAAATATTCAATGAAGCCAACTACTTTAGTAATAAAACCATTCAATTATGCATGATAGGGAAGTACTTCATCTCTGTAGTTGTAACTACTTAAATATGTCACCAAAGCATTTTGAAAGGGATAACACTCAATTAAAATAGAGTGACGACATATATTGAAACAGAAAACTAATGGAATACATGCCTAACAGACAATACTCTCAGACTAGTGGAGCTATAGGGCAAAGTGATATATCGATATTTCAGTGGTAAAACAAGTCATTTTAAAGGAGTTGATAATATACTGGCTCAAGAAAACTTTAACTGTAAGATATAATTATCATAAGTTATATCAGATACTGATTGGAAAATCAGTATCTGCTTGATAACTATGTAAACAGACCTTAACAGATATAAAAGCCATAAGTGTTTGGAACCCGATGTGAATTGTTTGAAAAGAATAGGTAGTAGGCAGAGTTTCGTTAGCGCAATTTATTGTTTCTAAACACAGTTGCTGAGCTGTTACGATTAAAGTCCAGAATACTGACTGACTTCTACCACCATCATTCAGAATAATAGAAATCGAAAGCAAGTACAGATGAATGACAGTTGTTATGAATTAGAATAGTCTATGATCTACGATATCTGTATATAGCAATACCGCGAATAGATCCCTCAAAAATCACTGAAAAATCTATCGTTTTTGTGACTTGAGGTTTGGTGTTAATTGCACACATGTTCAGTCAAATTAGAAGGAAAATTAGTTTTTGTGGATTCACTTCTGAAGATAAAAAAGGCCAACAACTAATACAAAATCACTAAAATGAAGATTAATATGGGACCTTATGAGATTGTGCATTTTGTTGTAAATGTTTTGTAGATTCAGAAATGATCTATTATGCTAAATTTTAGTAAATAACTCATATTTTGAGTAGTTCTTAGTTTTAATAGCTATATTTCCGAACATTTTGGTTTTGAACAACATAGACGATGACTATTTTAAACTAAATGTTAGCACTCCTGTTTGGAAACACCATCGCTTCGTTGCCAAACAATACAACCCTCATCGGCTTTTCCTATTTACTGGCATTTAAAAACCGAAGTCCAGTCATTTGATAAATAGAATAAATGGTAAGTTAATGTGCGGAATCCTGGAAACAGAAAAAGGTAATTGTGTAATCACTTATTTTATAGTTTCCAAACTTCAATTGGTTTGAAGAATGGTTATATCACATACCACACGAGTAAAACTATAAAATCACATTCAAATGAATTTAATCCTTTTGCTCAAATGAAGCTAAGCTGTTCAGTGCCTCAAGGTTTTAAGTAGCTCTTCACAATATAAACTTTACAAAAATGGTTTTGAATAACTTCTAATCATCAGTTCTATTTGACTGTCAAACTGTGCATTTGATTGCTGATCAATATAATCATACTTAATTAGTTTTCTTCAGATCTATCTTATAGTGAGGTTTAGTAACCTAGAATTATATATTAATTTTTTATTTGATCCTATAAACAAACAATGTACGTATACATCTTCACTAACATCCAGTCTCAATTAGTGTATGCTTTGTAAAGCGACTATCACCTCGAAACTATTGAATTTACCAAATCATGCTATTGTACCACTATACTCCATGAAAATATGCCTATTGTTCCTAGGGTAACATTTTCTTGGTGTTGGATTGTAGTATACCTAAATATCATCTCACAGCGCAGAACCGCTTATTTTCCAATATAATATAGTCTTAATATCTAATACTTTCTGTTAGACCCTTCCAGCTACGGTTTGTCAAGATAATTGTTACTATTCAATTTATTGGTCATTACAAATTGGATTAACATATATTTGTTCCGAGCTCTAATTAGTCCATATTTGCCTGTTAGTAGGTACTAAGGTAGAATATACATTATCGTATACTTCATGTTACATTTTAAATACCAGTACTGTAATGGTAACTTAATAAGATTTTACAATTTTCTGAACTTTTGTTGATGGTCATTTAAGTTAAAGTCCAATAATACAGTTTTCTACTAGATCCTTTATTATATGTAAAGTATTTTCTAACCAAGAGAGTTGCTCAAGAAAATATGAACTACTATTTGCTAGCTTTTATTTCAGAGATGGATTTGCTTAATTAGGCATAACTCCGCTAACGCGATTTCCTCACGCCTCTAATCATTTAGATAACGAACAGGCTAGGCTGCAGCGAATTCAATACTAGAAACACATCCTCTTGGAATAACACATAATTATCAACATACTTATTAGTCGAGTCAAACACACTAGGTAGCATCATTCCTATCGCCCTTAGATGAAAGGAAATTACAATCTGCCAATCAGATAGGGGCACAATGATTTATACAACCTAGTAACTAATCAATAATATGTTAAAAATTTTAAATGTCCATAATTCTTAAAATAAAAACAACCGTAATATATGAACAATAAACATGCGACATAAAAGGATAAGTAAATGCATAATAAATGAATGTGCCTATACACACACATACAACATAGATTGTAGTAAACAAACGAGTGACAGAAGCTCATGAAAATAAAAGCAGGAAACTACAGATAATCTGAAAAATGTTTTTTTTCTTTCCTCAAAGTTTGCAAGTAAATTCTTCATTAAGCCCGTCTAATCCCTCCTCTCCTCTGGAAGACAAGAGAATACATACGCGCACGCTCATTTGTCTACACGTGCATATACTCATAACAAAGATGTATAGATTTCCTAGACAGCAAATAAATGAAACATTTAATGGTGATAGTAGTAGTGATTCGTTCAGGTTCATATACAGTAAAAGGTAGGCAATTCAAATTATTTTGATCATTTCAATACCTAAGCCTAAAAAATAATCAATAAGATTAACAGGAACTACACAAAGCAACCATAGACAACTGAAAATAGCTATCGATTTTAAGTGGGGGCATTATAAATACTCTTAACTATTAATAGGATTAACAAGAAATAAAGCAAAAGCAAATCCGTAAACAACCAGACAATATACATATATATATATATATATATATATATATATATATATATATATATATATATATATATGTATTGGGAGAGAGGTTGTAACCAGTGAGAAATAATTTATTCAATTTGTATGAAATAATGAAAGAGACTACTAATGAAATGTGTGTAAAAATAATAGAAAATCCATGGAAGAAACCTTATTTCCTTGAAATTCCAACCGTTAATGAATTTTATTGTTTCCTGAAATTAGTTTTTAGGAGTTATAATGCTAAAAACTGATGTTTTACCATCACTAAAACAAGTACTAGACACGGAAAAATAAAGAGTCCTATCATTCTTAAAAAGGTGATATAAAGAGGTAGGAATAAGGTTGACTGAACTATAAGGTCCTCCACATCTGAGGAGAAGCGCGGAATGGACAGCTTGGATGCAACTAGACGATTTGGACTTCTCAGATGACCTAGCTCTTCTACCCTTTACACACAAACAAATGCAGGTCAAGACAGCCGGTGCAACAGAACCCTCTGCATCAGTAGACCTCAACATACACAAGGGAAGAACAAAAATCCTCAAATACAACACAGAGAATATCAACTCAATCACACTTGTTGGAGAAACTCTGGAAGAGGTGAAAACTTTCATGTATCTGGTCAGCATCACCTAGGAATAAGGACGTAACGGCACGGTTAGACAAAGTAAGGGCAGCATTCCTACAGTTGAAGAACATATGGAACTCAAAACAACTGTCAACCAATACCAAAGTCAGAATCTTTTATACGAACGTTAAGACAGTTCTGCTGTGCAGATCTGAAACTTGGAGAACTACCACAAGCATTATCAAAAAAATGTACAAGTATTCACAAACAGTTTTCTACGCAAGATACTCAATATCCGTTGACCGGATACCATCAACAACAGCCTACTGTGAGAGAAAACAAACCAGCTTTCAACTGAGGAGGAGATTGGGAAAAGATGTTGGAGGTGGATATGACATACATTACAGAAATCATCAAACTGGATCACGTGGCAAGCTATGACTTGGAATTCTGAAGGGAAACATAAAAGAGGTAGGCCAAAGAACAAATTGCGTTGAGAATTGGATACGGACATGAAAACGATGAACAGCGACTGGAAAGGATTGCTCACGACAGAGTTGGGTGAGGAATGCTGGTGGGCAGCCTATGCTCCTCCACGAGGGGTAACAAGCTAAGTAAGTAAAAGGAGTTCGGTCGTCATAAGTAAACTGATGTTCTTTGTTGCCGAATAAACCATGTGGTGATTTTTCTCCCTCTTATTATGACTACAAAACATGACTGTTAGGAAAGAGATGTATTTGTAAGTTTAAGTTATTCAGTCACAGATATTTTTAAAGCACTTTGAAATTTTATAGAAATTCAAAAAAAAGTTGCAGAGGAACAGTGTAATTTGGCTGACGAAATTGGAAAACTGGACCAATTGAAACAGTTGTCTTTCGTGTTACATATCCTAAAATGGCGTCTACTTTGGTTTATGGAGCTGGATAAGGTTGGGCTACGTTGCAGAAAAACAAATATTTGGGTAACAAAGGCTTGCCACAAGTTGGTAGAATCATTTGTTTTAGAAATGCGTCAAGCTGATAGCTGTAGTCTCTTATAATTGCTAAAAACCAGATGTTAGTGTTCCTAGGAAATGCCTGTTAAAACTGATCATTCTAGTTTTATTTGCATTCATTTTCACCTACTCTTAAACCTTGAACATTAGATTTGTTTTACCTACCCAGGAAATCTTTCACTGATGAAACTGTCAACGTATCCTTAGCAAAGATAATGAAAGAAAGAAATCATGGAGCGTAATTAATATTTAAAATTTGTATTATGTTAGTTCATACTGTTCCTCATAAAACTAATCTAAGAACGGATTTGTTTGACTAATACATTAATTTTTTCTTCATCGACAAAGCTAGTCATTATTTGTGTCAAAGATTACGAAATTATAAAGAATAAACTATCAGACAAAAGTTTAGAACTTATAAGTTCCACATATTTAGAAATGTCTGGTCAAAAATTACTGATAATTTGCCTTCAGATAACCAAGACAACGAGCAACTTCAAATGGTGGATTCTAACCTATATACCATCAATTCGGCTAAGTAAGCAATTGTTTAATCAATGATAATAATTTAGTTTTAAATATTACTACCTATTAGGAATAAAAGTTCAGATGTTAGATAGACCGGTAATGGGTCAATGGAAATTAATTGCTAAACAAGAGGGCAGCAATTCGACATAGAATCCTAATACAACTATAGAAGATTCCGTCACCAACTAAATGAATTAATTAAAAACAGTTTAAAGCTTAAGTCAAATAATTTAGAAAGAACTTATTATCGCTAACTTTTGATTGAAGTCAGTACTTGAAATCCTTTCCAAATTCAAAATCAGAGGCTAATGATATAAAAAACTAACGCACCATCATAAGCATCATAATATCACAAACAGGTAAACGTATTCATTGTAAAGAATTAAGACTTTTGGTGAAGAAAATTTTCTTTTGACTAGATCGTTGTCTTCGGCTGTAAAATTGTATTCAAAGGTAAAATAATATAGTGTCATAATATTAAGCAAAATGACCAAAGATAGTCGTCACACATTACCAAGCATAAAGGCAAAAGAAAAATTTTTTCTTTCACCCTTATTGAGGAAAATATAAATATATACATCAAACTACTGCAATTCTATAATAATAATACTTCACATTAACGTACCAATGAGTAGAATACTTAATCTCTGTCGAGGCTTTATGCAACGTGCTAATTATTTTAACACTTCATTAGATTGAGCTTAAGATAAGGCTTGAATGTATTACGAATAAAGTTATTGATTTCTACGGAAAAAAAATAATTAAACACCTTTCACACTCATTTATGGTTTGAAATGGGAATGAACAAACAGTGTACACTCAGGATCAAAACAACAATGCTGAAATGAATATGAACGAGGAATTGATTTTTATCAGAAAAATATTCATTACTTTGACTTGGCAACAAAACTCTAATTTATTTATTTTTTATGAATTCATTAACATTAAATACGAAAATTAACCAAGGATATACTCAATAATCAAAATGAATAAATCAATTTAATCAATAAGTTTAAAAAATCTACAGGTTTATAAAAATAGATATTGATTTACCTGGTCCATCCCAAGGTTCAAAACTATTGGCAGCCCATTTGAAATAATTCCATTTCTCTCTAGATATTTCACCTTTTTCTGGATCTAGATTATGCCACGCTTCAGGAATCATCATCATTACAGCTTCTGGAAGACTGTAGTCACCAGCTTGACACAAGAATTCCATCATGTTGTCAAATGATCCTGAATCAGACATACCTTGTTCAATGATAGGAAATAATTTTGATATTTGTGCCTTTGTATAAAAACGACTGAACATTAAACTTTGACGCGCTCGACAGTAATTTACGTTGCCCTGAGTTTATATTAAATAAAAAGAAATTATTGAATGACTAAAAAAGTAATTTAGTGTGGATATAAACTTTAGTATCATTTAAATAGGTAATCAGCTATCTGTTTATAGAGGGCAGTGACAAGTCTGATTTTAGCCAAGAGCTCATATTTCTACCCGTGACTAATTTTCACTTATAACTTGATCACAAAAAATACCGGTATAAACAATAAATTCAACTATTTTGAACAAATAACTAGCAATGGTTTATACATTCAAGTTACCTGTTGGTTCGGAGCTATTCTCATCAGTTTGAGTAATCAAACTTTTTAAGTACAAAGTCGTCGAACAAATCAGCCAAATATTTTAGTTTCACTGAAGCCTGCCTCAATAGTTCGTGTATTTTGTTTTATTAAATGTGATGAGATTGGTGGTTTAACTCAACACCTAACCTGTAAGCTTGTCTAATGAAATCTAGACCTTAAGCACCATTTCACTAATAGATTTTGGATAATCTCGGAATATCTAGCGAATCAATTAATGCTGACGGTTACTCAGTAATGGTCCCGATAAGTTCCTCCTGTTACGAGATAAAAATGCTTCCCATTTAATTGCAGAACTAGTTGGAAAATGAGAAATTCTTCAAGTTACCGAAATAGACTAGTGAAGAGATAAGGTTACTTCATTAACAGTCATGAACCAATCACCTTCGGTTCACAGTTGTTATGTTCATGCTATTTATCAGTACCACTATTAAGAGGTCGAGTTAACTATCACGTCACTGAAGATATTTGAATCCACATTTATAAACCCAAATCTTTGCTAGAAAGTACCTACGGTAATATACAGGTTGTGAAAAATTGTGGTTTTCAAAACCCTACACAAACTCCTAAATGAGGATAATTTCCCTTACAAACTAGTTTAAAAAATCAATAAAATTCCTCTGGATAAGCTTTTCAGCATAGTTTCAAGTCTTTTTACGGGCACAAACCTAATTATTGTTAAGTAACAGTATTTAAATTGAATGGTCATAACTTTTCAACAATATTCGTTCAATTTAATGCAGTTTTTCTTTATTCACTAGTGAACAACCATCATTTTCGGATTTAGTAATACCCAAACAACAGTTTACCAGTAAGAATACTAGAACTTGATTGTTCGAAAGTATAATGAAAGTAAAATGATTGGTTATTCATGAGTCTTAGTTTTCATTACTCTCTAGTTTGAAGTTTTCAACAGAAAGAAATCAATCTTAACAATAGTAGCTTACAAGAAATATACAGAAATCTAACCAATTGAAACCATAACTATTAAAAGAACAATCGTTCTGTTTCACAAGAAATAACGGTAACTTACGCGTAGTGTGTTGATTTCTCCATTATGAGCCATCATACGTTGTGGATGAGCACGACACCATGATGGAAAAGTGTTTGTAGAAAAGCGATTATGAACTATTGCAAAGTGAGTCAGAAATTTAGGGTTGGATAGATCTGCGTAGTAATTCCACAGTTGTTTTGTGGTGAATAAACCCTTTTTGATAAAGAAATAATCAAAAAGATATTTAACTAGAATCAAAATAACAAATTCCACAAATTAATATTTATTAAATTAGATAGCTATGGATTTCAACCTACTATAATAGATAGTAATTAGTGATACCAAATGTTTTAGTCATATAGTGGTCGTCATCCTTAAAGTTGATCTGCCAAGAATTCAGTTAAGTTTATATTTTAGTAATACGTGTTGAAAGTTAAGCAGTAAATTGTAACAGTTCAATTCTCCTCCTTATAATCGATCTGAGTTCATCACTTGTTACGACTAAAATACATACTATTTGATATTCCTATGGGAGACGATTGCTCCTACTAGTTTAGCCACAGATATTAGTACAGTTTCCTAAAAGCACTTAGGTGTCTAATTACTTAAGAGGAATGGTTCCAGTTGGTTAGAAAGATTTTTAATATTTGATATCTTTAACGTGAGATTTTCACTTAATTAAAACAAAATATAATGGCTCCTCCTCTGCTTCCTACACGTCCATTTGTTCGGTAATCAAAACTATAAAGACTACTTAAGTCTCAAAATGGGAAGCCTATTATCAATATACCACTGACAGAATTTCATTAATAGTTCTACCACAAAAGACAAAAACATACAAGTTATTGTTACTATCTGAATATACAACATCCAGAAGGCATATAGAAGCCTACATTTATGACAGATTTTGAAGTTGAACATTGATTATAAAATATTCGTAACCTGAAATCATCTTACATAAAGAAAATTAACAGAAACCACAAGGTATATAAAAATTGCTTCCAGTAGTAGTTTTTACTGTGTTGTGTGCCACTCATAAGTAATCTTCGTTCACTAAATCGATAAAAGGGTACCTGTCACCCTTGCATACCGCAGAACTTAATCGTAATCAGTCAGCAAGTGCTTATAATTTAAACAAAATAGATTAATTAGTAACGGGTTCACAAATGTTGAATGCTTAATGGGCATTGTGTTTCACATCTAGTCAACCAATAACACAAACGTCGTTTAAAAGCTTGAATCCTTTGGTTTCATTATTATTATTATTATTATTATTATTATTATTATTATATCTTTTCATCGCGTGAGTGAACGAAAGTAGCCATTTCAAAGAATAATAAAAGTAACATGAAGAAGTTATTACTCAGTAAAAATCAGATTTCAATGATCGTTTGATCAAGATGAACTTGTTCAAAATCCACATTGAGATTTATAATGATGACTTACTTTATAAACAATTCTTTCAGAACATAGACTGCATATATAACAGCTCTTTGATAATTCATTACTTGCATATTTACGAAGCAAAAATACCTTAAAGATGAACAGAATAAAGTGGACAGAAAAAAAATAAACAATAAATTAGTTTACGTAACAAAATAGTTTATACAAGCTCAAATTAATTAAATTATAGATTAATTAGATGAGTGAATGGTTTTTATACAATAACTCCATAAGTAGATAAACTAGACAGATATCGAATGAGTCTATGCTTATCTCAAAATTAATACGTCAAAGATTAGTGTAACAACTCAAGTGGAACAAAAGAAACAAATTTGCACATATCCCCTAATCTACAGTAGTTTAAGGGAGACATACATATTATTATTGCGTAAATGGTTGATAATCCTTTGTATTATTTTACAAAAAGTTAGACAGCCGTTATAAGAAAATAAAAGTGGGAATCAAATTTTTAAAAATGCAGATGAGTTAGTGTCATATTTAATTGTGGCGGGTGAGTTAAAGACCGTTAGTTGATCATATGAATAAAATATTCCAGAAACTATAAGCCACTGTAGCTCAACAGAATGGCAATTACTAAATTTATATTATAAAATAACAACCAACTGAGTATTTCACTGGTTAGTGGTCAAAGAAAACACCTTATCAATCAAAAACTCATCACCAATGCTTGTATAACATTAAATATGACTTTAAAAGTAAAATTATAAACATTAAGTTATTATCGATTTCGATATTCACTGGCCAAGCATTTCCTAGAAATCATATCATTACTTATATAAGCTTTTATGAGAATGTAATGCTTCTCGCAGGTCAACAGAGGATAAACGCATCAGCCAAAAATCATTGCTTAATAAACAATGAAGAATACACATTGTAGTGAGAAAAAAAAAACAATTTTTAAGTGATATACACTGGATGTATATCCTGACAAAAACACTGACACAGAATCAAACACAAGTTCAAAATAGGGTGACACACCATTCCTGAACTATATGAATTTGTAATGTGAACATTTTTTTAACAATTTAATATGTTTCTGAAATAAGCAGAGAATATATGTTATTTTATTAAGCTATGCAAATGTACTGAGACCTTCAGACGTTGATGTTTTGTTTAGCGTATGTTAAAACATGTGAAGCCCTTAATTGTAATCAAGTTAAATCTCTGAAATAATTTATATTAGCAAAAAATGAGAACTGATGACTAGTTGAAGATTGCGAAATTGTTTACGTATACAGTTTAAAAGAGAAGAAAGAATTCATCAGAAGTAATGAAACTGTGTACAAGATAACACACACCTAATCAACAGACAACCTGAAACGGCTTAAGTTACCATCCATGAACACTTGGGATAATGTAGAAAGGATACGATAATGCTAAAGCAAAGATTTAAATACATAAACTTCCTTCAGTTTCAAGTTAAATTTATTTTCAACTGCATAAAAGATGAATGTAGGATGGAAAACATTTAGATCTGTTTCTCAGGTAACAGTTTCATACTGTTATCACCTGTTCACATGCACATAAACATAAATAAATTAATAATGACTTGTATGCATACATGCATTTAAATTGACTAAACACAATTATTCCAACACTTAATAGTGATCAGTAAGTCGAAGCGAAAATGTATATCACTTAATAAACACGGAACATATGCCAGTATTAAGATTAAATGGAAATAAGCATTTCACTGAAGTATTAAAATAATTGAATGCTAATAATGGACACTACTGCACTCAAATTAAATGTTCGTGAAGGGGAAAGCAGACAAACGGTGCTCATTTACTTGAAACTAAATGTTCCACTGGTCTTTACTTCCGAGAAACTAGGATAAAAAAGTGAATATAAAAAAACTTAACATAAACAATAACTGTAGAAAGCGTATTCTATTTCAATCGCAAAGGCATATTACTCAGAGTTTCTGTAATGAAATATATTAGGTATGTTAAACTGAAATGTGTCTTATATTACGTGAATTCCTTGATAGCCCCGATAACTATTTTACATAATGAATAAACACAAATAATAAATAGGAGGCTTTTAATTGAAGTAAGGTTTTTTAATTCACCATGAACTTCAGTATAGTTGTATATCTTAATAATACACTACAATATAGTTCATTCAAGTACATTTTACTAGTTCTAAAACTTCTGTAACGAAACGTGAAAAATAGAGTAAAAGATTATGTTAGGTATGCAGAGGAATGTACCAATAATTATCGTATAAGTCTATGGTGGCCTTGGACTTTAAATGTACATTCCCTGTTGGCTATTATTTAATTCATTCGTTAAATATTGTACAATGTTATTTCCTATTTTATCGTACAATGTGGTCTGCTTGATTAGTATATAAACAGAGTGTGTTTGAAGTATAATGATTTATAATTCAGAGGCTGTGACTTGTGTTCCTGACTCAACTGGCTGGGACAGACTGCGAAGCGGGACCAATCAGGGCTCTAGGTCGTCCATACGTGTTTTCCGCGTTACTGTGGTCGATCGATAAAACGCTGCTTATCAAAACCTGCAGTCACACCCGTTACAACAGATTAGTACCAATTAAAATTCAAGATGAGTAGAGAGATAAAATGATGCGAATTAACAGCGTATATTCAATATACACTTGTACACTGAATGACGAAAAGTTAGACGATGTATCTAATTTATTAGAATTAGCTCAGTAAATGCAAGTGACACTAGTGATATTTTGGGACCTTGCTGTGGAACTAAGTACTGCAAAGCACAGAATAAATCAATAGGATCTGTTGAATTACGCATCAGTAAAAAAAATAATTATGAGAAACGTCTTGACCCTACAGTAATACAATACTAGGGTAAAAAAATTCTTAATATTCCGGGAGTAATAGAGCGTAAATTAAACTGGATAGGCTTCAGAAATTAAATGTCAGGTCTACAAATAACAAATTTAGTGTAAAGGTGGAGTTTAATCAAAGTAAACCTTTTTTCTCTAGTCCATCTAGTAAAGTTAAAAGAAAACTAGGACCCAAGTATGAGTATCCAGTGATAGGTGAGGACCTAAGGTTTTTACTACAAAAGCCTAAATTTTCACTAGTCTCCCAAGAACAATACACACTGATGAAACAAAGAATTAATGAATGTAGTTAAGATCTTTGGAATGAACAAATATCCAGTATAAAGAAGTTAACAGGTAAGGTAAAAGTTTCTGAGAACATAGATTACAATATATCACTTCATTACATAACCTTCAGCACACCACAAAGCACTTTGGCCCAGATGAATGACGAATAACCCAGAATAAGATATTTGGATTAGAACTTATTAAGCGTTAAGAAAGTCCATGCCCCTTCCCGACAAAAATAATAAAAGTCAAAAGAAATTGAATACATTGAGCTTTTCTCTAACCATAAAGCCCATTAGAAACCAAGTAAACTATGGATGATAACACAGAGTCGTCTTTCACGATAGTGAAACCGTTTTGAAAGTTTGAAAACGGTAGGAGACAACCTTCAGTGAAATCTCTCAACATAAAACTGCTTTGATAAAAATATGAGGGAAAAGAGTTTGTTATTGCTTAAAGTATCTCCACTCTACACACGCTCAAGTATGTACTTGTCCAAACTTATAATTTGTATAACTACACTACACTTATTCACATATTCCACCCACAGTGTTATTTTTCTACCACTTGACAACTTCAAAATTGGTTATGCAGAGAGAATTTATTTGAAATAGTCATATCGATGTTCTAGATAGAAAATCCTGTTTGGGATTGTTTTGGTAAAGTTATTGGAGAAAAACGTCAATAAAAACATATTTGCTTGTAGAAGTGAAAATACTAGCCTAGAAATAGAAAGTTAATTCACTATATAATGGATAGTAGTAAGTTAAGTGGAATTATTTTGTCATATGAAGTATCACTGGAGTAGATTATACTTCCGAATGAAATTTGAAAATGTGGCGAGAATTAAAGTAAAAGCATCGTATAAGGACGAGTTAATCAGAATCAAATATCACGTATAACGAGTAGTAGTAATGTCTTTCTATAGTGCTGAAAACCTTTAGAATGATAACAAAATTTTATTTTATGTCACCGTATGTGAGAATTAGTGGTGTGAAACTTATCAAATACTCAATTTTTTCTTTGAAGATTAACTTAACGGATAAACTGACACTTTATAAACCCTAACCCCAGATTCTCTAATCCCGAAACAAACTTTGACCTATTGACATTTTTGTTTACAAAATAATTAACATAGAGCCACTTGAACTTTTGCTTGAACATCATAAGACCTTTAAGGCATTTTCGCATTATGGCTGATGTCAGTTTGTGATGAAAACCCTAACCCTACATTCCTAATCAAGAAAACTGTTATGACCCCTAAAAATCTACTTAGGTCCTTTTAGGGGTTCGAGGAAATCGATAGTCTATATCCATTTGGGTTAATTTATATGTTGTTTTCTCAATATACAGATAGGGTAACCTGTAAAGGAGTCTAATGGGTTCATTATTTGCATAAAATCTGTTTATACTTGGTAGTTTTATTGTTTTCTTTTACATCAACTATCCATTTACAAAGGCCGCTTTCGAATTGACGGTTGCTTCAAGTGTTGTGGATGCGGAAGAATAGACCAATAATTATCATGTTAAGTCCAATGGTGTCCTTGGACTTTAAACGGACATTTCCTATTGGTCGGTGTCTGTTCACTTGTTGAATATTGTACAAAATGTTGTTTTCTATTTTATGGTACGATGTGGTATGCTTGATTGGTATATAAACAAAGTATGTTTGAAATATAATGATTCATAACTCAGAGGCTGTGACTTGCGTTCTTGACTCAACTGGCTGGGACAGACTGTGAAGCGGGACCAATCAGGGCACTAGGTCGTTCATACGTGTTTTCCGTGTCACTGTTATCGATCGATCGATAGATACGCTGCTTATCAAAACCTGCAGTCCCACACGTTACAACATCAAGTTTGTCTATCAAACGCAGGGAGTGTTAACCACCAACTTATCTCATGGTCAACATAAGATTTATTATTGAAAATGCTCCTTAAATATAACACGTTGCCCTTCGTTAAATTATTATTTGTATATTCCTGATTTTGTTCACCATGATTTCCGTTAACTTTTTGTGAAGTATTCTTAATAACTTCAGTTTTACATGATGAGAAATAAAACGCATTTATTTTCATTTGAATTATAGCCTATTGCTCGTTCATTAGTTTGATATTCTCCCTCTTGTAAATGTTTTAACACCCACCACAATTTTTTTCTATCACAATTAAGGAAATTAACTATTAATATATTTCATAACTAATTACAAATATGTAGCCTTATGACGAATTCGCTTCAAAATAGGATTTATTAGGTTCTAAGTAGGAATCATAAAATAGAGAACATCTTGTCAGGTGATATTTAATGTTACTACCACTTAGTTTATTCAACTTGATTATTGTAAATCGAAGTTAATTTCCAATTTTTTATTTAAACATCAATAACACTATAATGAAAATCAAATATTCATACATTTGTGTGCAAGTTTTTTTCAACTTATCCTGAAAAGTACCTAGATACTAATTCAGATTTCTATAAATTCGAAATTTCGAATCTGGCAGTAAACCGTTGAGTAAGTTTTCATCATGTTGTTGATTTAAAATATGATCCCCTACAATTGAAATACCATTAACAAAGATTTTTTTATATTTCCCCATCAATTTTATGCATAAATTTAACAGAACTGTGCATTTTTACGTCAGAGATCCTTTAATATATTTATTAATGCGAGTACGGTGTTCGGAAAACGGAATATAATTAAGGCTGTGGACTACATTGTGTAACGGCGATTGCTAGTGAAAAGTCAGCATCTAATAAATTAAAAACAGACCTTTGGATACCTAGCAAGTTGCTAAGTTATTGAAATAAAATGAGTTTTACTTAAATTACAACTTGAGTACTCTTATCTCAACCATTCTGTCACATGATCTACAGAGCTTAAACTTCATATGTTCATTGAATAAGTAATACTAGTTGATATGATAATAAAGTTTCGAAGTATACATCTGTAATCAAAATATTCTGAATGGATATTCCTGTCATATAACCACTCACTAGCTACCAATAAACTCCATTCAGTTTAATCAATCAAATACATTACGATCAGAGTATAATCAAATTTTAATGTGCCTGAAATGCCCTGAAGAAATAAATCAATTTCACTCTCTTAGAAAGATAATTGTTCAGTAAAGCTGATCTATACTGTTTCACTGTAGACAAAACATTCTTATTTATATTCAATTTAATGGAAAATAAATGAAGAAAATAAAGGATCGAATGCGCACAATGTAATAATAAACAAAAAATTATATGTTAGATTTTCATTTACAAAAGAAAACTGATGTTATTATAAGTTATTCAATTTACTGGTAAAACGTTTTCTTACAAATTTTCATATGCTCTCTTAGACACACATTTAAATCGTTGTTGTTGATAGTGGTTGTGTTGGTGATGGTAACAGGGTTGCTCTTGTTGGTGTCGTTGTTTGCCGCTGCTGTTGGTTTCATTACAGCAGACCAAAATGGTACAATAGTAGTGGTCATCCATAGACATACAACAAAAATTCTCACTCATCAGAGAGATCTCTACACAATAATTTAACCAACACAGTCATTCATTCCTCTTTGAATCTGTAAGAGGCGATTTCACAAATATACACTAAGAATTACTCACTTGACTACGAAATCCAGTATCCTGGGAGGATTCTTCACTTTCTGATTTTTGAACGACAAATACCTGTAAATGAAAAAAAACGGCACGAAAACTTAAGAAAATGATTTTCCTTGGTTCAAGAAGTATTAAAAGATACTTTGTTCACTATACATTAAAATGAATATCTAAGCTATCCTTGAGATTGTCGCACATATCACTTAATATGCCAGTTAGATTCAGCTGAATCCAATAAAACTGAGGATTGAACTTTAAAGGTATCCGTTCATTGTTATTAACATCACAATTTCAAAACATGTTTTCTAAATAGATAGAAAATTGGATTGTAGTGATTGGTGTAGTGAAGAAGTATGTTTCAATCTAGATCTACAACTTTCTGATGAATGATGGAAGACAAATTCAAAGTGAATGACTGAACTGAACTTTTTCGTACAGACTATCAGATGTATTATAAACAATAAAACTAGTCTTTGTTATAAGTTCAATATACAGGAACTCATACCACTTGATAATAATGAATTATTTATGGAGAGCTAACCGAAACTCAATGAGAAATCTGTGACTGGAAGAGGCTGACTTATGATAAGAAATATAGTTTGTATTCATTCAATAACCTTGGTGTTTAGTGAGCTACAAACCCATTCCAAAGATTAGCCTTCAAACTGTCACAAAATTGGATTCTGTTAATAGCTGCGAAGCATAAATATCACAACAACTTCATTTATCACTGTGATGTGAAGTGTATATGATATAATTATCTTGTCGTATTATCTCTATCAGATCCACATTCAATCTCGAAATTTATTTTTAATTGGATAAAAATTATGCTCGTTCGACTTATGTTTTGTAAATTATTTTTGCTGTTGTAACGCGTGTGGGACTGCAGGTTATGCTAGACAGCGTTTATATCGATCGATTACAGTAGACATGGAAACACGTATGGACGACCTAGTGCCCTTATTGGTCCCGCTTCGCAGTCTGTCCTAGCCAGTTGAGTCAAGAACGCAAGTCACAGCCTCTGAGTTATGAATCGTTGTATTTCAGACATACTTTGTTTATATACCAATCAAGCACACCACATCGTACCATAAAATAGGAAACAACATTTACAAAATATTTAACAAGTGAAATAAACATCGACCAATAAGAAATGTACATTTAAGGTCCAAGGACACCATAGACTTAACACGATAATTATTGGTATATTTTTCCGACTATCCTAACACTTGCCCTTCAGGCTCACTCCAATTATGGACCTGAAAACTTGAAGTCAGACTAGTCTACGGTTTATGTTTTAGTTCACTATATCCGCAGCAATAATTTTGTACCGCTACAACCTGTAGGCACCATTATATCTGCAATCACCAGGAAAAACAGGAAAAATGTTGTGCTTTGGACTAATATCTATCATTGCCTAGGTATAAAATTCCTATTCCTTTCTAAGTCCAAAATACCTGCTGAATTAATGCGAATTATCACTGATCTGATGAAAAATACAACATTCTGAAAAAATGAAGAACTTTCATAAACTAGCATGATAATGTTATTGATTGATGTAGTTGAATCTGCACACTCGTTCTAGACCGTATTCTTAATATCGAATTGAAACAAGCTTATTAGTCTAGTTAAACTAGTGTATAATTAGCACCGTGTACAGATCAAATTATTTTCGGTTTGTGAGCTTATATCTATGAATGCATACTTATAAATTAAAAACGTGTATCCTATGAGTAATTAAACTGCATAATACATTCTACACATAATTACTGTATTTACAAACAAACATTTGTAATTGTATACAGTAAAATGTTCCTGAAGCATTAAACTCCCACACCCTATATGTTCTCACACTGTTCAGTATACAAATATAAAGGAAACTACTGAGTCAAATCTTGGTAGTGATTTTTTATTGACCCAGGGTCATTATTCATAAATTTACAGTTTACTTACATTCCTAATTATCAAAACAAGATACAAAATAAATGAGATTAATAGGGTATTAAGATTGAAGATTTTTGCTTTTATCATATTAATTTTGTGGTGGATTCCATTTTAATAACGAATTTCAATGTCAATTTCATTTTTCAAAACAAAATGTAATTAAATGAGAAATTAGTAGCTAAGTACAAATTCATTATTTTCTTTTTCAATCAATCCAAATTGCACTTTGTTAACTTGACATTTATTGATCATTGTTTATATGGATTTCAGTTATTTATTCAATTCTTTTATATAAATAACGTAATACGGAAATATCAATGTAAAACAGGACAAGTTCACTGACTAAAATACTCATAACTAAGATAGTACCATATTTGAAAAACGAAAACTGAACTACGACTGTTAGTCAAGCGAATCCGAATCTCAAATATAGAGATATTTTATCGATTATATTTTCTGAGCTAAAGCGAGAAGAACGAGATTCACAGAATAACATGAATATATTTCAAGGCTTCGCCTGAGGTTTGGCAAATTTATGCTCCGTAAGTTGTGCCTGAAAGGAAGTAAATTATTCACAAGTGGGATCACTAAACATTTGATGAATAGTAAACACAACGTATTTGTGTCGAAAGCGTTTAAAATGATTAACAGGCAGACAACACCACTTTTACTCCACTTTGAAGAAGCTACTCACATCAAGTGCTTTCGATTTGACCTTTGAAAACAGTAAGAAAGTGTTCTGAACCTCTTATTACGATTGTAAGATAGCTATACTATTTGAAAGTTTGTAAGTTACATTGTTTTGTTACTCAAAGTAAAAAAATCCTACTAACATCCATTCACGACGTTATCTTGAATACTATGTTAAACAGGTGCCATGATTTTCACTCATTCTGTAACAACTCATATTTATTAATTGTCTCTGTTTCATCATTTATAACTTCATTCCCTTCTTCCTTTTTTATGATTTCATCTTCAACATATATCTGCTAATCAATTTAACTATTACGTTAAATATGTTGTTTACTCTTGTGTTCTTATATCGTTTTGAATTAAACTTTATTGATTATGGTACGTAATGAAAAAAAAATTTGTAATATTGCTACCGTAAATTTAGACCGTTTGCAGCTGATGAGTACCTTTGAAATATGACGAATTCATATTATTCTGCAAATCCTCTTCTCCTCACTTTATTTAAATTTATCAAGTGATCAGGATGTACTTAATTATGTTTTAGCTCAACAACTGTAAGAAATTACGTGATAAATAAAATCAACATACTTTATTCTGTGGTAGGTGTTATATCCAGACGAAGGATAGTGAGTCGTGAATGTTAGGATCTATGTATGGACTGTTACTATATATATTCTTAGTGTATAACCATTAAGTAACTATATTATATGTATATTCATATTCCTTGTATTATAAGTTTCTATTTGCCCTATTGACTATTATATGATTTACTATTCTTGAGTTATACTCAGTATATTAGCTACAATCTCACACACCCACAGTTACTTTTTGGTCTGATTTTGTATAATTATTATTTTCGGTTTTATGGTATGATGTGGTCTGGTTTGTTTGTATATAAACGCAGTATGTCTGAAATATATGATCCATATGACGGAGGCTGATATTTGCGCTCTGGACTGAACCGGCTGGGTTGTGCAAGAAGCTACCAGTCCAAAGAACCAATAAGAACTCTAGGTTTTCAGTACAGGTTTAGGCTTCATTGGTCTGGTTGTATAAGTCAGTATCCCTAGTTGGCGATATCATCTCGTGATATAACCAACTGGGAAAAATCCATAACAGTAGGTCGTAGTAGACTAACTTGGTGATAAATGTAGATATCAGTGTTAAGAATAATATTTAATGCTCTACAGAATTCGGGCAGAGCTTGTTCTGAATAAGATGTACAACTATGATCAAAGTGATTGACGAAGGAAATATGAATTACAATCTGTAAATTTGTATCATATTTCTTTATAATATTTTCGATAAAAATAAATTATCAGTATAGGTTTGAGGAGATTGTTGAATTTCAATTGAGATTATGAACCGGTCAATGTTAGACCACCATTGAAAAATCGTGGAGTAGTTAAAGTTAGAGATTGACACCGATGGGAGACGGCTCATTGGTCTAGAGGTTGAGCGTTCGCACGCGAGGCCGAAGGCCCCGAGTTCGAACTTCATGTGTGGGATCGTGAATTCGTACTCATGAGGAGTGCCATACTAGGACGAAACGGATGTTCAGCGCTTCCAGGTTTTCAGTGGTGGTCTCATGTTGATCAGACCATGATTTTACTTAGAAAAAACTTAGTCTGATCAGTATATTTAATTAGGAATCCGTCTAGGGATATCATCATGTTTCATAGTTCAATAAATCGAGCACAATATATAACGCCTCAAACTTCAATTATTGCAATCGCAAAAGCAAGCAAGCTGTATGTTAGACTTTTGATGACCCAATTCCGCCATTGTTGTCTACAATGTACTCTAGTTTATGACCTAGTCTTTTTTAGTTAGTTCGCTTCAGTTCTGCCAAACGGGCTTTTAGTGCATTACGCTGCAATTTCATACTATTCTATAAAGAACCGTCTATTAAAAACGAGCTCCGGAATTAAATCAGTTCAACTATTTACATATTCAGTAGAAATTGTATATTTTGTTAGGTATCACCACTGAAAGAACATTTAAAGAATTCAGCTTATTATTCTCATGGTCTCGGGAATAAACTAAATACTTTCAAATACTGGAAAATTAATTTACGTGTATCAATAGTTTAGCATAATCGCATTTATTCAAGTTTATGCTGGACCGTTAACTGTGAAAAATTTAAATCAAATCGACCAAACATAGTGAGAATTGTCCCCTCTTAAATCAGTGAGTGTTAGTGTTACTCAAGGTGATCTAAAAATAACCTAACAAGTTAACATGAAGATGTTTCCTAACTATATATGTAATTCAGTCACAAAACTACCAAACTTGAATCCTAACTCAACAAATTCTGACTCATTACAAGACTTTTAGGTTCACAGTTCTTACTTGCATCACAGGCAATCATAGTTTGTTTCAATGTTGAACTGTCTATTATGACGTACTATACCGGTGGCTTTAATCTTTCCTTGAGATTCACAGCAAATTCATTAATATTTTCAATCTTTAAGAATGAACATCAGATAGAAATAACTAAAGCATACGTCGGAATTCACGGGAAATTGAAGATTGCGCTTATTTTAATAAATTTACGGAAATAATTACCAACTATTTTGTTTACTTTTATTAAACACTAAATGAGAATAAACAAATTTAAGTTGTTTGGGAAACTAAAGCAATTAACTAACATTGACAGTTTTACTGTAAAAGGAATCTATGTATTTTGGAGGATTTATGTCAAATCATAATGAATTTCATCAGCGTAAAAATAGTAAACATGTCCAATATCTGTGACGAACAACAAATATTCAGCAAAAAGGTTGAGCTAATAAGAGAGGTGAACATACGAATAATAATAAGAACGAACGTTTATAAAATAAATGATTAAATGGTAATCAATGACCATTATGTAAAATAATTCTACTCATTATTTTAAAATATTCTGTCTTACTTGAACTATAATTGGTTCCTCGGAATGCGCTACTATACCAATACAGTTTTTGTTCACATTCACCATACGCCAGAATAAAAGCTTAAGAGTAAAGAACATAAAATTAGAAGGTAGTTGAAAGGATAAAATGTTAAAAATAGATTGATTCTAGTTTAGTTTAAGTGAAAACCAATGCATATATATATTTCTGGATAGTACATTAGTATTTTTTTTGCAGAAATATTTATCTACCCAAATTCACAGAACTATCCAACCACAACCACGATTCGGTCTAGTTTTAGAACTCAGAATATTTTTTGAAGTTATACAAAATAATAAAAAAACTGAAGTGTAAAAAAAGATTCACTTTTTCCCACTGTGTAATTCAAGTATGTGTTTACTCTTGTGAACATTGGAGACTTAGAATGAATTGAATTCAAATATGTAATGGTGGTGATTTTTACTGAGAATTTTGTACGTGATATTTTGTTCCTAATTTCTTAATAAAGAATAAGTAAACAGTAACTTAAGACGTTATCCTTTCAAAGGCTAAACTATTTTTATTTGCTTTGATAGACAGAAATTCAGAACGGCCGGATAGTGAGTCTGGAGGGATTTATCAGATTAACTGAAAGTAATAATAACGGTGATGAATTTCTTAATAATGGGGACGTTCCCCAGGAAATTTAAGACTGAATGTGAGAAGAAAATTGAAAAACACTAACTAGCTTTTGAAATTTATAAGCAAAGTGTTCAAAGCCAAAAGAATCTACGTTCCGTAGTTATTTTGGTTAAATGGTACATTACTAGCATACTTAGGATGTGTTCGAAATATACGTTCTGGATTTCCGTACCTTCATATTGATTGAAGGATCGAGGTAATAAGATCACGAACATTGATTCTTAAGTGAATTATGTAGATCTGAGAAATGATGGACGTTTCCCAACAGTATGTCCATAATAAGGTAACATAACAAGAAATTGCAGTAATTTACAGATAACTAATCTGCTGCATCTATCACTGTTGATATAAAAGAAGTAAAGCAGACCAATAAATGATGAATGGTTCAGGTGGTAATCAATCTTCAGAGAATGAGGAAACAAAAGATGGATCGTTTATAGATTACCACTGTATGCCTAAAGTAAATTAATTAATGTCATTAGATGTAGATTAATGACAGGCAACAACCAGGTAGATTAATGCACCCTATATAAATCACAGTTATGTATATGTATCGAAAAAAAAATAGACGTACAAAATAACAGTGAAAGTTATCTTATAACTTATTCGGTCAACAATTTGCCTTTATAATAAAATCAGAGGCTGTTATTGTATATCAAGGTTATTTGAGGCACAGTATTAGACTTTCTTCACATTTTTGATAGAGACTGTAGATGTTCTCTTTACTACATACAAAAATCAACTTATGAGTTTTAATATAGTTATTTAAGTTACCTAGGTAAAGAACTTTTGTGAATACGACAAATAAATCCTGGGAGTAACATCGAACGAAGGACATTTGTTATTGGTTTATTCATCAACTCTTTTCAACTCTAACTTTTCGTTCCCTTCAAAATAGTAGTTGTAGAGTCAATTATGACGTTCCTTGTAATATTCTAGGAGTAACTTACCTGTCATCTAGCAATAAATTTCTTTTTATATATTGGTATTTCACACTGGTCAAGAGCGATTCAACATCATGTACCATATATAAAAATTAATATCAGAATCAGAATCACTATTCATCTCTGAAAAACTGTTATTATTATGCCTCCAAGAGTTCTTTCAAGAAATTCAATATATTATGATACCATTCTCAATTCTAAACATAAATTGCGTATATGGTTACGAAATAAAAAACAGTTCGGCGAGCTGATTGATAAATTTATCATAAGATCTATGGTCGCACTTCAATAACCTAAACTACGACATCTTATAGAAGTATAAAGAGAATTAACACGAATAAGAGAACTTGCAAAAGCAGTTAACAAAATGCTATTAACATCAATACAGTAGAAGAATGTGAAACGCAGGTAAGATAAGTCAAATAATGAATGAATTTTTACTGTCAAAAACAGTCATAACACCAATAAAACTGAATTTAGTAGTTAGTGACTTTATTTGTTATTGTTGTGTTGGTTTGGTCCAATTAGCACTTCTGATGTAGTCAAACTTTTACCTGCGATTTGCAGTGCCTGAAAAAAAAGACCTAAGTTCAGAAAGGTTTAATTGTTTTTTGGCTTTAATGAGTCCCATCATTTATGGGGTGCGACATTTATTCCCAAGCCATTTGAGGTTCATGAAGACAATATAACTTGTTAGTTCTATAAAAAATCGTCAGCCTATGAATATTGAAATTTTTTGGTTCAATAACGCTTAGAAAGAAAAAAGACTTTTCTGTTTTGTTTCATCTTATCCGCATCTGCCCCTCCCTTTTGAATATAATTACGCCGAATAAGCTATTCACTCGTTCACTCATCTCCCTACACAGTAATTTTTATTTCAATGCTTTATTGAATACTGAGGAATTGGGTTTACCGCATAGTCCTAGTTTCATTGTTTTATTTCCTTTTAGATCCTTAGATCCAAATTTATCTATAATTTGGGAGTTTATATGTATGTGGAAGGGACAAAAACAACCAATCAAGAGAGAGCTTAGAATAAAGTACATATCACATTGTTTAAATGAAATTATTTAACAGCATTTTCAGATGCGGACGGAAAGTTGACCTTTTATTTCAGAATAAATATAACAATTAAAGATCTTTCGACTATGCTGTGTTACTTTGTTCCATTATTCAAATCAATTATTATACCCAAAGACAAATCTTTCATACCTATTCTATAATAAATAAATGGTAAACATCCCCGTTAACTTGAATTTATTCATATTTCAGCCTTTTTAAATATGGAAGTGATGTGGACGAAGAACTACTTAGTAAACAATATAAATAGATTGTTTATTACATGAAAATCAGTAGATTAATGCTATTTTCTGAATAGAAAATGTTGAAAAGCTGCCTGACATAATATTGGCGTTACTGATTAGCCTTACAAATTCTAAATTTAGTGACGCAACGATAAAATCATATGTTGCCCAAAGTGATCAGCAATTTCTTGGTTGTGTACAGTATAGAATATTGCTAAAATAAAACCATCTCGAAAACTTTTCCTGCACAGAACAATGACAGAAGCTACAGTGAAGAAAAATTTACTAAAAGGGTCTTATATCTGCATAAATAATTTTTCTACTCCTTTTATAGTGAACGAGGACACAAATGGGGACAACACAAAACTACAGAACATCTTAGTAAAATTTGAGGATCATACAGTAAATACTTAATTGGCAAAATGTCAATCAATTGTCTCAAACTTGACTGTTCCTTTTTGTAAATGTCAATCAATTGTCCCAAACTTCATTGTTCTTCCATTTCCACAGCAATGATTCTCTGTTCTTGTTCTCTTTTCTTCTATCTTCTTAGCCTTCTGCTGCCAGGTATTCCACTTTCGAATGATGATACATACTACATATATCTGTCGACATCAGTAGCACACACCACATTTTTACCGACCTGCAGATTTAATAATGCTTCACCAAAGCTCGTTTACATCAAATTATTGTTTGAAATAAACAGTTTATTTTCCTTCATCTTTCTCTTCTGACATATTGTGTTTCAAATAATCGAATAAACTGATGGGTTTTAATCTGATATACAAAAAAAGGATATGAAGCCCATAATCAAAACTTCAAGAAAGAACTCAGTATGATTACTGTTACTGCTGCTTCTATTATATGTAGTTATTTGTGGAACGTAAAATATACTATATGAGACACCCCGATGACTACAAATCAGTACTATACATATGTCCAGAATAAGTAACACTTTAGCGACTTCATTGAAAAACCTCATCAAAAACGTTAATAATTATTACAACTATGCCATTCTAATCTACTTAAATGCTGACCGTGGGTTTTATTGGAATTTTATACCTTTAAAATAACGGTAACTATGTCCACTCAACATATCCAGTTAATTTAAAACAATTAGCCCTTTTGGTAAATTTCGATAATGCAGTGAGAAGACGAAGGTTATCAGAATTATGTGATGTATTTGCGCAATACATTTCGAACAATCTGATCACACATATATTTGTTAAGACATTTTTATATTGAAAAGACAAGGTCTATTTTTCACCAAAAACCTAAAAAGAACGTAAGTGGTTGTGCCACATCCCACTGCGTCTATAAATTTACATATAAGTGCGGGAACACGTACATAGGGAGGAGCAATCGTGATCTGCAATTAAGGGTGGTGGAACATATACCTAAATGGCTGCAGAGACAAATGAATCCCAATGGTCAAGTGAGATCACAGACATCTTCCTTCATTGCGAAATATTTGGCTGAGACTGGTCATAAGATTGATATCAAGTCAGCTTTTGTAGTTTTGTACAAAAGCCTTCAAGAACGTATGCTAAGGTTTAATCGAAGCCTTGGCTATACAGAAACTGAAACTCCATTTATGTGTTCAAAAACAATTTGTTCTCACCCTTAATCTACCCTGTTAATACTGATTTATTATCCAGAGTGGTTATCATATTGTGTTTGTGCCCTTTAGCTTTCTTTGTTACAGCTCACTAATCCGTCTAGTTGACCTTTTAATTTTCATATAAAAATGTCTTACCAAGTATATGTGTGATCAGTTTGTTCAGAATGTATTACGCAAATATATCACATAATTCAGATAACTTTCATCTTCTCATTGCATTATCGAAATTAATCAGATTACCAAAATGTTTATAAGAAGACAGCATTAGTTGACGAGTGTTAAAGGTCTTCTCATTGCATTATCGAAATATTCAGTTAAATATAATATTACAATTTTAACACATGATGCAGTTAAAAAAACATGTGAAAGGGATTAGTGTAAAAGCGGGTTTATTTCATTATGGTCACAAACAAGCTTTTGATTATTGTTGCTCGATGTAAATTCTAAACTATAAGAAATAACAATGAAGCATGTGATATAAAGTTAAGGATTCTTGTATTTTATTTATAATTACTTTGAGTTATAAGGTTAAGTTTTACATTTTCGTGGCTTATTACATTTTATGATGAAAAGTTTTTTTTTAATTACTTGGTCAGTCAATTGATATTCACAGGCTAACAGATAACAGTATAAATCGGAATACATGGAGTATTTAGTAATGAAGCATAATTTTCTTTTTTGAAGTTGGACTTAAACTCATTAACCATAAAGACAACATATCATCAACATCATCTTTATTGAGGCTCCGAAAAAAGACGTTCTTCTCTTATAGTCCGTTAGTATCTATTGAACGAACGAAACCTGATTGATTCAATTAGTCGAAAATTTCTGTGAATCCATTTCTTTTGGTCAAGTGAATGATTCTTACGGAGTTTGTTGGTTTCAAGAACTTCACTTTTACTCACTATATTTATGGAAACATTTCAATAGTTGAATTCACGAGTCAATTAAAGCTAGACCACCATGGAAAACTTGAAAGCACTGGATGGCCGTTTCAACTTATCCCAATACTGGTAAAAATATTTTTTGAGACCAAAATAGAGAAGCAAATTTAAAGTTTATAAAAAAGTAAACGTAGACCAATATGAACATATTGGCCTATTTAGTTTTTTTAAATAGTAATTGTTGTGAGGAAACCTTTATGTCAGAGGTACTGATTAGACGTTTGTCAAGTCCACCGTCGATCGGAGTACATTTAGGATTAGAATGTACAGTTTTTTTTAATTTACCGTGTTCTTTGAGTAAGTTCATTTTATTCATTCATTTACACAGTGCAATTTGTCAAGTTGAACTATGACATGGAAAATGTCATTATTAGGAGTTACTGTGAGATTTTGGAAGGACCGCTTAAGCAATGAGGGACATCGTGTTAAACAAAACATTCGAGTAGTTAAGTTGGTAATAGCAAGGGATTTATATTCCAGACCATAGGTTTTCTGCTACAAATATTTTAACAGCATCATTTCTTTTGAAAACTAACTGAATAGGATAAACAAATGTGTCTAACATATTTAAATTGCAGGAGCATATTAATCTGAATATTATAAAACATAAAGGGTAAAATCAGAAACCTAATCGTTATCGAGGGTTATGGAAGATTCACTTCAGAAAACGTCACTAGTATCATAAATAAATGAAAAGGTCTTAGAGAGTTTCAAAAATTATAAAAATATGTAGAGCATTGAACTCAACTTATAATAGGGTAATAGTTTCACAAAAGAATGGTTTCTATTAAATTCTCTAATAAACTGCATATATATATAATGTACAGCTGGTGTTGTTAGTTAGGCTTATCACCCCATACAGTTTTCTTTACAAACTGACATAAGTTATAGTTTAAACTGATGAAGGGTAAGTATTGAGAGCTGAACTGGATTTTCGGGTCAGGTTTATAAATTACCCAATCTCCCTGTTTTGGAGCAATCCCCAATATTTCTCTAAAATTGGGGGATTAGTTAGGATCGGGGTTTTCAGCATGAGCTGATCTGCCGTAATTCGATGCTTGGCCACCCTTCTGTTTACAAACTTGAGAAACTTAGGGTTGAGATTTAGAGTAAAAGTAAGAAAGGAAGAGTATTATCTATTTTTACTGGACACTCTTGATCAAGCAATCAACCACAGCAAGTAGTTTAACGCACAATCCAATCTTCCTATTTTGGGGAATTTCCCCAGATCTGGGGAAATCTTATGCCATTTACCAAAAAATTTTTTATAACGGCTTCCCCAAAATAGAGAGTTTGGGAATCTAACTTGAGAGCACGTGTTTTTTGTAGTTTAGCTTAAATACCATCTAAAATTCACCTTTTGGTTGCATAATACATATTTTTATTGGTTTCAAGCATTTTGAGAACCAAATATTTCTAACTTTTACTTCGTTAATAATAACACATATCATCTATCACTTCGTTTTAAATTTCGCGCAAAATACATGAAACACTGTCCCAATTCTGATTGGCTGTTTCAAGGACGCCAGTATGCTATACGTCTATGCATAAATGAAACTAGATCCAAATGGTAAAATGTCTACCCAGCGATTAGAAAGATTTTTTTATCAGATTACGAATAAATGTAACGAAAATATTTCAGTTAATAAGATGTTTCTTATCATACTACTAGGTTCATGACAGTGTTCTATTTCGATTGCATTTTCTACACAGATAGTCGTTAAAATGTTAACTCCCTACATAGATGCAAATGTTTATATTATGGAGAATGTTTGAAATACTAAAACTTAAAAGTCTGTGATAGTTTGTGATAATCTACGTGATCAATATATACAGTGATAACAAAGATCAAATTACAGTACACTGAAACAAGCTTTTAAAAATATACAACGAATTAACAGCAAAGACGTCAATGAGAATTTTGTGGATTATTTTGGTGGATTAAAAACATGGAAAGCTACAAGACAGGAATGATTTAATTTCTTACTCACTTTCTCCATTATGTTAGTCACACTTTTTGATAGTAGTCTATTTCAACATATAATTGATTTACTGTTTGTTTTTAAATTTCACGAATTGCAATTAGGAGTGTCAATACGGAAATAATCATTTGTACAACTTTAGAATTCAAGTACGATTTAAGTTGGTTTTATTAAAAAATCTTATCCTAACTAAAGATTCAAAAGAACTTACTTTTAAGTCACACTCCTCCGTTATTTTTGAAAACTGTTGCATAAGATCAGGAATTGTAGTAGTGCGATCGTGTATAAAGATGATCCCAGTTGCGAAACGACCCAGTGGTGGTAAGACAACATTTGCCTCACTAGAAAAAGACAACAGTTTACAATAGTATCATTTCGATTGATGAGAAGTAAAACAAATACAAATGTAAACTACAAAACTATAACATTGAACTAAAGACGTTTCGCAACAGAACGCTAATCACAAAAGCACAATGAATAAAAATAAATGTCGATGGGGTAATAATGCTAGAAAGTGGGACAAATTTATTGTATGTTTGTAAAAATGTTAGCATATGAAAACAAAGAGCAATTTTCTTTATTAAGAGCAACCGGAAACTGTAGTGGAAGTTAAAACTCGTAGTTCATATAGTAGCGTTTTGTATCAACAGCATGATGTTGAATTTGATTCAGGTTCAATAAAATCAATTATCAAGAAACTATTTTCAACACAGCATTTCTTGTGTTGAGATTTAAGCTTCCCGTTTTCCATCCTTGCGAAAAATATGTTAAAATGAACCAGTAACTTTTTGTACAAATCTCCATAGAAGAACAAAATGCAAACGCTACTTTCATGTTAAGTTGAGATTCAATAAAGCCAAAAAAGTGTTTCAGGCATACATTTTTTTCTGACGGAACATCGACATCTATTCCAGGACTTTTTGAAATAGAAAGATCATTTGTGACCATGAACACAACTAACCATACAATGAAGCTCCATTCGTATTGTAACTTTTTCGATTGCTCGAAGTGCAAGTGGCGAGAAATCTTTAAGTCTATCAAGAAGTGTCGTTGATGTTAAGTCCCTAAACACTGTAGGACAAACGATTTCGATAAGATAACAAAATTTGTGTTTGTCTCACTTTTATATTCTTTGCATCACTTCGATTTAAATATCTAATTCAAAATGAACGTTAACTAGCCGTTCTATTTCCTCAGTCACTGGTAAATCATGTATCATATAAATTTAAAATATTGTATTTGTTGGTCAGTATCTCCTAGATAATGTCCATAGGGTTTATATGTGTGGATTTTGATGATTCATTTTCTTCTGACCTATATTTATTTTTTCTGTATATTTTAACAATAACCAACTGTCATTTACATAAGATAATGAAAGATTTACTGCAAATGACAAAAACAATTTAACTGAAATTATTTGATAAATATCTCATTTGTTTGTGTTCTATCTGGCTCCCGTTATAAAGTATAAAGGGTGATTGTGTGTTTGATTACTGGAAGAATTTTTTTAAAGAAAAATAAACTTCAAGGTACAGAAACTTCCTTTCAACTTCATATAGTACAGTAAGTTAAATGTAAAGCCTGTTGGCAGTTGTCACTTTCAAATGCTTGTCTGTAACTTCTAATTATTTTTATTTGGATTATTGTTGATCGTATAAACAATAAAGGGTTTTCCATTTTTCTCGACTTTATTTCTGTTGATAAGTATCTATTCTAGAAATGATGAGTGTTGAAAATACAGAAACTGAAGATATATTTTAAGAATTCGGGATTCACAAGATCTTCAGCAGATTACAATAGAAACGTTCTCTTTTGTATACAAATTACCCGTTATCTAAAATGATTGGCTTTTTACTCATTAATGTACCACCTTACATAGTGTCAGTTGGTACTGTTTCTAATATCTAAACAAGTCCCATATTTATTTAATTATTCGGGATTAGAAGATCAAAATATAATCCTTGCCCCTATGATTTATTAGAAGTTTACAACTTACAAAGAGTAACTACGCTAATTAGTGCTTCCCTACGTGATTTCTATCCGGTTATGTCCCGTCTTACCCTATATATGCATATAGACATAAGTATTCGGCCGACAAGTCTATGGAGCTCTAAAGGGAAAGATGTGAAAAATTCCTCATTAATGCACTGACGGATGTGAATAATAAATTTAAACCGTAGTTGATTGAACGTTATTCTCAGTTTTCTATCTGATTTGAAATTACAAGAAAGCATTTTTGTAGGACATTTGATCCTTCGGAGTACAACTCTAGTTTTAGAAATAATATTTATATTTGGCTATGACCAGTGAGGGAATTTCGTTTTACGTGACTGTCCATGTACCTACCCAAAACCATCTTTAGACCTAGTTCCCACTCCATATAATGCATATTTTTCACTGTTTTTCTGATTAATGTTAATTTTAAAATATTTTCAAGATGAGCAGTGTTTTGAATGCTCATTTTCTATCGGTAAAATGAGTAGTTAAATTCATGAATCCTTTAGCAATACTTCTACTTATACTTTAGATGTCTTCAGAATCTTATGATTTGTAAATTCCCAGTGACTGAAGCCGAAGGCTTCGATTATCGTAGGCAACAAGACAATGATAGATTGATTATTGTCAAGCTATTATAATTTTTTCAACAGATTCTGTTGCCAGATAAAAATTTAAAACACTCAAATGATAGGTAATATTATCCATGTACAAGAAGTAGTTTTCAATTTATTTGTTTATTCAGGTAAATAATAAAAAAAAAATACGGTCATGAAATTCTTTTCCCCTAGTATTTATTTTTTAAACCTTTTTATATAAATGAAATCACTTCCTGTCCCATAAAGTTCCCTTAAAAAATAAAAAAAACTCAATAGGCATCTTAATGATTGATGTTTTATTTAGGATTAGAAAATTATTTTAATCAATGATTGGGTGTTTGCTTCAGGAAAGTAAGTAGAGACAAATGAAAACTAATTGTTTGAATAAATATAGAACTAATTAGAAAACAACTAACGACTTGAGAAACAGTTGTTTGATGCCGTAACTGTTAGGCGATATTTTTTGTTCTATTGTGTTGATGACAGAATCTAGGAATTATCTTTAGAATGCTCTGATAGTTTATCTGGAAACTAAATATAACTCTAGGATACAGGATATTAAGCTAAAGTCAATCACTTGATTAAAGTGATTTATTTTTCTTCTTCATATGGTTAACTGAAATTAAAAAGTAGCTCCAAACAAATATTTCTTCAGGTAATCATGTTAACTGAGAAGAGTCATCTCAATATGGTGTCTCAGTGTTATTTTTTTGGAGTAGTAGTTTCGTATCAGTTAATAGTTTAAAAATACTTTGAAAGCGTCTTTCTAAGGATATTTACTAAATATCTACTCAATAACCCTCTGGTTCCAAGTAACTAATCATATTTGTCTGATTATTTAGTTAGTAAGCTTAAAACAACATTCCCATATTTTGGTTGAGTATCATAATTAACGATACACATTGTACAAAGAATGAAAGGACTTACCGCGCGTACTCCAAATATATTTCGTATGGTATAGACGTCATTACACCCGACCCATCCCCAGTATCCTCATCACATGCACAAGCTCCTCGATGATCCATACGTTCAAGCATGACTTTGGCATCCTTCAATACCTAATATCGGGTCAGAAGGAAAATGAAACAGAATTTGGATTTAACCAAATAGTATCATCCGACTGTTTGATTACTTTACTATTCTATATGGCTGGGGGTGATCAGTGATTAGCTTTAGATCTGATGTTTGTATCTATTGAATCTAGTGATCAAGAAGTTACTGCTTGAAAATATATATGTTAATAGCAAGACTCACGAGTACTAACACTATGAATATAGTTCCTGCTAATAATCTTTTAATGATAAAACACTAGTTATATTCCTACGAAATGATAATTTACTCATTTTAATTTCTAACTTTGATCGACAATCATAACATCAAACATACCTTCATTAATAATCAACCAAGTAAACTAATAAAAAATTGTTTTATCACATAAAAGAGTAATTCAGTTGATTGATAGGAATGATCTTAACGTTTCTGAAATGCAAGGCGTCAAATAAGATACAAAATATTACTGTTGCTATTCGTGACTATTGTAAAAAGTCTCTTCCTGTTTTTCTTTGATTTAGTCATAGATAAGTATTAAGAACTGACATTTTGTTCATCAAGTTTCAGGAGTCGATCTCTTGCCTCGCAACACACTCATCATTTCGGATTAGGTGCACGAAATATTTTTAGTTAGAAGTAGTTAAAAAGATTCAGTAAAAATTAGTCAGTGCCTACTTTGTTCTTCATTTATTCTAAATTTAAAATGTCGTTTTAGGACTAATCTGCGTGAAACCAAGTCCAATCGCACAATGTGAAGTAATTTAGTACACGGATTAGTTTAGTCATACTGGAAGATTTATCACTTCTGCCAGGTTGACAGTTGATAAAATCTCTGAATTGGCGGAAAACTTTGCATGGATTTTCTCAATTTACTCCACCTATAACGTATGCAACAGATCCGTTCACCAATACAGATTTCAGTATAGTTAATAACAGTTTCCTCTCTAAAAGTTTATTTTAGTAGACAAATGACATATGTGAGGTGCTAACAAGTATATTCAAGGCATTGGTTAGTTATGGAGGAGCTACGAAATAAGTAATAGTTATACTGATTTACGAAAAAAGTCAGAAGATTGGTTGATGACTGTGAAATATATTTTGTATGTTCAGTTTTCACTACAACTATACGAATATTAAGACTTGTTTCATGTCCATCTCCTTATTTTTTTCTTTAAGTAGAATATAGCAACTTGAGCTGATACATAATCATAGTGAGTTCGACTTGATATATGACTTGTGTGTTAACTACAACTTAGATAACAGTTCATTCATCTTTTGATTAAGCATATTCCAAAATGAAATACTGAGGTTTTACAGTTTACTAGTAGATACAATACTTTTGACCCTATTAACACCAAGTCGTAATCACTGTCTTATGGAGGAAACACATTACTGCTAATAATTTATATCATAAAATTATGTGAAAAACGATCTTTTTGATGGCAACAGTCCATTGAAAGGACTGAACTTAGAACGCTTGGAACCATAATTATTTTCAACAACAACAACAACAACAACAAAAATAAGAAAACACCGGGCTCAATAAAAGGTTTTACTTGATTAAATTATATTTAATCAAGTGATTATCACTCAAAAACCATTATTTATAAATACGCAGTTCTGAACATTATTATCTTCATTTTCGATACTGCATAATACAGACTTATTGAGTGTAGTATGAAGATTTGAATTTTAGATAAATCTATGAAATTGAATAATCTATTTTATAGCTCAATAGTTGGTCAATCTGTTTAATCAAATGACTTTTAGAGTTGATTTTTGTACTTGGTATGATGAAGTGTTTAAAAATTCCAGCTGCTTTCAAAGTCTTTCAAAATAAGCTATGCTTACGGGAATGAATGAATCAACATGTTTACGCATTTCCTTTATCTATCCTTTGAGTATTCTCAATTAATAAATGGATGTTTATTATTGCCAAAGGGTTAATACAAAACATTATTAATCATCCTGATTATTGAGCACGTAATTTGGGCAGTAGGACTTTAGGTATAAAAACGACATTCCAAACTGCCTAGAGATTACCGATGATGTCAATAATCTTGTACAACATAGTACTAAAGGAACTTTTCCTATTTGATTGAGTTCATGAATCTCATTCCTATCACAAAGCACCCAATTGGTCAAATTAAATATTGAGAGAACTAACTGAGTATTTCATAACAAAATATCTCGATTTGTTCCACATTCCATGGATAACAAATTCACTTCTGTAGGAACGCTTACATTCAAACATTCCTACCGATCCAACAACTGGTAACCTGACTAAAGGTAAACAAAACATCATTATTCATTTGACAAAATATGTCCAGTGTCTTACGTCCAAAAACCGATTAGGTTATCAGATTTTAATAACTAAAGTTATATAGTTGTAGTCGTTAGGGCGGAAATACGATCATTTCAGTCAAAAAAAATAGTTGAAATCACTAGTCAATTGAAGCTAGACCACCATGGAAAACCTGGAAGCACTGGACGGCCGTTTCGTCCTAGTGTGGGACGACACAACTGTGCTCATCCACGATCCCGCCCTCCGCGAGATTCAAACCCAGGACCTGTCAGTCTCAAGCACCAGCGCTTAACCATTAGACCACTGAGACGGCATCCAACGATGTTAATGTCTAACTTCAACCAGTCCACGAAGTTGCACCACCGTACACGATTGTCTTCAGTGAGTTGATGTCTCACAACAGACCTGGTTGAACTCCACTGGTAACGTCTTCTCACTAGAATTCCAGGAGTGTCTCTTGAAGTCAGTCACTAGTGAGCAGATGATTATTATCAGAAGGGGATTTGTCGAGATTTTTTCTAGTAAGATACTTATCTCAAGATAGTTCTACATATATAGCTTCAAACATAAGCATAACTTAACAAAATAAATACAAAAAGTCAGTTCAATAAGTTACAATGAAAACTATAGACATTTAGAAGAACAGAGAGAGAGGGAGAGATTATTTTGTGCAAGTTCATAGTGCTATCTGATATTATAAACAGTGAATATATTCACACAATACTATTCAGACATGCCATGAACTTGCATCAAAAATATAGGTCACAGTGATAATAAAGCAAACAACAAAAAAACACAAGAGAAAGAACGTCATAATAATCATCATATTAGCGGAAATTCGATCAATAAGCACGCACATATTGTGTTCATTATTGTTATAGTATGACCCTTACAAAATTCCATAGCAATCTAACAGCGCATAGAAATATTTTTTCACTAAACGTATTTAATACAATGAAGGCAGTAGACTTATGTATTTATTTTTAATGTTAACAAAAATTGAATATTTATGCAAAGGCTTCAATCCATAATCGACCAAATATAATAAAAGTACATATTGTTTTCACTATATTAAAATCATGGCGGCAAAATAGATGGTATGAAAGCTTTATAATTAATAACCATATAATAACCTAAATACAATAACCTTAATTGTAGATTACAGCTTTCTATAAATTAGAAGATGCAAGCTTACAGTTATTGAATAAATTTTTTATCTCACTATTTACTGTACACGTTATATCATATATTCGTTCAATGATGCCCCTGAATATAAAATTAGTTAATTAATCCATTCATGAATTCATTTAACAATTTTCGAACCTTTCTCCGGAAAAGTAATTCCTCACTAAACTATATTATTTACGTTATCGTATACTTCTGAGTAGAATTTTCTTAAATTTTAATGTCAACTAAGTGAAGATGATCTAGTCATACGTTCAAACAACCATAGAACTGCTTCGATGCTTCCGTCAGATTCCACACGAAATGAATGCCTTCGAAACGTTTTTCTAATGGCAACTGAGATTTCTAGCAAATAAAACGGAAAATTGCAACGGAAAAATGGTCATCTAATAGCGTTTATAATAAAGATCTTACGTTAAAAAGTGAACATAGGGTATCACCTACCGTGTCAAAGAACAATATGTCTTTGAACGCCCTTTTAAAAACATAACTTTAGCTAAAAGTATAGTAGTTGATTATGGGCTATAATCTCACTGAGGTACACTGCTCCAATTCTAATTATGTGCATAAAACTCAAAACAGACTAATAGAGTTTAACCTAAGCACGTAGCCTCGTTTATTTCTATCTACCTGTGTTTACTCATTTGCATATAGTTACAGTATTACATACATCAGAAAACCTGGAAGTGTTATCTAAATCAACCTCTGAACTTACGTTAAAACAGTATCCTAGGCTATTTACAAGTGCCATATGTAAATGCATTGTCAATGCAAATCATTATGTGAATCGAAAAAGATTGTGCTCAATGATGAATAAACATAAAACGAGCAATCATTTTATCTTACTGAGACAGCAATGTAAACTAAAGTTATCATTCATCTGGTACGGTCCTAGTGATTAAGAGTTAACCTGTGATACTCTTCGATATTCTGTCCTTTTTATCTTATCTATCTTATGAACGTCCACCATTATCACCAACAAGATCTTAATTAATTCATTATTAAATTCCACATTCAGTTTACTTGTGATTTAGGACCCACGTTAGTGATATTATTATTGACTATACTCTATATAACTATTTCAAAATGTTACTTAGTCATTCAGGTTTTAACTCTTCATAAGAATTTTCTATCGATATAAATACTATTTATTGAAACTGCTGTCAAAAATAGGTTACTACAATTTTGTATAATCATTGGTCGAATTTTTTAGTTGACCTCCCTTATTTGTAACGATGACCATATATTTCTCTAATTACGTCATAAATTGCCAAACTTATTCCATCTAGGTTAGTTTGCTTTGTATCTTCGTGAAGGGTATTTTCTAACTTAGGTGGTTTCGTGAAAAAAAAAGAAACTTAAGGGCTTCACGCCATTGTTTCGAGATTATAACTATGAAAGGAAACCTGTTTTCATATTTTCCGACTGGTAAGAATCTACATTCAGAAATCTTAATGATATTTTATATTTATCTCTCAAAAACTACATTTTATTTATAAAGTCATTGCGTTTCTGGAAGATTTAAAACACATTACACAAACTGCTTTATTAATTATTCATACTGCTTGAAATCTGCATAGACATCTTTTACTTTCTCTTTAATGTGCCAGATCTAACTTGTATGGTAAATACTACATTCCGAGGTAACTAAACTTTGGGATTCTGGTAATTAAAACAAAATACATTTCCAGGATCTACTTCTCTTTCTAACGATAACTACCGGTTGGTTTTCATAATAAACCTATCAATATATAATCCATGAAGATCAGATATGAACTTAAAATCAATCATAATAAATATCATCTTTGAAAATTGTGATAAGTTTAGGAGACACCGTTAACAACTAGGTCAAGTTACTGAATGGAGAAGATGAGAAAATCTTAAAAATTTCTTTTACCAGTTAATCGGTACTTTCAGTCAACTCTACTGACTGTATTGATTATGAGTTATATTATTGAAGACACTTTATTTACATATTATCATCAACCAGAAAATCTCTCATAATAAAAAAATACTATACTCCGAGATCTCGCGCAACAATCTACTTCAAAATAAATACATGAACCTCTCAATGACGTCGATTTCTTAATCAGTCAATTACGCATGTTACTATAAACATTTCAAACTTCAATTTCATGTTTGTTTTTTATCTCAGACGAACAAGGTTATTTTATCGACATGACGTCGTTTCACAAGGATATATATGTAAACCAAGGCATCAGTTTACTTAAACAGTGATTGTTTTCTGAACTATTCCGTCATTTGATTAAATTTTCTCCAGTGTTCACAAATCACAATTCTGAGGTAATATAGGCGCATTGTTTAGTTAAAAAATGAAGTTTATTTTGTTCACCAGCTTTCGTGGATTACGATCATCCTAATAAAAAAACACCTAAGATACACGGAACCACGATTTCTATATCGTGTTTTTTTGTTAAATTGTTCATTATTCGGAAAAGAAAATCGGAATTTAGAAATTCAAATAGATTATATTCGTATTTTGCCCACATAACGTCCCAGATAACTAGTACAACTAATAACCCTTATAAGCTATGACAAGCCAGAAGGATTATTTTTACAAAATGGTAATCATTCATTTTCAAAAGTAGATCGACAACATTGATAAATTAGAAAGGTTACCGAAGAAACACAGAGGTGTAGATATGTCAATAATTTTATTGATGCGATATCAATTACCTAAATAAAAGTGGACTATATAGTTTACTGTACCGCAAGTGAGTGATATTGTTCTCTAGGTCTTCAGTCAGCAGTGTGCAATTTCTTGATGGTTTCATCGTCTCTCGAAAAGTACCAAAAAGTTGAATCACTATACTGTTATAATCCATCATTCTAGGTTACATTTGTGTTGTTACAATTTGAAAGTCAAAACACTAGGAATTGGCATCTCTGTTCCTATTACATAACAACGATATAGTTCTTATCTTAACAGCCATCTGTGTTGTAACAGTGGAAGTATGTCACGAGTGATTTAGCAGTAATGATCAGAGAAAAACTGAAACTTTACCGTCAACTACATGAGAAGACTGAAATCTTTATGGAAGGCGACGTTACATCTAAACTTGTAAATGTTACAGAATACATAATATAAATAAAATATTATAACTGATGAATGTGACCGTTTTCCTAAAAAGAAAAACAATTAGCTAGAACATATTACTCTCCCAAATAGGAAATACTTATTCTCAAACCGTCGTTTTTTTTCATAACCCAAAGAATAACTGGATTTATTATAAGTACATGTTAGTGAATGACGAAAAATTTCAACTGAGTAGCATCTTTACAAACCATCTTACAAAATGGTGTAGAAAAAAGTTGAAATAATTTAACATATTACTCAAACCACAAAAATTAATTTTTTTTTTAAATAAACATCAGAAACTGAACCAAATGTTTGTGTGAAATACCGCTGTTTTACTTATTAATTTTGGATACCAATTGAAATAAGTTACTACACCAATGAACTTCATGCATAAATCTTCATATAACCACGTGCATATATTTGCACTGTGTTGAAAATCAGTAGGCTATCAAGTTCATTATATTAGCGTTTGGAACACAACTACACGTAATTAGATTTTAAAGATTGTGTTTATTTGTGTGTATGCATGTACGAGTATGTGCATTCAAATATTTCTTTAATTCGATGAGACAGAGAAAGTTCAAACATGTTTTCATAGTAGTCGTGACAACCAACAATATTTTAATATGATGTTTTTGACAGTTTAATTTTCCTACAATGACTAGGTTTATAATACGTTTGAAGTGAGTGATAACTATGGGTTGAGTATGTTGAATTCAGATTTCACTTTATTTGTTCAATATATAATGAAATATTGATCCTTAAAAACAAAGACTTTAATTAGACAAAGTGAATATTCACTATTTAAAATAAGATAAATTGTGAGTATCAATCTGAAGAAGCGATACCGTCAAATTGAACTACTATCCTACCTAATTTATATAACACATTGATAACTTTTGTTATATCATTGCTGTCCTTTACCCCAATGTCGTTGGCAATAGGTTTATTAATATTATAATAATGATATGTAGTAGAACGAATTATCTAAATAAGCACTAGTAGCTCTTAATTCAGCTAAGCAGAACTATGTATTGGATAAATTGACTTTTATCTTGTAATTTACATATAAAGCCAGATAGTGAATTGGCTTTTCAAGTACACTAAGAGTACTTTAGATTACATACGCGCGAGTTAAGCAGTCTTTATATACAATAAGGTGTTTTTAGATATGTAAATAGCAGTCAAATAAGGCTTTAAAGTAACATTCTAAATATTGTATTTAGATAAATTTACACCAAACTGCCTAATCCCTAAGAATCATAATAAGCTATTATTGTTATCTAGCGTGATTTCAATAGATACCTTTGACGTTGAACTGATTTTTAACGGATGATTCATTTGCTGATATACAGCACAAACTAATAATAAGCATAGGATTTATATACTATAATTTAACAGTAAATAATGAACGATGATCTTTATTACAAATAGTTTTGTTCGACACATACCTAATAATCAAGCTCAGATGAAAAAACTCGACAAATATTACATATTCTTCAAAAACTAGATAGAGATTTCTGCTGGATATTAACAATTCAACAAACCCTTGCAGTATTTTAAACATTTTTGTAATAGAATAACAATAACAAACCAAAAACTACATACCTTATTTGAGCGTACACCTTTAGTATTAACTACGAAGCCCACACCGCAAGCGTCATGCTCCTCTTTCGGATCAAAAAGCATCTCTTTAGACTTCTTCCCATCCATCGTCAGTTTCACAGTCGTCAAGATTCCGTAATGCTTGTTCAATTATCTGAATGAAAATAAAAATCAAACTACTATCAAATAATTGGCCAATATAATGTGACCAATCAAGTGACGGGTTCTAGGTCAATGAACATCACAGTTCTGCCACGTGATAACCATTGGTCTATCTTGTACAATATGGCTTGGCAGACATGCAATGGAATTATTATAACTGTGATCACTTTTATGCCATCAAGTTAAAGGATTATTTCGGTCCTTAGTGTTAGTAAGAGCCTTAAAATGACTATACTATAGAAAATAGTAAATATTATATCCCTTTCCTTGATAGGCTTATGAATTTTCGATAAACAAATCTTTGGAAATTACTTGTTTACGTCTTGAATTTACGAACAGCTAAAGACAATGAACTAACGAATATCTGGAAATCTAAGACATTATTTATATGCGAAATATTCATTCACGATGATACGACTGAATTACCGGATTAAAGAAATATAATAATCTTAAAATAATCAATATCTGTCATTTTTGGCTTAACACAGTTTAATGGATTTAAAGGTCTAGATACTACTCTGATCAGATATACTTCATTACATATAAATGAGTTGGGTTGGTGTACTAGGTATTACTTGAATCCATACTTTAAAATCTTCGAAATGTGTAACTGATTATGTAAGTGAGAATAATGTCACATGATGTAGCGTCATAAAAACAGAATCCTAAATTAATTATAAAACCTATAAAGCCAAAAGGTTTTTGCCATATATTAATCTTATTTCACTAACATCAGAAACTTAATGAAAGTAAATAAAATATGCATATATTAAAGTTGAAGTACGTTCACTATCATTAAAAATATTTTCAGTTTAACATAAGAACAAAACATAATTAAACTCAACACTAAAATACAGCTAAAGTAGCATTTGTTTTTTTTCTTATGTTGTAGGTGTTATTATCACGTATATGTAACTTATCGTCTACTTTTATCAACATTGATACGAACAATAATCATAACTAAAGGTCAGACGAATAACTTCACATATCAGTGTCTCTTAAATATAATAGTAACAAGATACATTTTTTTTACTAATCGATCATAGTCTCATTTGTTCTGTCTCCTTTTAAGCCAAGCGCAACGTTTTCAACAAGAATTTTTATACTGTTTTACTTTTACCTAATAATAATCAGTAAAAGTATTCACTGTAAAGACCAAGCTGTCTTAACAACTTCCATACCAGTTTGTTATCTAAAAGATAGTTAAACAAGAAGGTAAAATATTTTTTTCAACTCTAAGTGTGTAGATCTGACCATTATTTGATCCATCAGCACTCAGAACATGAGATACCTTTCAGGTGCTTGGCATAATGTATTTATATTATCCAGTTTTAAATAGTTATATACGATTCAAATGATTTATCAGTCACTGAAGTACTGAGTTATTTGGATCCCCTAAATCTTCAGGTATCTCTTCCACGTGAACTCTAACATATGTAAATCAAAGTGGCCAGATTTCCTGTTGTATTGTTCTGCATCCTAAAGATTTAGTCTCAGAGCTTTATAATTCCTGCTGTTAATTGATCAACAGATTCCAAATAAAGTCTAAACTAGGAGCCCATTTTGAACAACTTTAAAGTGATATTTCATATCCATACGATCTGTATGGTAATTTTCCTTAAATTTTTTCAAATAATCCCCTTTCCCTGTGAACCAAGTGATTGGATTTTATTACAATCTCCTTGTTGTTTTTCTGTACACAGAGGAAGTAACTAATAAGGTGTTCTTCTAGCCCTTTGGAATTGTTTATTACTTGTATGTTGAAATCCAATAAATAGTATGTCACCTGCTTCACTGCAATATTGTATACATTCTTGCAGTGTACAATATCTGTCCTTTTTACCAGTGTAGGTAACTTTCAGGGTACAAAAAATATTCAAACGTTATGACTTGGCAGATTTCCAACTCTAAGCAAGCACACTTTGGGTGGTAGATTTTAAATTGATCTGAGAAAAACAGGATAGACATTTTTTCAAGGGTTACATTTTATGATATCGACCAAAGATCAGAAATATTTACCGTCTCGGTCTACTTGGCCAGTCAGTACTCCCTTTAGATGACAGTAGCTAGAGCAAGCCATATTGGGTTACATAAATACTCTTCCAGCTAGGGGTTTGGAAATTAATTTATGGATTTTTTGTCTGTATGCGTTCCTTTTATGAGTGGGTGTACATTCTGATTGTTTTTCATCGTCCTATTGGTTGGCTATTTCAGCCTGACAAAATACATGAGGCATAATCTAAAAAATAAAGCATTATTGTCTGCCATTCTAAGCAGTAGTTAAACTATATCACCTAAAATCAATACTTAGCATAATCAGTCTACCCTTACTTTATGGATTTTTCAGCCTCGTGATTGAGTATAAAAAACATATCGCCATACCTTGCAATTATATCAAAGCGATTACGTCGAAAATTTAGTCTAGGGAGGAAACAGTTTTCGTAAAATAGCCTGGTCATATTTCCATTTTTTTCTCAAGTAAAGATTGCTGTAAATAAAACTACTTGTGATAATAAGCTCTCGTTGACAGAACATCGAAATTAGGTTGGATCTCTTTAAACTAAGCTTTAATCAAACCACACGTATTCATTGTAGGTGTAATAACCGTGTAAGATGAAAGGCAGTTACTCACCGAAGTCAATGAAAGATGGTCATGCAATATTGTGGATTGATTAAAGTTAGACCTTGACACCACTGTGTGTCGGCTCAATGGTCTAGAGTCCAACTTTTCACTCCCAAGACCGAAGGTCCGATTCCCGCGTTCAGGGTCACACTGCTTAAGAGTTTCATGTTATGACAAAACGCTCATACAGTTTTTCCAGGTTTCCAGCGGTGATATAATATCGATCGTTTCGTGGTTTGAATGATAATATATATATATATATATATCAGAATTACTCATATTCAAAAATGGCATCATTTCGAAAACTATCTGTATGTCGTAACAGTATATCTAGGCAGTTAAAAGATGCCGTAATTACTATCACACCATATATCTGAAAAAATCTGATGTTCCAAAATAATAGTTTCGTCTTTAGTTTTTGGATACATATGAATAAAATACTAGATGAAGCTTGATTCTCCCAACCGGTGAAAGTTATACGAACCCAATGAAAATATTATTATTTAGGCGAAAGATTCTGAAATAAATAGGCATATTTTATGTTAACAAAAATCTCAATCACACAAAGATCTCTTCAAGTCTGAAATAGGGTCGTAGTTAAATGGCGTCTAGGTCTAAAAATTGTCTACACGAATGATGAGTAAAGATGTGTGTGGAATTTTTGGTTTTGTAAACGGATAAACTTTCTTTTAAGCCAATCTAATTTTCAGATATAACACAAAGTTTGCAAATTTTCATAATTTATCTGAAAAAGGACGAATATGCGAATATTGTCGTACTTATTGAGTCTTGATAGGGACAGGGAATCATAATCATAGAAGACAACATATTGAAATTCTGATTCATACCCCGACAAAATCCGGCATCTAGTGGATTCACTTTGAACGTATAGTTGTTGATATATGTAATAAGGTACCGTTGTTGCGCGGATAACACAGACCATTATTTAAAACAAAATAGAGAAAAGTACAAAAATTTAAACTAATGACAAATAAAAGGCAGCCCCATATAAATGTAAGCGACATTGCTGAAAAATCAGCTTCTTGATATAATAGGGTAATGAAGAATTAAAAAGAATATTCCTACTGTGCTTTCAATAGAAATAAATATTTTCAAACCCATTAATTGACATGTTCAAATTATATTCTCTCAATGACTGGCTTTGTGAATTGTAATGTGGCATTAACTTGTGTTTTGGAGATTCAGCCAAGTTTACTTTCATTTTGTTGTTCATTAGTGCCTATTCATACAACTTTGATTCTGAACAAACATTTAAAATAAAAGTCATTTTGTTTGACAAATTATTTTAGTTACATAAACGAGTTAGTATAATGATGCATTCCCTGCTTTCCCTACTATTTGATGAATTGAAGTGCTGTGGGGAACATCATTGGTGTTTAACAGATAGTTTGTTACTTATAATGTTCCGTCATCATTTTAATTTATCTCTTTTACAGTAAATTTTCTAGAGTAACAACTAACATACCGTCCTGTGAATAGTTAAAATTAGGTCTAGTCGTTTAATTAAAAAGTAATTCACTAACAACAACAAAAAACAATCTTCATATCTGAATTGCTCAAGATCTCGATCTCAAAAGGACTATTTGAGGAGATTAAACGTTTGGAATTATTTCAAAAATATTATATCCGCCCAAAGACGTCGATAGGCTGTATGCAAAGCGTCGTTCATAAACCTACCTTCTGAATTATAGAAAACAGTAACCTGCCAGTATAATTCCAAAGTATTTACATGATTATTTTACTACTTGGATCAGAAGTTGTATTATAACTGTATTCTTTGGAGAAATATCTAACAACCTGTGAGCTTTGTCTTCATATCTGAAATGTAAGAAGGAGTGCGATACATACCTTGATAAATATTTGTCACTGTATTCCGTCTAAATATCAAATGTTACGTGTCAAAAAATATTTTATCCAGTTGTCTGATGTAAATAAAATGCATATACTACTAAAAGGATTACTGTCAATTTAGAAACATTAGTTAATTAATTGACAGAATAACAATGTATTCAGTAGCTATGATAGAATTATACTTCACAGCACCACTATACTTCGTATTAGAAGTTCGAATAGTTGACGAACGACTCTTTTGTCGCCCAGAATAATACTAGTCTCATTTTCTGTTTAGATGATACTTTTATACAAAATATCGGATAGAGAAAGCTACACATCTCACGACGTCAAACTTTAAGATACATAAATTCAACATCAAGTTAAACTGTATATCAGGATGATGAGCTCTATTTATTCTTCATCACTAATTTACGTTACTACGATTATCTTTAAGGAAATTTTATTAGCA